CGCCAACGATGGCAACTATCGCGAGATGCGATACTTCACTGGCTGGGGGAGGGTCAAGTATGTGGAGGAGTACTACCTGCCGAGAATGGTGGTAGAGGTTACAGGGCAGAGGAAGGTCCCATTTGGGGATGCGGCCATCTCGACGCTGGATACATGTATTGCGGCAGAGACCTGCGAGGAGCTGTTTACGCCGAATAGGTAGGTGGTGTAGATTCTGGCTGGATGGTAGATTTTTTTTTGTAGTGGGGTTTGGCGGTATGCTGATGGGAGCACAAGCCCGCATATTGGTATGTCGCTGGATGGGATTGAGATCATGACCAATTCCAGCGGAAGTCATCATGAGCTGCGGAAGCTCAATACGAGAATCGAGTTGATGACTGAGGCTACCAAAAAGGTAATATAGTATTCAAGACAAGATTTCATAGAAACAAACTTAACATTGCTCACAGTGCGGCGGCATCTACCTCTACGCCAACCAACAAGGCTGCGACGGTGACCGCCTGTACTACGACGGCTCCGCGATCATCGGTGTCAACGGCCGCATTGTCGCCCAAGGCTCCCAATTCTCCCTAAAAGATGTTGTAAGTAACACCCAACCCCAACCCCAACCTAGCGCATACCCACCTCTCTTACCTGCCGGGTTTAGGAAGTTGTAACTGCCACCGTAGACCTAGAGGAAGTGCGCAGCTATCGCTTCGCACCCTCGCGGGGCCAACAGGCGGTCCAGAACACGCCATATCCACGCATCGAGGCGGACATGAGCATCTCTGCTGAAGGCTCCACCGTGGATCTTTCGATCCAGCCCACAAAGGCCATTGACGTACGTTTCCACACTGCTGAGGAGGAGATCGCACTGGGCCCGGCCTGCTGGCTGTGGGACTACTTGCGCAGGTGTGGTGGTGTTTCAGGGTATTTTTTGCCGCTGAGTGGTGGTATTGATAGTTGTGCTACTGCAACGATTGTGCACTCCATGTGTAGGCTTGTTGTGGAAGCCTGTGAAGCTGGGTGTAAGTTACTTCTAGAAGCATACTCTGGGTCACATTACAGTCGGAACTGATGACATGTTTTTTCCCCCTGTAGCGGAACAGGTTATTAAGGACGCCCGCCGAATCACGGGAGAGCCAGAGGGCTCCACATGGGTGCCTAAGACGCCCCAGGAGCTTGCAGGTCGTATCTTCCACACTTGTTTCATGGGTACCAAGAACTCGAGCAAGGAGACACGCCAGCGCGCCAAGGAGCTCGCGGAGGCAATCGGGGCGTACCATGTTGACCTGAACATGGACACGATTGTTACCTCTGTGCGAGATCTCTTTGCGTTTGTGACGGGCAAAAAACCTGTTTTTCAAGTTCATGGTGGCTCGAAAACCGAGAACTTGGCATTGCAGAATATCCAGGTTAGTTTGGCGCGCTATTGGCTGTTGGTTGGTTGGTTAGTGCGACGAGTGATTTCTGATGATGGGAATGTTTAGGCAAGGTTGAGAATGGTCTTGGCGTATTTGTTTGCGCAGTTGCTGCCCTGGGTACGGGGAAAGCAAGGTGGATTATTGGTCCTAGGGAGTGCGAATGTCGATGAATGGTATGTCTATCAGATTTTCCCTCATGCCTGATCTCTAACATGAAATGCCAGCCTCCGCGGTTATCTGACTAAATACGACTGTTCGAGCGCCGATATCAACCCGATTGGCGGGATCTCCAAAACGGACTTAAAGCTCTTTATTGCCTATGCACGGGACAAGTTCGAGATTCCAATCCTGCATGATTTCCTCACCGCCGTCCCCACCGCCGAGCTCGAGCCTATCACAAAGGAGTACGTCCAGTCCGACGAAGCAGACATGGGTTTCACCTACGACGAGCTCTCCGTATTCGGTCGTCTGCGTAAGAATGATAAACTGGGTCCATGGGGCGCGTTTAATAAGCTCCTCCATGAGTGGGGCGACCACATGAGCCCTAGGCAGATCGCAACGAAGACGAGGAACTTCTTCTTCTATTATGCGATCAACAGGCATAAGCAGACGGTGCTGACACCCTCGTATCATGCTGAGCAATATAGCCCGGATGATAATCGGTAAGTTTTTCTCTCTAGCAGTAGTAGAGGGTCGTGAGGATTTGAATTTGCTGACGATGAGTAGCTTCGATTTGAGGCCGTTCTTGTATCCGGCGTTTAGCTGGCCGTATAAGAAGATTGAAGAGACGGTTGCGGCTCTTGCAGCGAGGGAAAAGAAGGATTTGTTTATCTAAATACATAAATGGTTAGACCGTTGGGTAGATTGATTTTATTTGGCTTGAGGCGAGAATAGATATATCAATTGTTGGCAGTATTGTACTTTTCGTGGTAGCGATTTCTGTGTGTTAGTTTTAAGGGAGTTTGCACGTTTAAGAGCTATCGGGGTGGAAGTGGCACACAGTATGGCTCATAGTCTAGGTTTATGCATTCTCCGTCTCGAATCGATCAAGATAACTCATGGAGCATATTATCTAGGGCTAGGATGGGGTCGTTATGGGGTTATTTTGATTTATTATTTTTCATAGCAAGTAGTAGATTGCAAATGATTTAATAATGATAGCAGTGTTATATAGCAGGTGCCGAGGAGACAGGTACATAACAGTAATAGAACTTTCAACCTTTACTTCTTGTGGAAGTAGCCGTTGCTGCCCCGAAATCCACTCTTTTCGCTGTGCTTAGGAGATGAATACTTTTCTTGTAATACCGATCATTGACCTACTGGCTTGGGGTAGATTACCAAAATCTCGACTCCTGCGAGCCTTAGACTCCGAAAGACCAGTGGAGTTTGAGCCTATTATTTAACCCAAAATTTAGAGAGGTTTGTAGGTCGCATTACCGGCGAATGCGACTGAGATGCTTCAGGTCCATAGCCCGAGGTCGACGGATCGAAGAGATCCCCCAAATTGAGAATACCGAACATTAGCGTTTATGAATAGACCGTGCGTGAGTTATACTTATTTTACTTTGCAGGCTGATAATAGGAATAATTACTTTTATGTAGCGGAGGGTGGATGAAAAGTTAATTTAGAAAGAATATCTTAACCCCGGGGCAACAGCGAAAAGGTGGGGCTCACTTACTCTCCAGATGCACAGTCTCATTTGCCTTGAAAGTGAATCAGACTGACGACTAGCTCTGGTAGTGTCTCGACTTCCTCTTGGCCAGGCTGTGGCTGTTAAGCTGTGACAGTTGGTATTAAGGTTAGATACCTAGAGTGTTGTTTCAATATTCCTGTAAGTCAATCGTGATGCCGGCGGTGTCTGTAGTGGGCTGAAGGTCTTTCTGCGTGCCGTACGGCTCGTAAGTTGACATGCAGTTTGACCAGGCTGGTACTTATTGTGCGCTTTTTCTAAACTCACCTAAATGTTACGTGCACTGCACTCTAGGCTTTTATATATACGAGTTTTGAATATCTCGGAAGGAAACTCTCAAGTCTTATCTTAACTTGTACTCTACGCATGGTTGAATTTCCAGAAACCTTCTTTATTCGAAACATTGGGTTTTTCGTGTTGGAATGGGACGGGCGAGAGACGGTAAGAGACGTCTCCACGTAGCAGCCAGTTTGGAAAAATGGAATCAGAATGATCCCACAAACACCGTTCTTGGCCAAAGTCCTCAATAAATATACTCATAGATCTAGAGCGGGTATATAGTTGGAGTAGCCGTTTCTAGCGAGAATCTCAAATATTTTGTTAACGCCAATGGATTGGCAACTAGTGCGAACAAAAACCCACAACAGATCAATGATTGTTAGTATACCCTGAACCAATCCTACCTAAACAACAACCTAAAGAGGTAATACATAATTACCTGATCCTCTTTCAGTAACTGGTTTCTTTCAGTCCTCCTATAAATCAGATTAAAGAGCTTCGTTGTAATCACTTTCGAATAGCTGGAGCTACCAGGCATGAAATTCGGGCAGAGACCTCACTCAGTCTATCTTTATCTTGCTATGGGTGCTTTTCGACGCAAATCTTTGACTCTGGATTGGATTTCTAACCTTGCTTTAGCCACGAGAATTGCATTGCAGTATAGCATACAGTGTGGCGTAGCTGACGTATGTCTACAACATGGTCTGAAGCTTAAAGACTTTGACACATGCTCAAACAATCTGGCCTAAACCAATAAGGTTCAAAAAAGAGGCCAAAGGCGTCCTTCTTCATGAGGTTCAACCTATCTAGAGTAAATCTATAGAGAATACACAAAAGCCTTACAGTACTTCTCTATGGAATCCCTCCAAGCACGCCCCGGTTTCCGGTCTTCCGGCACATAATGTGGGAGGAAGGCGTATTCGTGAGCTGTCCACTCCCAGCCAGTTCTGCTTGAGATCTCTATCAAAATATGTCTGAATTGCCCCAGAGGATTTCTCCTAAGAATTTATTCCTTCTGCGAAATTCACGACATGTGAATAAATGAAATAAACTGATTATAAGATTACTAGATCATTTGGTGGAATAGGGCTCAACCTAGCTTCTCAAACTGATGAAATTCCTCTAGGCCATATTCGGTTTCTAGCTCATCTATCACAGCCAAACAACACTCTTAGAAATTGACAGCCATAGAAAGATAATGCCCAATAAAGGCTTCTCTTCCACTATTTATCATAGAAACACTATCAATAAGACACAGATGACCAACCATAGGTTCGCAAAATACAGAAAGCTAAATTGCGTATAATAACCGCTCACAACAAGCTTAAGTCCTCCCCGCTGAAATCAAAGAACAAAAAACTGCCAGTAGACCGAGGTATAAAACATGCATATAAAAAAGCAACCCAATTTACTGCTGCTGGATATCATCATCGAGGGGGCATTATATAAGAAAAACAACCAAGGACAAAAGAATATGCCAATATAGGCCCCCCACCGGTCATAAAAAAACAAAGGGAAGATTCATCATATCATACGCCCTGGACTTTATCCGATCCAGCCCAATCAAATCCATCAGGTTCAAGCACGAACCCTATAAAAATCTCCAAAAATCTCAGAGTACAAAAATTCATGCATTTTTCTTTCCAACCGTCTTCGGCCTTGCCCTCAATTCGCCCTGTTTGCCCTCATAATATCCCGTCGACCCGGCTCCTGTAGCTGGCAACGGTGCAAGGCTCTTCTCGACCTTTTCAACTAAAGCCGTAGCCTTCTTCAGTGTTGTAGCCACCACGGCCTGATTCCAGATTGCGTTTGATGTTGTAGAACTGCACCAAGAAGAGGATCGCACGAGATTTAGTCCAGATGTTCCGAGAGAGAGAGAGGGCCAGTATGAGGATGGAGGAAGGAATGAGGATGGAGGAGGATGAGGAGGTGGAGAGAGATTCGAACCTTGTGCTTGTCCTAGGCGTGCTTGAGCGCGACGACGACGACACCAAGGTGTCGGAATTGGCGGTGCTGGTGCTCCACCGTACGTTGGAAGAAGAGGATGCGGATGAGGGGTGATCGAGTAGTAAGTTCTCCTCCTCATCGATCCGGTTCGTAGTAGATTTGCTGTCGTCGTCTCCAAAATCGATTAGGGACTCCTCCCTCCTTCTCTCCCTTTTAAGGCTGCTGGCAGGTGAGCCACTCCTTATTGATACCCTTGGTGATGTAGATCTGGTGCCGTGGGGTGATGCACGAATCCCAGTGCTGTTTACCGTCGAACTGATGGCTTCATCGCCGACGGTTGCTTGCCGGAGGTCCTCGATGAAGGTCCATAATCCTTCCTTAAAGTCCTCTGCCATCTGCTTCCCCGTCCTCAACAACGCATCTTGACTGTTCCTCTTTTCCCTGTCCGCATCCGAATGTGAGCTCGATGCCGAGTGAGCAACAGTATGCCGTTTGACCAGCGCCGGCGGTGTATCGTCTCTACTCCCTGCGAGTAAACTGAGGGTCCTCGTGTGTCTCTGGCTTGATACCTTCCTCCCGGTCACCGAGCTCACTTTTGCCTGATACTGCTCTCGCCCTGGGCTATGTACTCCTACTTCTGCTGCAGCAATCGACGTATTCAATGGCCGTAGCCTCTCTGTTGGTGTGATCTCATGTAACTTCATGGTTGCTTCATGGACCGCCCACTGCCTCTTTAACCGGCCAAGCTCTGTCTCGGCCTTCCCCAGCTCTTCCTTCAGCTCCAACACTCGTCGTTCCTGGGCTGCAAGAGCAGTCAGAAAGGCCATTGGATCATCTGGTGTGACAGGTTTATCCACATCGTGGTGCTGGTGCTTTGGCGAGTATACGGGAGATGGCGGGGCGCCACGGGGAGAGAAGTTAGAGCCGGCAGGAAGCACGGGGAAAGAGAGCGAGAGGCGTGTTCGAGGGAGGGATAGAGAACGCTTGAGAGGTGCTTCGGGAGGCGTTATACTCCCGTTCCCGGTCCCGGGCCGAGGCCGGGCAGTCGGGGGAGGGGAGAGAGGGCCCCGGTTCATATCTAGGCCGTGCATGGATGAAATATCCTCCATTGTGAATATACGATTATTCCGGTGGAGTTGCGAAGTGAAGTTCTGTACACATTGGATGGGTAGAAGAGGAGAAGGGTAAACAGGTTGAAGAGGTGAGAGAGTGTTGTTCAATCTAGTTGTGGTCAGACTCTCTGGCTATGGAACTTAGACATAGGGGGCGGAACATACAGGGGTTGGGGAAAGTTCCCGTTACAACGGTGCTCCTGTAATCTGGGGGTGGGTGGAGGGGAGGGGACGGATGGAATGGGAAAGGAAGACAAAGTACGTCAACTTATTCCCCCTTGTGGCGAAAATCGGCATAAATCTATGGGCTGAATCGGCTGGGGAAATGCTCTACAGATGTCAAAGCATGTAAGTAGGTACATGTAGTTCTCTACGTATGTGTGTCTGAAGAGCTTTGACGGGGCGTGGAAGGTACCGCGGTACCTGCATTCCTCGCTCTGACAATGGATTCAGACTAAAAGGAAAGAAATGGACCAATTGCCAAGATGTACGCAATCGTAGCTGTACCTACTACCCTCTTGCCAGAGTGCAGATACCTAGGCAGCTCCTCGGCCTTTTTTCACGAGGGATACCTCCATAGAGTTTATATTAGATGTTTGTTTACGATGTCTGCCTGTTTACCTTCTCTGAGACAAAACGGACTAGGTAGGTACTCGACGCGCTCTTTGGTGCCCACAGTCTCATACCAGCCCATTCCCTGCCCAGCGTAGTGCTGCCTCGGTAGGGACCCGCCCAACAAAATGTCGGGTGGCTATTGGCGGCAAATAACCAGCCCAGTCTACTCCTAGCCATAGCTTGATGGAATTTCAACCTCTCCAATATTAGACAAGACATCACGAAACAGAATTGCAGACTGGAAATAGTTCAACACCAGCACATATCAATATCCCGCCACAGCACAAATAAATGAATAAGAACGGCGACAATAACCCAGCCAAGTGCTTTAAATCAATACACCAAAACGGCTTAAACCAGATAAAAAATTGCTAGATGGTCATTCAAAATTCAACCAAACACTACTTAAGTGCCTATCTTAATACGCTCAAACACCGGCTTAAACATAACTCAACACTCCCTCCGGCCACCACTTTCCTACCACGCCTAACTTCACTTCACCCTTTCCTCCACTCCCCGCTCCACTAACCGTCAACCCCCTCACCACAATCTCACCTCTACTCCCGCCCTCGTCAGCAGCGCTATACTCCTGGTAGTCCCTCGTGACGACCTCGCACCCCGGCGCCACTGGCCCGAAATGCGCGCACCGCTTCAGAATGCCCTTCTTGCGACTCGGTTTGGGAATCTGAGGCTGCACGCGGTAGTCATAGATATGTGTCTGGCAGATGGGGCCCGCGACAAGGTAATGCTTGAGACCATATACAACCTTGCAGCCGAAGAATACGCGCAGGTCGGAAAGATCCTCAGAGTTCAATGGCTTAGATTCGAGGTCACCGGCAGACTCGGCGGTAAGGATTAGGCGTAGGCGGCTTGGATCACCCGCGGAGGGGCGCGCGTAATCATTGACACGGGTCCAGAAATTGCCTTTGGGGATTGAGCCATGAACTGTGAGCGTGCGAGATTGGAAGTAGTGAATGATGCCATGCCACATCTCTATCTGGCTTCCCATGGTTTTGCGATGTACTTCATCGAGTGTATTTGGAGATGCGACGACAACTGTGGGACGCACGCGTGCGACACATTTCTCGAAGTCGGCAGAGGAGCCACTAACTGGGTTTAGGGCGAGGGTTGCACCAGATGCGAGGGCTGCGTAGGTGTTGATGCGGGTGTATAAGTCACTGAGGGTATCCACCGGGATGAAGACATCGTTCTTAGTGAGCTGTTCATTCTTGGGCAACGCGTGTATTGCAGAGGCGACTCCAGCGATGATGTTACGGTGGTTGAATGGGGTAATCTCGATCTTCTTGTCATTGCCGATGAAGTTGGTTGCGAAAGTGATCACTGAGGGGGCTTTGAGGTCGATGGACCCGCTGGGAGGCGGGCTACCGGGGGTCTTAATGATCTCGTGATAGATAGCTGTTTTGATGGCGGAGCCGGGGGGCGAGTTGAAGTCTAGGTGTTGGGAGCCACGTTCGACAACATAAATCAGCTGTTTTAGTTTCACGCCTTCGACGTCTTTGAGTGGAAGCTGGCCGGCGGGCGCGATAAGGACATCGAGCTCACTACGCTTCAAGAGGGCGTTTACTGAAGCACTGGAGGCAGTGGGGTCGAATGGCAAAATCAGAAGATGAAGATCGTAGAAAGCACAAGCAAAGGTAGCCACAATATTCTCAATATCGTTCGCGAGGTAAATCGCAATCCGTTTCGCACCGGGAATCGAGGCAAGATGGGTTCCAAGAGAGTGAATATTAGCTGTCAAGTCCGCTATGTAGAACAAAGGTTCTGTTAGTAAGAACCCCGTAAATAATTTCTATTTTGGATTATGAACAAACAAACCCATGTCGATTTCGTGGACATCAGCTCCGCGGACACTAAGCATCTTTCCATTTCCCTTCTCAACCGCCAATTTCCAGATGTCGCGAATATCACCGTCCCGGATTTGAAATTTCTGTTCTGTAGGAAGGTTTAAACCAGTAACGAAGGGTTGGTTGGACGGAACATTATTTGAACGGTGAACAGCACTCTCTTTGGGATTACGGATACTATTATTGTTATAATATTAGAATTGCCAGATAAAACTCTAAAAACCCCAGAAGGAAACATACGGGGCAACATTAGACTGCCGGTGGAGAATAAGAGGGTGAATATCAGGGTCTGTCTGCCAGAGGATGGGCACCACAAGCAGGCCTAGCACCACCGTGATAAGCGTGTATGTCACGATGTTGAATTCTAGAAAGTCTTCCATGTTGGACACGGAGTTGCTCTAATTGAGCTATGTGTATTGAGAGAATGGGATGTTCTTGTGAGGGATGTATGGTTGCTAGAGGGGCAGCAGCTACAGTGGTGGAGGGGATAGGTGTTCTCATAGAGATCCGGGAAGTGTAATATTAATATTAACACTAGACCTATGCCTAATGGACAGTGCACCCACCATAACCAGGGATGTGACACAACATAATTGAGCTGAACAATGCCTGCAGCTTGTATTTTGCTCTATGATTTGTTTACGGTCCAATCCGGGCCTCAGTTTCAAGGAAGTTAGTGATGGTGGCTGACGTAGTGTGGCACTAGATGTGCTTAAGGCTTGACTCCATATGTCCGGATAATCCTGGATGTTGCGCCGAGCAACCACGCAAAGGGAAATCCTACCGACCGAGCCAACGCCAAAGAGACAAGGGAATCTAGCCCGTACCACATTCTACAACCACCAGTGGACAACAGAATCCAAAACTTCACGTCTCCCAAGCAACAACCCCAACACTACCACTGCACTGCGACGCCAACCAACAACACACACGGTTCACCGACCACAACCATCATCCACTCACTGACTACAGCTACTGCTCTTCTTTCCTTCTTTTCCTCGTCCCTCACTCTCAAACTTATAAACATCGCGTGTGAACAGCAATCCCAGTTACGTGACATCAAATGTCTTTATCACCCCCCATGACCCCCTACAAGTCGGCCGCCTCGACATCGTCAGGCACGCCTACCGGCTCCTGGCGTCATCCCGCAATAGACATTGTAGCCCAGCGGAACTCCCAGAAGGGCTTTACAGAGACCAACTTCCACCGGCTTATGATCAATGGGATCTCCCTCTTCCTCTGCTGGTTTATCGTTGCCTTTTTCCGCCAAAGGTACCCCCACTTGTCCATCCTCCGTCCAATCACAAATTACTAACAACTTCCCCGCAGCTCCACTCTCAAGAACCTAATCCCCACCTCACCCACAATCTCCTTCTATGCCTTTTATGCCCTCTGGGGCGTGCGCTCCCTCCTCGTCTGGAACATACTCGAAAGCCTCTACAATCTTCTACGGCCTGTCGATGAGTTCACGGACATCCCACTGACCCCCGAGCAACGCAAGCTCCTCGGGCTGAACCCTGACACACCCCTCAGTCCCGCTGCTGCAGAAGGCAGCATTGTCGCCCCCCCCGATACACCAAAAATGCCCCCTCATCATCCCGCACCGGCTCGCCGGTTTCGTTCAACACCTCAGTTTCCTCACCGTCGCCCCCACAGAGCCGTAAGGCCACTGCGACCCCACCGCCGATGACGCCCAGCCCATTGAGGATGGGTGGAGTTGTAGACCGCCGAAGCAGCTTTGGGAGTCCTAGCCCGGCGTCGGCGAGAGTTGGCAGCTCGGTGGTGCCGAGCAATAAGTGGCTGTATGAGAAAAATTTGCAGAGGAAGGGTATGCCGTTTTCTCCGAGGCCCAGCTATCTGTAGTATCTTGCCTTTTTGTTTGTATTGGAACTGGAGCTGATCTGGTCGGGATTGGAAGGCGCAATGAATCTAGGTGCGGCGTTGGGGATTAGTCCTAATAGAGGTGTTTTCTCACCTAGACCCCCTGGGGGGCTGTAGCATCCTTTTTTCCACTGATTTTAATGAGAGGAAGGTCTTTTTTCTGTCTGGTTTCTGGGAAGTTGTGTGCTTGCTTTTTTGATTTTATTGCGATGAGTTATGAATTAACGGCGGCTGCGGAGTCGCGAATTGGTAAGGGGTGGAGGGTGGCTTCGACGGCGCGGCCCAGATGGGCCTGACAACTTTGCAGGCGCAGGGCCAACGTGGAAAGTCATTTTGTAGGGATCTTTGGATTGTGTATACTGACAGAGATTAGGTTGTAGCATTGTGTCCATGTGCTTACTATACATTTTATCTACGGCAGACAGATCTCGCGGGAGTGTCTATATCGCGGCCGATCATCATGTATCTTCTTCTTTTTTGCTTTTGTGTATTATTCGGTTTTGGTTGTGGAATATGTACCCCAACCTGGCTGGATGCTGAATATAGTTTTTTTTTTATTACTCCAATGTTTTCCTGTAAGCCATTCACCTTGAATTCAGAGAAGATCTGCTTAGACTAGGTGGGCTGTGTGTACTTGCATGAGCTATCACTCGGTTAGAAGAAGCCCTCTTACAACACCACTTTGTGGTTGGTAGCACAATCCACCCCATATTCAACGGCTCTGATCCATCGGCAAACCCAAGCACCCTTATGTTTCAAAGTACCTGCCAGAGCTACTAGATCCATAGGGGGTCGGAGATCTTTCGAGAAGCTACTTCGGCCTGCTCTGTAAACGTACTCTATCGGGTAAACGGCTTTGGGTAGGGTTCCGTGAAAGTTCCAGCGATGACCTACCCTACAAAGTGAATGCTTCTCACCCAGAAACGCTCGCTTGCTAGTACGGTGTGTCGAGCTAACGAGCTACCCGCCAGCTAAGGAACATACACCTTGAATGGGATGCCTGACAACATGCATTCTTGGATGTTAAGAGGGAGAACTGATCCCGTGATAGCTGTAGCCCAATCTCAAGGCAAGTTGAGTTTTGGTAAAAAAATGCTAGGTGGTAGACTCGATTCAGAGTTCTGGGTGCCGGCTATATAAGTAGCCTGGATGTACGTGGAGAAGGGCCTGCTTGATCTGATAAGCAGGCCAGCGTGGGATATTGGCGAGATGCGGCTTGTGTTGATGGCGAAGAGAGTTGACTGCCCGGCCTGAGACTTTTAGTCGATTGGTTGTAGTCTCGTACCCACCCCCTACGAGCAGCAAGCTGCTCACCGAGCTGGTTAGGGTCCACGGATTATAATTATCAATGCCTTCGCTGAGTTGGGCCATTGGTTGGCCGCAGCGTCTTCACAACTTGGCTACCCTCAACAACCGCATACCATGAGGGGGGTAGTGGGTTGGACTACTGGTTTTACCCTAGTGACAATGGCAATAAATATCATTGTAAAGCCAGACAGGCCGCCCTGACCTGATCAAGGAATGAAACAAAAGCAACGATTGAAGCTGAGTGAAAGCAAAACATTCAAAACAGAACTTCAATAGACTTAGTCGACAAACAGGAAAAGTCTAATCAGTACTACTACAAGCTAATGCCCGAACTACACATTTAGTACTTAACCACCCAATCTTAGTGGTAATGATGGGTTCAAGGTCATTATGTGGTTTTGAGAAACTTTAATTCCCTGAAGACCTTTCCAGGGCTCATTTGTCTCATTATGTCAACCGGAATGGGGGTGAATTTATATGAATTTACATGTAATGGGTGGTGGAGTTTTACCTATTACCTTGGGTCAATGATTGGAATTACATGCATGTAGGTGCTTGAACCGTCGGAAGCCCTGCCAAGACGCAGGACGGGTAAGAGACAAATTATCATTTCCATTTCATCCTGGCGGATGAGACCCTTCTTTCTCTGAGGTATTTATGACGTTAGTAGTCTGTAAGCTGTATGGGCATATCTAACACCTTGCTATTGATTCCATTGTTAGGCCAGTGCCGGCCCTTGCTTTCCACCGTCTCGTAGTTAACTTCCAGATTTATACTCGTAAATTAGCAGACACTGAAGGAAAGTGTCACGATGTAAAAAAAAAAGTAGCGATAAGATAAGAGGAGAGGTGACGTTAACCGGCAAAGGAGCTAAAAGCACAGATCAGTGCATTCACGGAGCCGCATGTATTGAGCTTCAAGGAGCAATCCAGGGCACAGGGCCGAGGGCTGTTAATTCTGTTTGGGGAGCCAAGCACCAGTGAGCTGGGGAACTATAAAGAGGCTGGACAGACCATCACCAAGTTACATAACGGGAATGTGATGTTGGTTACGGGGTCACGGGGCATGTGGTAATGCTATCGGTCGTGCTCGGGTGCATGATTGATTGCCGGAAGGAGTTGGAGAGGGTCCTCGCGATAGCGATACAGCCGCGCCGTTGAAAAGTGTATGGTACATACAGCCGAGAATTTGAAGCTTCATAGTCTGTTTTTATCGCCAATTACATTTCTATAGAGAGGGGAGTAAAGGCGATAGGTGCCATGCACAGACAGTAAACAGCTAACCAGAGCGTCATCCTGGAGTTCACAGCGAATAGCTTATCGACATGCGCTTTAAAAGCCAAAGATTTTTGCTGATTGGAGGTACAAAATGCAGCCTGGGGCCCACCACTTCGTTTGTTCCCGAATCTGGTGCTTAGATGGATTAGATAGTATCTGATACTCTCTTATTGCGTGAATATCCCAGGAAGGCCCGGGTGCGTGCCAGTATCTACATATATGTGGTAGTAGACGAGACAAGACCTCAAAACCCTTCCTCATCCGTCCTCTTCCTCTTCAAACCACCTATTCTCTCCCCCCCACTCCCCACTCCCCACTCCCCCTCTCTTCAGAACTTCAACTTGCCCTCATTATTTCTGCCCTTTGTCCTCCTATATTCAAAAGCTGTCCACTCCATAGCCTGCTTCTCAATAACTATCTCAGCTCTAGCTCCCTCTTGACTCGCTGCTTACTTCTTCTTCCCAGACAAATCGATCGTCCATCCCCTGGTTCCTGACCTGCCTACATCTCGTTTCGTCTTTTAGCACCTTGCAGGCCTAGTTTACACGTTGATAGCGTGTGTTGGATCATTTCGCATACATAACTTTGACAACGACGCACTCCTTCTCACGTTTGGTCATTAACAACCTTATTCGCCATTTACCACCCTGATTTACTCGGAACCTCACATTTGCCCCCCTTCAACTACGTTCGCATTGCCCCTGCAGCCTCTCCGCCGTCCCCCAACTAAAAATCTCGCGTAGACGTCAAAGGTTGGTTCTAGAAGTCTGTCAAAGCGATCCTTCGACTCACCTGGTTGGGCTTTGTTCTGACAGCTCACTTGATTTGCTCTTCATCTTGATAGTAGATATAATTAAGATTACATTCAACAACCCCACGACGTATCTCGCGGTGCCACTGCCTTTCTCCGGCTAACCACCCTGTCGTTTCTTTTTTTTTCTTTCTTTACCCCTTGAACCGGTTTAGCGGTCGTCATCCACTGCACCCTTTCATCTCAAGACTTGGTTCTCGAGGTGTGAAGTGTTGGCAGTAATCGACTATCCGCCAGACCACCTATATCATCGTCGTCCTGGCAACAAGAAGATCTCACGGAGCTCTTTCATCCTCCGAAGAAAGTGAAAGCGAAACATCTCAAACCGATCAAGGCCAATCCTCCACAGATAGGCGTCCGAGGTCCTCAATCCTTGGACAGCAAGCCCCGCAATCAGGTACCACCTCTACTGCCATCACTTCGCAGCAGAGGTCACCCCAGCAAGGAGGCAACGAACATCCCGCCAGGAAACGCAGACGGACGTCCGCGTATAGCCCAGGCAGTGAGACGGCTACCCCACCTAATCTTACCGGCAGCGACGCCAACAGAAACATGAGAATTGAGAACAATACTGTTAGCTCTCAAGGTGCTTCGGGCAACGGGGCTACGTCGCCTTTTAGGTCGGTTGAGGTGAATGGCAACCGCAGCACTTCAGTTCGCAATGGATCCTCAAAGCACGACGGCGAGTCAAATTCTTCCTCATTTACCATGCTGGCCCCGCCTACACCGAAACCGAGCTATTTTGGCCATGACCGGGAGGAGATAACCAGGATTGCTATTCAGTCGCTGGTAGATTTGGGGTACCACCGGGCTGCGAGAGTATTAGAAGAGGAGAGCGAGTACACATTGGAGTCACAGGAGGTCTCGGACTTTCGTAATGCTGTATTAAAGGGGGAATGGACAAAGGCGGAGGTCTTGCTCTTTGGATTGGAAATTGACAGCAATCATGACGTAAATGTGAGCCTGTTTGGTTTGGCTTGGTGGGAATCTATGGGTTCATCCGACCACGATGTATTGCCAGTGCTAACTGGAAATTTGATAGGCTTTGTTGTTTTACTTGAGGGAACAGAAGTTTCTTGAACTGCTGGAGGCTAGAGATGTATCAAAAGCTTTGCAAGTTCTCAGAACAGAACTTACGCCACTGAATCAAAGTGTAGACAAGCTACACTCACTATCAAGGTAAGCATTTGGCTACAGCTATCCATTGGATGTAGAAAGTTGCATTATGTGTTAGTGTTACGTGTGTATTGACTAGGGTGCTGGATGCATAGTTTGATGATGTGCATAGACGCCGAAGATCTCAAAACGCAAGCTGGGTGGGACGGGGCTGCAGGACTATCCCGGCAACATCTTCTCTCAGAGCTATCCCGTACGTTTTTTTCTAAGGACTTTAGGAAGAAAAGGTTCACCAACTTACACTACTCTTGTAGGATCAATTTCGCCTTCTGTAATGATTCCTGAACATCGTCTCGCCTCCCTACTACACCAAGTCAAACAAACCCAGATTTCCAGGTGCCTTTATCACAACACAGCCAATTCACCATCGTTATATTCAGATCACATTTGCGATAGAAATCAATTCCCACTATCGACTATACACATCCTTAAAGATCACGATGATGAGGTATGGTTTGTGCAGTTCTCGAATGATGGGACAAAGCTGGCGACTGGAAGTAAAGATAACACAGTAATTATTTGGGATCTTGAGGTGAGTACTGGTAGCATGTCTTAAGTTTGGGAAATATATACTAAAATTGGTTCATGGGGTAGACTTTTGAATACATACATATATTACGGGAACACACGAATCATGTGACTTGTGTTCAGTGGTCACCGGATGATACGCGCTTGTTGAGCTGCTCCACCGATTCAAAAGCAAAGTTATGGGATACTAGAGTAAGCTTCCTCTCTTCTACCGGTGTTATATCACGGACTTTTGTTAATATACTTATCTTTTCAGACTGGTGAATGCATCTGGACATCATCAGGCCACTCGGACTGGGTGAGCTGTTGTGCCTGGGCACCAGACGGGCAGACATTCGTAACTGGTAGCGTAGACCGGGAAATGATAGTTTGGGACCTAGAGGGGAAAGAGGTGTACCGGTGGACGGGGTCTAGAGTATATGATTTGGTAATAACGCCTAACGGGCGACGGTTAGCCGCCATCTGCACGCAAAAGAAGTTGCATGTCTATAACTTCGTAACAAGAGAGAAAGAGTACGAAATTCAGATGGTTTCGGAACTCACATGCATATCTGTCAGCAAGGACTCGCGGTACATTCTCATGAACATGGGGACTGGCTTGCAGGAGGTACATTTGATGGATCTCGCGACAGCCGAAGTTGTACGGAAATTCTCTGGGCAGAAGCAGAAGGAATTCATGATACGAAGTTGTTTTGGAGGAGCAGACGAAAACTTCGTAGTTTCTGGCAGTGAAGGTTCGTTTCCCACTTAGACGCTTCGTCTTCCGTTACTAATAATTTCTAGACGCGATGGTATATATTTGGCACAAAGAGAACGGAACACTGGTTGAGACTCTACCTGGGCACTCGGGCATCGTAAATTGTGTTGCGTGGAACCCAGCAAACCCACATATGTTTGCATCTGCAGGTGACGACCACAAAGTGCGAATGTAAGTACATTTAACTTTACTCCTCGCCTATAAGTTTACCTCTTGAAACCTAGACTTACAAGGATAAACTAGATGGTCTAAAGCGCCCCAACACAAAGGCAAAATGAAAGGTGTTGCCGAGGCCTTTGGTCAATAGATTAGGAAGCATGGCTTCAGTCCTAATCTTATCCCTGATAACCACACGACCCCTTTAACTGAAATAGTTTTTATTATCGAAATGCGGTAGTTTACTACAATGGGTGTTTATTTGTGATTTTACGTGGGTTTGTCATGGCTGCAGTTCTTCCTGCGCTTGTATACAGATTTTTATTATTGTATTTTTCTTCCTTTTTCTACGGTCTGTCATTCAGGGTTTAGGTATTAGGCAATGGGGCAATGGGGTTGGTTCCTGGGTGCTATACGGGGTTCAGGTGGTGGGGTTAAATTGAACTGGAAATATACACTCATGATGGCGATCAGGAGTGGGGTGTGGATAAAAATCCTCATCTTTATTGTTCTCTTTCCATGTCATCCTCATCTGTACTATTTATCTTATTGGCTCTTGTGAGGTGGCTTCTACTACTATCGGGATCAGGATGATTAGAGTTGTTTACTACGTACGGGTGTTCATTAGGACCCCGTTATGAGTTGTTTACAATCTCCAAAATGCATTGCCGCCCATGCCCACCTTTCCCGCTTGAATTTATATTCCTCTGCCCAGAAACGCGCGCGATATACATCCATATATAATTTACATACAGACATAGACTTAGAAGGATAACAATATGGTTACTCATTAAAACTAACATAACCCGATGTACAAGTGCTGCAAAAGTCTTCCCAATTCACGATCCGGCCGCTGTGTTCAGTTAGTTTTACAGTGGTTGCTCCGAGGAAAAGACCATTATGTCGAGGCTAACACCTTTATAGGTGCAGTAGATGCCCCGCTACAAAACCTAAAGAGCTCAATAGAAAGCATTCGTCCATTTATTCTTTACTCGGTTAATTATACTTAGAGAATCTCGCCGTATCATCTGATCTATCCTCTTTCAAAATTCCATAATTCTGCAGCTGGGATACCGACTGACTCCGGTTATTATCAACAAACTTCAAGCTTGAATGTGGAAATGATCGATTAGCACCATTATCCATACATGTACTCTACATGTAAGTTATTTCATCTCACCCACTAGTTTGACCGCACAGGGCGTAATATCATTTATACACTTCCCCACTAACTTTTCCTTTCTATGAATGTATATATCAACCAAAACATTATATTTATGACAGGATTTAAAGGCTGAAATGCAGCGCGGCACATATATCCAAGGCTGATGTGTACTATTAATTTTAAGCCCCGGGCTAGGTAGACACCTTGCAAGAACGATATATTATGAGTAAGTTACTCTTAATCTCGGTTAATTTCTGGATTCACAAAACATTATAGTTTGATGGCAGCATCGCAGGATAAGTAGGTCATAGAACACCACAACATTACAAACTCTAGATTACATTATAACTAGATTAAGTATCTCTCTGCAGATTACCTACCCAGAGTCGCATTAACATCACTGCCAACAAACTCGCCACCATGGGTCTTGAACCAGTTAAGAGTTTGGAACAAAGACGCCTTGGGAGTTCGCTCAAGAGAAGTATAGTTGAGGTACTGAACACCGAAGCGGACCGCAGCTCCAGAGCCCCACTCAAAATTATCGACTAAAGACATATGTTAGCCACAATAAATATCATCTGCAAATAAAAGCTAAGTACTTACAGATCGACCAGATAAAGGCACCGGTAACGTTAACCTTATCCTCAGTAGCGGCAAGGAGAATGTTATCAAGATATCCCTGGATATAATCCGCCCGTCTTAGGTCCCATGTGGCATCCTGAATGTTGGTATACTCGCTCTCAAACGGCTCTGCAAAGCCAAACTCAGTGACCATGATATCTGGAACCGCTGGGAACAGGTCTTTTGTAATAGTCTTCAAGAAACTCCTGATACCTCCGGGCGTGCTTTTAAGCCATGTTACACCAAGATCTCCAGAGGGACCTACGCCGAACCCGTCTGGGGTGACGGATGACTGCGATACACACTCAGGCCAACCGCCTGCAGAGCTATTGGTAGCACATGCCTGAACATCATTAATAGCACCGACGTAGTATCCAGTGTAGGCGTCAATAGCGTAGAAGTCGCAAGAGCCCTTGATGAGCTTCTTCTCTTTTTCAGTGAACGTGGGAAGAAGGTCCCCTAGAGTGTCTTTGAGGGACTGGGGGTAGTCTCCGTCTGTCCATGGACCACCAAACCAACCGAGAACAAAGTCATAGGCACGAGAGACGGCAGCAGCATCTTCAGTGCTGGTTGAGTTTGCTTCAAAGTAGTTTCCGGAGTTCTTGAAGGTGATGCGGCCCTTGCCCTTAAATTCTTCCTTGTACCATTTAGCGACCTTTGCGTGGGCAAGTCTATTCACCACCAATTAGTACAATTTGTTTCAAGGATTGAATGTGCCTGTAACTTACAACGTGTGGTGGCCGCATAGCCAACGAGCCTTTGCTCCAGGGCCAATACCGTACGAGGGATAGTACTCTCCAGCAGGGTAGTATGAGTATTGCCAGTTACAATATTGGGGTTCATTTATAGTGAACCAGACCGGAACATGCTCATCGTAACGAGAAATGATGAACTTTGCGTAGTTCACATAATCGTCGATAATCTTTGGGTTGGTCCAACCCTAAAATCCACAGATTAGAATTCAGATCATAAAATGTCACTCGCTCAAGTAATTTCACGGAGACCTACACCATACTCGTTGAACAACGCCAACGGGGTATCCCAATGGAACAAAGAGAGGGCAGGCTTGATTCCGAGCTTGACCAACTCTGCAATAACATCATCATAATGTTTCAATCCCGCCTCGTTGATTGGCCCAGAGCCAAAAGGGAAAATACGGGGCCATGAGATACTGGGCGAGAACCACGGGGTACCAAGTTTCTGTAGCCGTGCAAAATCTTGCTTATAGAGATAATAATGCTGGCCGAGGATATCGCCGTTTGTATCGTCAACAACCTGTCCGGGGACACGATGTGAGAGCAAATCCCAGATGGAAGGTCCACGGCCCTCATCTTTGGCAGCACCTTCGATCTGGTATGCAGAAGAACTAAGACCCCATGCGAAGTTCGCAGGAAGTTTGGCATTGGCTATCTCGGGATTGCTGCTTGCTAAAAGAGGGTGGAATAACGAGTCTGGTCCAACGTATGAGGGCTCTGGTGTAGGTTCTACGGTAGCAGTAACAACCGAGTGGGTTGCAACTGGGCCAACCTGGTTCCAGAGAAAGCCTAATCTCTCGTTGGAGTAGTCATTGTTGGGGAGGTAGGTAGTCCCCGCAGAAGCGTTGAAAGAAACAGTCTTAGTAGCAGCTGTTCTTTCAAGAATAGGGTGCCCGGCTTCCTGCGCCAGAGTTAATTTTGTACATCATAGTCTGAGGCAAATCACGACCTACCAACGGGGTGGCATTTCCTCCCAATGCCAGAACTGGCAAAGTTAAAACTGCGTACCGAAGCATATTGGATACCAATTGTCAAGTTGACACTATAAGAATTCCTAGTAACTCGGGAGATTGCTCTGGCCCTCGGAGTGCAAGGCTCGGGGCTTTCCTGCTCAACGATAGATCAGAGGAGGGGAATTGTCTCTCCTTAAATATTTCATCATTCCCCCGCCCCCGTTATTCCTCAGGTTTACAGGTTCAATCCGGGGGGGGGTAAATGGAAAAGCCTGGCCATTTGCCTTGCAATATAGTTTGGTCATATTCTCAACGAAATACCCACTATCGTGCATTCAAATCTGAATTTTATTTCAATGGTAGCCTGAGTCAAACCCATAAAGGAGAGAAAGCAATCATCTTTTGGAAGGTGGATCGTTGACCGCGAATCTCCCGATACAGACACTCGCACTCGAGCTCCTGCTTCCGTACCCCCGGGATATAAGCCAAAGTTCATAATACTTCTGATTGACCAGTAATATCCGTTGGAGCGGTTGTATGCAAGGCCAGTACTGGGGTCCGGGGAAACCCATAACGGGGATTCTCGTCAACTAAGCCTGGTTTCTAGCCTTTAGGATGATTTTCTAAATTTCCGGGGTTCGCTTCCGGAACTGACGGGCCGTCAGGTTGAACGTAGTAAATGCTCCGACAGCTGCAGCTAGAAAGATTACTTTAGCCTCAACATACCTACATGTTGTTTTCATCATGATAAACTTTTCGACAAGGAGCAATATTTTATTGTTGGATCCCAAGCCTCACGTCGAGTAAACCATCTCATATTTCTAGTGTTAAGACACAGCACATATTGTTAGTGGGTATCATGAGCTGCGGGAATTAAAAGCTTTAGAACAATTGCACAATAGAATTTATGCACAACCGCGACAGAGGCTGGAGACCTTAAGATGAAGCGGAAGCTGACGCTGATAATTCGTGACTGTTTAGATTGAGTCGATCCCGTGCTACATGATACCTCAGGCACCCTAGGGCACATATACAGTCGCACCTCGCTATGTCGTATCTCGATATCCCGGATCTCTCGCTGTCTCGTACGAATTGGCCTGCTACTTGTTTTCCACACCAAAATCTATTTGCTATCTCGTATTTTGGCACTTTTCGGATGGTATGGAAAATTGAGAACAGATACCCCCTGTCTCCATACAAATAATATTTGCTATCTCGGATTTTTAGGTCTTGGCAGCAGTTATAGCGGGGGTTGGGGGAGCAGCTATTCTAATAGAGGAGTGAGCTATTCTAATAGAGGAGTGAGCTTAAGAAAGATTCACTGCTCTGTACCGGGGGTTCACCTTAAATACCGAGACGCCTTGGATTTTGTATGGGAACCGCCCATGGCAACCAAAAAGCCAATGAATTTTGGTCTTGGCCCTAAAATTTGTATGGGGGAAAAAAGTACGAAGACACTTCATATATACTCACTCAAAAATCTAAATATTTCCCTAAAAATACAAAAAAATAACCAAATGATAGCCCTTGCTCTGGCCATCACCTTAATAGCAATCTTAAACTTTCAAACATGTTTTTCGTGGAGTTCAGAAAGAGCATCAGTGGAAAAGAGGGGATGGAGGTTGCATTGCAAAAGCTGCAACACACACAACTCAAATAATCTCTTGGCCGCCAAGTGTCCTTTTTTTTGAATCGACCAATAGCAGACGCCCGCTGGCCCTTACATCCCAAAATGGGGTTCTCAGTACTTACCCTTAACCCCCGGTACATAGGCTCAGAGTAGGCTCAGAGGATCGCTCCATCTTATCTATAGGAGTTAAACCTCTCAATAACCTTTATATAAATTTCAGGACATTTTAACAACTGATACCTGTATCTATCTCTAATTAGGTACCTGTTCGAATTCCAGTTATTTAGATAGATTCAGCATGGAATTCCATTCAAAAATGATTTTTTGATTCCATACCCTTGTTAGCTTGGGAATTATTATTCGCTGTCTCGTATATTTGCTATCTCGTACGGACTGAGCTCCTCGAACGCGCTAACGACATAGCGATGTGCGACTGTACATGTATGTATGCACCTATGTAAGACATACGCATTATGACTAAGAACTAAAGGTATTTTTACCTCCTTTTCGAAGTGAGTATACTTTATCAGGATAGTTATAACTATCTGTCCAGCTTGTGAAATATATATACGCAGCTTAACCAATCGATATCTCAAACCGTGGATGTGACTACATGTAGCTCTGTTAATCTATGTAACCTAAAAGACGTACCAACATGAGGCTCTTCATATGAGGCGGGTGCGACTTATGATACAAAATGGAAGGAAGTGGAAAAAAGAAATCCCGAAATACGATTAAGATCTTGTACCATAGATTTGTTCCGCGTGAGATCCTTGCAGCCAAGAAACCCACGTGAAAGCGATATGCAAGACTGGAGTAAAACAATCCTGTTCTGGTAACCCGCTGTAAGGCCAAAAGCAGTAGAATTATGAAGGCGGGGAAAGCCCCGTAAACTCACCCAGATAGGAAAGAGGGGCAGCCATTCGCCAGTTTGCCCCGCGCTAGCACGTTGACTAGGACCCTTTTTATTCCCCCCTCTCCCTCGACTTCTCCATCTCTCACCAGAATCAACAACTCAATCCTCTATCCACCTCAATTCCATCAAAATGACTTCTGAGCAGACGTATGATTCCCATTTCAAACTCTTCTTGTTTAATTACTCTTCTATTTAATAAAGCTGACGTTCATATGATCATAGTTTCATCGCGTAAGTCCCTGGATTTCAATTGCGTAAAGATAAAATGATATTAACTTCTCCATTTTGATAATAGCATCAAGCCCGACGGTATGTTCGAACTATTCTGACGATTTTTCTGCTGGTAACTGACGATTACTCTTTTTACAGGTGTCCAGGTATGCAGTTTTTTATCACAAATTCAGCGAGTAAGGTGGAACTAATCGTTTATATAGCGTGGACTCATTGGCTCCATCATCACTCGTTTTGAGGCCAGGGGGTGAGTTTCTCCCAGATACCCTTAAACAATTATATTTTTCTAATCCTTTATAGATTCAAGCTCGCTGCCATCAAACTTGTCACCCCCGGCAAGGAGCACCTTGAGGCCCACTATGCCGACTTGTCTGATAAGCCTTTCTTCCCTGGGTGAGTTTCTATAGTATGTTGTTCACTTGGATCTTGAGCTGATATATTATTTAGATTGATCACCTACATGAACTCTGGCCCCATCTGCGCCATGGTTTGGGAGGGTCGTGAGGTCGTCAAGACCGGACGTGGTAAGAATTTAACCCTAAGCATAGACTCAATGATTGTCAACTAAGAACGCAATTTTATAGTCATCCTCGGTGCCACCAACCCCTTGGCCTCCGCTCCCGGAACCATTCGTGGTGACTACGCCATTGTAAGCTTTCCCAGTCGATATTGAATTTTTGATTCAGCAAGCTGACCATATCGCGATACAGGATGTTGGCAGGAACGTCTGCCACGGATCTGACTCCGTTGAGTCTGCCCAGAAGGAGATTGCTCTCTGGTTCTCCAAGGAGGACCTTGTCTCCTACAAGCAGTCCCAGCACACCTGGATCTACGAGAAATAGATGCTCGTATTTCCTCCGTAGAGTACTAGCTTAGAATTGCGCATTCCAAAATATAGTCATATTTTGCGTTCAGATAGCGTTTTCTCCGAGTCCTTATGTGAAAAATAAAAATATCCAAGTAAACCAAGCCAAAACTATTTCTCCCAACTTAAAACTATTTCTCCCAACTTAAAACTATTTCTCCCAACTTAAAACCAGTTATTCTGTCTGATGCCACTATGAATAACCACGTGATATATGCATGAAGATCTATGTCTTGGCAAAACTTTTTCTTGACGTCTGCCACGAATTTTAAGCCGCCTCCAACAAACTACCCTAGGACCTTCAATCCGGCGCAGATACAAGAACCTAAGCTATGAACTTCGGCGGATATCCAGGTACTCGAGGGGGCGCAAATGGCGGCGAGATGTCTGCTGATGAGCAGCAGCAACAGATGATCAAAATGGTGCGCATTTCGTCGCCCACCATTTCCAGATTACCGAAGCTAACATGGGAATTCATAGATGCAAGCTGGGTTGGAATCTTGTCCAATCAAGACTGTCATCTCTGGAGGGGCCGGATTTGCTCTTGGAGGGGTTTTCGGGCTGTTTATGGCCAGTGTACGAACCCTCAATCTGTCCCTTAATTAGCCATTCCATTACAATACTGAGATCGAGGAATTTCATGTTATAGATGTCCTACGACACACCCATGACCGGCGGCCTACCTGGTGCAAAATCACTGGCAGACCTGCCGCTGAAGGAACAGTTAAGACGAGGATTCAAGGATATGGGCCAGAGGTCATATTCTAGTGCGAAGGGTTTTGGACTTGTGGGAGCAATGTATGCAGGTTCGGAATGCTGCATCGAAGGGTTCCGAGCCAAGAACGATATGTGAGTCTCTTCGAACCTATTTTTGGTATGAGGCTATTTGAGTTCGACGAATACTAACGGTTCATTTTTCGGGACTGAAGGTACAACAGTGTGGCTGCTGGGTGTGTTACCGGAGGTGCACTCGGAGTGAAAGCGGGGCCCCAAGCTGCGGCTTTCGGATGTGCGGGTTTTGCGGCGTTCAGTGCTGCCATCGATTACTACATGAAGATGGACTAATCGATTGGTAAGTATGATATCTCCTTCTTTGGTAATATAACCTGACCTGACGCTATTTCAAGGACATTTTTAACATATATATATATCTCTTCTGCACTCATTTCTTTTGTCCAGAAATTATCTCTCCTCAGCAGCTTCATAAATGGGGGTCTATACACATTTTCGTTCGTGGTTGCATGGTTTCTTTTTCCGGGTGTAAATAAAAATAGGGTTTGGGGTCTTCTCTCTTGTAAGATACGGTAAAACTAAAGGATGAAAATAGATCGGATGGTCTTTCAATAATCTGAAGATGTTAATGTCCTTTAGGATTTAGTTGACTAGTTTTAAATCTCCATCACTAGGGGGGATCCTAACCTTACTCACCTTGAGCTTTAAAATAATGCCGACGCCTTAAACTGTAAACTTCCGGGGCCTCTGCTCTCGCTGGATCATGGCTATTCGGCTTTAAAATTAAATTATTTTATTTGGTCAGCTCTTATCACTCAACATATCGGGAGGGGATTATGAAGATCTATATATCTTGCGAGGCGGGGGGAGCATGGTCTATGATACTTACCTCTTAGGACTAGCAAAAACATAATAATAAACCGTAAAAAACAAACGGAGTGATCCAACAAACGGACAGAGGGTTTGTATAATCATTAACCCTAAAGAATGTTACCATTCATATCGGGACTCCCATCAGTACTAACCCTCCAAGTTTAAGCTCCATGTGGCATATGAACACCAGGAAAGCTAAGCGTTAATGAGATCCTTCAAAACGTTGAAGAAATCCAGTAACAAATCAAACACCATGACTCATTAACAGCTACCCGTACATACAAATATTCTAAAACAAATGGTGGCATAAAGCACGTTTTTGATTAAATGTTTTTTGATTTAATTTTCAAACGAATGTGTTAGCCTCGTGATAATTGGAGGCACGTAATTGAAACTGCTGTTATATGCCCTCTAACCAGTCATATTGCCCTTGATATAACTGAACCAAATTTTGAAGCGTGATTGTTTTTGTTGGAAAATTAATCCCCACACACGCGTGCAGTTACTCTGTCTTTGAAAATTATATTGTCTTGGCGCTATTATGTGTATCGTTTATTTCTAACGAAATAGATTTTGGTATGGAGGTATTCAGTAATAAAGCTACATCTTTGATCGATAAAGTATTGAAACACGCTCTAATCTACCTAAACAGCCAATCACGCTCGATCACTCGCTTACCAGCTCATGCCAAAGAGAATGAGCAAATTCGCCTCATGAGTTCAAGCCGGATCTAATTCGAGCTGTCCAGCTGAACTGGAAATATCCATCAGCAGCAAAAAGAATTCCCGACGCCACGGGTTGTTTTTAACATCATAAACTTTGGTTCCAGGTCTTGCTGGGGATCGAACCCAGATTACGGGAATCAAAATCCCGTGTGCTATCCATTACACTACAAAACCTTTCCTCAATTTCTCATTTGTTCCCTCAAATTGGGAAAATAGGCGAACATAGCTAATCCCTGACCAATCCATTTTAGGCTGTCTGGATCCGGTATAGTCTCTATTGGACAGTCACAATCTGTCACTCGGCTGCATACTGCTCAGCAACTACAATTGCCGCCCTCGGATAAGCCTTCCACGGCCGCCTCTCTACCACCCGCTCTTAGCTGCACTCTTGATACCGGCCAGAAATCAATGGCGCGACCAGATGGCAGAAGTAATGGGACAACTCCTGGAGAACCCATTACTGATTAACATGCAACGGGGTCGGCACACGCACGTGGTTCGCATCCTTAACTGTAGCTATTGAACCCGACATTTATTGGCGCAGGTGCGCATGGCAAGGATCTAGGACTCTCACATAGTTGGACTTCTTGGCTGGGCCAGAACACGATCAAAAGAACAGCCAGGGTCTGGTATATGATACAAACTATATGCCAATAGTAGTTTGCGGTATCCAGTCAGATGGGGTCTATGTGTAGCCTGTCTTTGCAAAGCAGCGGTCTCGCGCCCGGACTCTCAAACTTGAGGGCTCTCTTACTCGGGGCAGGGGCAAAGTACGGGACACTCTAACCTTTTGCCTCTGGGCTTTTTTTTTTTTTTTTTGCAGTAACTCATGCCTAGCACGCGCACCCATTGGTGGACGAAAGACCTGCATTGTTCGGCACCTTTTGCCTGCCCCGAGTGATCGTGGAAGACCAGCTGTGCTGATCGAACCCGGCCATGGCAGCTGGGGAAAAGATTGATCCCCCCGGGCCTAAACAAGATAAAGGTCCACATTGGCTGCTATATATGGGAATCTACGTCTCTGTGTGGCATTCTGCTAACAGATTCGCTATTCCAGGGATTGGCAAATTGCAAGTCTACCCTACTTGTAGATACCGGTCTTAAGTTGCGGTATCTTTGATTAACGACACGACCTGTATCCAGATAGATTGGAGAGTTGAGTTTTATGTGGGCTTTCAGCCCGTGCGTAGATCCGGGTGGGCAGGCCTCCATTATGGATGTAAGTACAGTCGACTCTCGTTATAGTGATGCTCGATATAGTGATATTCTTATAAAGATGACACTTGCCGGTCCCAACATTTCACTATGGGCTATTAGGTAGTGATATCCTGACAGAATGATATCCTTAGGTTCTTGCAAAAAATTAATAAGTTAGCTATCATTTAGATATACTATACCGGTATGTGTTGGTTGAAGCTTTAATTGGCGTTGTCGTGCGCGCAAAGGCGTATACACGCATGGGATCTCACTCGGGTATTCTGGATATCCGATTGAAGATAGGCATTTCTTCTCGAACCTTTATCGATTGGTCAGAATTCACTATAGGACTGAGAGATTTTGTAATAGAAATTGGATTTGATTGATTGGGAATAGCAAATCAACTGAGTAACATCCATAGAGCAAAGAAAAAGACGTGGCCAAGTAGCTAACACCCTCGAGAGAACAATAGAACCCACTCCGAACCAGAACAAAAAAGGAAAACCCCCCCAATAAAACCAGCAATCAAGCCCAGAATCCCAAAACCACCAAAGCTAAAAATAAAAAAAACCAATTCGAACAAAACAAGCCCAATCAATTAAAAGAACCCATAGGGTATCCATCAACCACACTACGAAATCTCAATCTTCCTAGATCCCGCCTGGACCTTCTTAGGGACTACAATCTTCAAGATTCCGTGCTCCAGACTGGCCTTCACCAAATCTAGATCGACCGCGCCAGGGAATGAGAAGCTTCTCTGGAACTCGCCTACGTTTCTCTCGGACACCCAATACTTTGTCTTATCCGCCTCCTTGGTTCTCGCCAGCTCCTTCTTCGTAGCTTCACCCTCATCCTCAACGGTAGGCTTTAAGCTCTTCCTCCTCTGAGCGTCCTGCTCATGCGACCTCTCAATATGCCCGCGCACAAGCAAGGTTTGCGCATCCGTGAACTCAATCTGAACCTTTGACTTGTCGCATAGTCCGGGAAGCTCTCCCTCGAGGACATATTCGTTCGGAGTCTCGTAGACATCGAAGTTAGGCGAGAAGCCGGTGGGTTGGCGGTGGGTGGGTTGTGTGTTTGAGGGGATTTGGTATTTCTGGTAGAGGGAGGGGTCTCCGAGCATGCGGAAGAGGTTCTGGTAGTCGCGTGGCTGGAAAGACATTTTTGTGGTTGGTTGTAGGGTTTGGAGATACGAAAGTTTGTGTGGTATCGAATTGTGGTTAATTTTATCTAGAGGTTTCGGCGAGTGGCTTTAATTTGTTTGAAAGTAGAGAGGAGAGGTATTGACGTCGCGTAGAGTCTTTATAGGATATGATAGTTGTCAGGATACTTTGCTTGTTTTGTTCCGGTGTTCTGAATACGAATTCTATCGGGTGGATAATTGGGGATATTTTATAAGCACTCTCACTCACTCGGTCGCGCGACCTGGCCATATCTCAAAGAGAGTTGTGGAATCCTCTGGTAAGATCAGGTGCTTGTGACGTACTACGGAGTGAGCTCTAGACATTTCTCGAAAGCTGGGGTCGGCTCGCTTCCAAGCTTTGACAGGATACGAACCTTCCAGAAATATCGTGTGCTCTTGGCATCGGACATTGCGGTTCCGCATCAATCTTATCTTATCAGTAGAACGGGGCGAGTGACCGTTCATGATATTGCCAGAATGTGGCTGAGACCCATTTGCCTCCATTACAACAACTACATATCACAACCACAGCGCACTGATCGAGGTTTCACCCCATCCAATCTTATCGCCCCACAACATCGGGAACTGAATCGATCAGACCCTTTTATCGAGTGCATAAGATTGATATTCATACTATTGTGCAAGGCTTGTTTTGGTGATATTACTAGGGCCTTAGTAAGGTAGATATTCAGCAAACTACATGTATGCTATGGAACGGGTCCTTTTTGCTCGATGTACGAGTTCATACCATTGAGTTCAGCAATCCAGTACTAGTATGTTTTCCCAACCCCTAGCTGTAAAGTAAAGTACAAAGGCACCAAGCGCGCCCTGTGTAGCCCCCGCAAAAACCTAAAAATCTGCCCTACGAACATCATAGCTCTCACAAATATGTGAGTAACACATAGCGTCTCGTGTTGTCTCGTTCATGAGAATAAAAAGGGAAGGTAATATGGGAGGAAAGAATAGTACAGACAAATTATTACTACACTAATATGATCACCAGATCACCATTCAGGGTCCTCTCTCCTCTTCCAGCACGCCACAAACTTGCTCCCATTATTTCTCTCAACCTTCTTTCCCTCCTCGGTGTCTGTTCTCATCACCTCCACACACACGTCGTCTTTGAGGTCCTCCTCGGTTAGGCGGTCGAAAAGTGGGTGGTCGTCAAAGTGCTTAGCCATCCACTTGTGTAGATCCTCCACGTCTGTGATAGTGTAGACAATACCTCCTGGGCGGAGGACATAAGCATATTCTGCGCAGAGCGTAGGGCTATTAAGGCTCATGTTAGTAGAGTACCTAACTTTACGGCGAAATTGGGGTAAATACGAGACGATACGCGCTTTGTGCTTGCGCGCCTTGAAGTGCGGGTCAGGGAAACAAATAAATATTTTGCTGAGCTATCACAAACAGTCAGACTCCTCTTTCGTATCCCTACATCTCCACGGGTGAGTATAGCAAACCTGGAATTTCTCGTAGATGTTGGGGAGGAACTTCATCGTGTTCGCTCTGAGAACACTGATGTTCTGGTAATGGCCTTCGGCCTCATGTTGTATTCTGAGCGCCTTGATCCGCTCCTCCACATACTCCGTAACCTGGGTCCTGATTTCCATTCCTATATCCTCAAGAGTCGGCAACCTTTACCAAGCCGAATTGAACTTCTTTGGGCATACATACCCAACATTAGAGTATCCGGCAGCTTCTGCGCCAGCGACACAATCAGTCCTCCAAAACCACACCCGATATCCGCAACCTCGACTTGCTTCCCACTCGGCTTGGTCTCAGCATCTCCGTCCGCGGCTATGGCGCTCGGGAAGTACTTCGGGAAATGGTTGGCCCAAACCATCTCTTTCGGACTCGACGGACTACCCCAACACGCAATTAGGAACCGGCACCTCAATCTCTCCCGCCAATTCAACTGGCCACAGAATCAAACTTACTAGGCCAACTGGTGATCCGAAAACGGGTTCGCATGAGCTCTCTGGCGGTAGTATTTCTTCTGCGGCAGCTTCGCTTCCTCCTTGCGCTCCTGGTTGTTGCGGTGTTTTTCGCGCAGGCCTGTCCGCTGGCCGGACTGCTTCTGGCGCTTGGGGGGTGGTGGGGAGGCCATTGATGCGGGTGGACGTGGGATCGTGAGGTTTTGTGGGTATGGGTATGGTGGGCTGCAGTCATAATTTTAGTATCACGTTTTAGTTCCCGCGACTATGTGAGGCTTGGCGATGCGGCTTAAAGACCCTGGCCCTGATCAGGATACCGACGGTCTTCCTTGCCTAAATTAAAATGTTGGATAACCCCATCCAATAATTACACCATATTCCATATAGAGTTCAGTTCAGCTCTTATGAAATCAGGAAATTCTAATATACGCAATGACACTGGCTCGACACAAAGGAGCAAGCATACCGTCCGCATGGTATTTGCAACTACTTAATTAAGCTCGCCGCCCAGTTATTACATAGCTTCAGAGAGTCTTTAAATCTAGGTGGTGGGTAATATTGAGTATAGGTTCTCAACCAGTCGACCTGGCGAAGAATTACTTCTAGAAAGAAAACTCGCAAATAAATAGTGACTATATATCCTGGAAGAAAACGGAGTGGTAGTCGTTTTTTTCGTCTACCCCATACAAAAACCGATCTATCTAACCAGGATTGAGATAAGAAAACAAATTACTTGACACAAGAAGAGACCGAGCCTCCGAAACATAGATGTTATCCGAAATAGCCCACCGTGGCCTTTATCTGATCTGGCCCCCTCTCCCCCCCACCAATGTATTTTCAGAGCCAAAGTGCTTCTATATCCTGGTCCCACCACTAATCCGTCTATGGTATCAATTAAGAATTTAGACCCTTTTACCAAAGATTAAGTTTCTCTGCCCTTCTATCCCGACGCCACCTAGCCGTCCTGTCACACTCCAACCTATATATGGCCGAGTGATGTCTGGTGACCCACTCCGTCGACTGCAAGGTAACGACTCAGAGGTCGGCATGCCGTTAGAACGGCACATTCTAACCGAGAATGAACCCGATAGGTCGCATTCCGCTGGTCGTGTGAGCGTTGAGTGTTCACAGTTCCAGAAGACCCCTATCGCGGGTGGACGGCGGGTGAGACGTTCAGTCCGTGCGCGGCAGCTTGACCAATCGGTAATCGGGCAAGGGATGATGAGTTCTAACTGCATGCTATGGTAATGTAGGTCGATGAGAATTGATGTTTGATCTGCCCCTGATCAGCGATATTGTATCTTGGTGAGAGTTTTATTCCTCGTGTTTTCTTTTCTTTGCTTGTTGAGATGTGTATGTGATAGGTGTGTCGCGGTTGCGAGGGCGAGAAAGCGAATCATGTGGAGTCACTCGAGGTGTCTAATCAATCGTTTTCGCAATGAGCTGCCACTATTAATATGATTATCATCATATCCCGAAAGAATGGAGAGGGAGTTCGAATGGAACTAAACACCGGCTAGAATGCTATAAAGCGCTGCCAATGTTTCAAGTCACTATCGCAATCACAGTAGCACATCAATTGGAACATGTTTGTTAAGGAGCAACCAAAGTTAATTCCTTTGTATTATATTAAATATTATTTCCTCCACATTTTCTAATATAAACCATCCCCTAGCAATGATCCATCATCCTACTACCAAACCCCCCATCCTTTCCCCTTTCTAAAATCCTCCCATCCCTCTTCTCCTCCACCAATCGATCGATTCGAGAAACTGTTTAAAGACACAAAGGGGCGGCGATGTTGACAAGACCTTTCTGCTCTCCACTGCTGACGTTGCAGCACTTGACAGTGGTGGCGGCACCAGCTACGGCAGCGCAGATACCTAGAAATATCAATATTAGAATACAATCTTGAATAAGACAAGACAGCTCAAGAAGGGATTGGCATACCGAGATCGATAGAGTGGATGCTCTGGCAGACCTCCTCGCTTTTACCGTGCATGGTAGTGCAGCAGGCAGCGACGTTGTGGCCGTCAGTGCGGGCGGCACAGGCGTTCTGCTGGGTGGGAGGGTTGCAAGAAGGAGCAGCGGCGACGGCGGCAACGAGAGTGGCAATGGAGAAGATGGTAGAGAACTGCATTTTGATTGATTTGGAGGTTTGTTTTAATAAAAAAACGAAAGTAGTTGAAGAGTGTGGTAGTGAGTGAGTGTAGTGTGTAGAGCGAGTGAATTGGATGAGTGGATGGAGATTGTAGTTGGGGGTGGGAATGGCTCTCATTTATACAATTCTGAAGCCCATTGATTTTAGCCCATCTGACTACGGGAGAATGATAGCTACAGCGCTTCAACCTACGATACAAGCTTACCCCCCACTGCACGGGGCTCTGGTGGCGGTTGTGAGGTTTGGTGGTTGGTCACTCTACACGGTTGAGGTGGTCTAAGCTATCGTGGAAGCTACGGTTAGTATCCCGCTGTTACCAGTACTGAGACCGTTGAGTATCCGGCCTCATATTCGCACAAACCTTCCAGATACTGAAAAGGGGTGTTGTTGAATCTAAGGTATCGCGTGCCGGTGGGACAAATCACTCGGCATACACATATCAGACAATTAGCTGTAAGACTCAATTGCTAGACATTGAACTGGAACAATATTGCTGATACGAAGTCTTCATACTGTTGAGTTTGAGGCACTGATACAGTCCGAGTAATATGGCCTGATCAATACTTCAAGAAATTATCACGAGTTCTCGGGGGAAAATCCGAAGAATACCAACTAGCGCAAGCATACATACAATCTCTAGAAAATTCACCTCCAATATGAAGTTAACAATTATTTAGAATTACACTCCCGAAGATCCAAATTTCGCACCCATGGCCATGATATCACGTCTACGTACATACTCTATCGAAGCACAAAAAGAAGCTCTTGGTAGCTTATAGTGCTACTCTAACTCTAATCCAGAGCTATGTAGTTGTAGCCAAGCCAGGTACCAGGATATCCCAGCAAATCCGGCCCACAACTCAAAACCAACCAACCGGAGCTTACTTACCGTCTCTCTACCCAGTACCCTAGTGAGAGCTAGGAATCTCGGCGCCCCCACCTCACTGACAGAAGCCACACCGTCTTGTTGATGCCCGATCGGGATAAGAGAGCAATAATGGCCCGAGCGGCCCCCGGCCCCGGCCTTGATCACGGTATCTCTCAGCCCTGCGTATATTTACAGAAACATGGCAGAAACACCTTGTGGGTCGGTCGGGAATGAGACCTGGTTTTGAGGGGGTCGGGTGCGACTGGCTGTGATGGGTAGAGAGATACGAAAAGAGAGGATACGAGAAGGAAGAAGAAATGTGTTATTGGGAGGAGTGTTGGCAGTGGTGGTTCTGGGGGTTTCTGTCTTTAATTTTGGAGCTCGGTCGGGAGCTCATCAAGATTATGGTAATCTTGGGAGGTGGAGGTCGCCCAGGAGCTTGTCGTGGAAAGTTTTATTTGACAATGAAGTTGGGAGCTATCGAATTTACAAGAGTCACTATCATAATGCAGTACCCATATAGCGGGAAAATACTAGCTAGCTATAATCCTAATGATACTGCGTAGAGCACTTTGATTCATCCTATTGATTCTACTTTATGAGACGGTATGTGCCTACATACTAAATATCAAGCTCAAGACAGATATGATTGTTTATATGTCTCCCTCATATATTTATTACATGATCGTCGCGGGTTGGAGTGGTTGCAATATAGTTTTATATGTAATATCACTGCTGTATGAGATTGCGCGCAAATCGATCATGTTCCGCATGAGAGTTTTCATGCAAGGGACATATTACAGCGACTTTCATAAAATCATAATTAAACGACGATCTTTAATAGTGAAGAAATACCAAAAATCATTATCACCATAAATCATTATCACCATATGTTCCCATCTAAACCTCAATACTCCCAAAAACACCACAAAACCGAGTGATTCCCTATGCCGAGTGATCCCCCCGCCCCTTCTCCCCCTGCCCATTCTCCCTACCCCCGATCCTCCTCTCCACAAAAGCCAAAAAGCCAAAAAGCCACCGGAAGCCACGCTCCAAAGTTACCTAGATAATCCGGTAGCCCCCTCGTTGAAAAAGGGATAACATACCCTACCCAGGGCGCACCGTTGCCGTTGCCTTGCCAGCTAAGTTAGCTGTATGTCTTGGACCAAGTGAGACAATCGCAAGGCTAAGGGGACCCGACCACAGCTTCTCGAAAGCTCCCGAGCGCGCATCAGTGCCTTTCGAGGAATTAATTAACCTGATATCTTTCCGGGCGCTCGGCTTTGCTAGTACCGCCAAAACTCAAAAAATTGGCTATCTCCGTCCAGGGACTACCGCTTGAATAATTGGTTGGATGGCATCGATCTACATTAGAAGTTTCCCATACAAGTAATTCTGATCTAGCCAATTTTTTCGAGTTATGGCGGTAGGTACAGTATCCGGTAGAATTATTGCAAAAGTCAGAGCTAAAAGAGTGGATTTGTTGGTCTGTGCTCGCAGCAAAAACCTTTTAAGGGCCAATAGGACTATCGGGTCACGGAGAACCCACTTTCGCAATAATTTTACCAGATACTGTAGTCTAGGCGCTGGCTGTTGCCGCGCGCGGGCCTGGTGTGTGGCTAGTGGGGAGGTTGCGGTCGCCGCTCGGGAGTGATGAGCGGGATTTGTTTATGGGGCGGGATTCTGGGTCACAATGGGGGTCACAATGGGTGCTCGGGCGGGGATTGTGCGGCGGGCGGGCTAAGTGGGTACTAAGGTGCTACTGATCTGTCTACTTACAAAATTGACTGTTTCCCCCCTCTTCTCTCCTCTGCTACTCAATCGATCCTGAGAGGAGATTATAAGTGCTTTACTACATTTACATATCTAACTCTTCTTTCTTCTTTCCTCCCAATTCCTATAATTATGGAGATTCGATAGGGGGGTTCACTCTATCACTACCTTTACTTTAACACCCACCCGCCAGTACCTACGACGGGACCTTCTTTGCTCTCCTAAACAGCCCCAACACTGGCACCACAGCTACTCTCGCAAACCACGGCGTCGCCCACAAGCTCAACCCAATCCGCAGCGGCAGCAGCGCCTTCACGACCGCCCACGCCGTCGCAACCCTTTTCAACCCACCGATATCAGCATCCATGAACAAAAATGGAATCCATAGCTAAGTAGCTGTATTGCACACTCACTCAAACAGCAGTCTCCCGCCCTTGTCACCCTTAAAGCTCTTCCAGCCTTTCTTCCTAACCTATCCCTCCCTCCCATCAGCCCTATTCTATTCCCCCCAGTCTATCCCAATTCAATTTACTCCCCCTAATACAGTCCGGGGCCACTTACGTAATTCCCAAACTTCTCCGTCCCCGCCGCAACCCACTCGCCGGGCATCCCTGGCGGTGTCCACTTCGTCGCGTGAAAGAGCCATACGAGGCCGCCGAGCGGCACGATGGCAGTGAGCTCGTGCAGCACGAGGAAGGAGGTGATGTGTGAGATGGGCCGGTTGATGAAGCGCGAGGCGTAGGGGCGGAGACGCTTGGGGAGCTTGGAGGCGATGGCCTCGGCGGAGGAGGTGGGCGGCGGGGTCGGGGTTGGGGTTGGGGTTGGGGCGCTAGGTGGAGGGGCGCTGGAGAAGAAGCGCGGGCCGCGGGGTTTAAGGGTAGGGAGGTGGGCGCGGGCTTGGCGGAGGGGGCGGAGGCCTAGGGCGGGCATTGTGGGTGGTGGGGTGGTGGTGGTGATAGGTAGAGTAGATAGGTAGATAGAGTAAATAGGTAGATAGAGTAGATAGAGTAGATAGAGTAGATAGGGTAGAGTAGATAGTGCTTGTGCGGACAGGGTGATAGCTTGTGTTTGCTTCGAGTGTTTGCTTCGAGTGACGTTTGGTAATCCGCCCATCCATCCAGGTAGCTGCAGATAGCTGCTAGCTAAGCTCAACAAGCAAACATATCCATGACCAAGTGAAATCCACCACCATCACCACTATCACCACAACTTTAAAAGCTTCATGATTTAAAGAACCCAAGTATATTCCTCTAGCTACTATCTACATCACACCATCCTCACCGCAGCTTCGTCATGACAAACCCAAAATACTCAAACATGCCGCCTTCAGCCTGCAAGCTCTCAATCTGAAAGTCCGGCCAGACCTTGTCCCTTGTGATGATCGGCTTTATGAAGTGCGGCTGGCGATACGTGATGTACAGGAACGTCCCGCCGGGCTTCAGCACTCTCGCAACCTATTCCCACATCGTCAGCCAGTAAACCAAACAAGTAGCAAGTGGTGGTAGTGCCCCTACCTCGTCGATATACCGCGTCGTATTCTCCCTCACCACGTCCTCGAGATCCCATAGCGAGCCAGAGAGCATTGCGTCGAGTGTGCCCTACATTGACGCACCCACTCAGCACTTTCACCTCTACTAAACGAACCCGAAGAGGGACGGGACCGACAGACCTTATCAATGGTCAAATCAAACTCCGCATCCCCATACTTCATCTCCCTCACATCCATCACCTGCCACACCATCTCCGGATGGCGCTCCTTCATCTGCGCGATAATCACCTCCGAGAAGTCCACCATCACTTGGTCTGTGTATCCCTCGTTCGCCAGGTCCGCTGATAGCGTCTAGCCATTGCAAATCGTCAGATTAGACCATATTGTATTGTTTATTGTATATAAATTTTCTACATACACTGTTCCCGCACCCCAAGTGCAAGATGCGCGCAGCTTTGTCGGGCATGTGCTTTGCGAAGAAGGGCTTCAGCGACTGGAAGTCGCGGAACCAGTCGAACGACTTTGTGGCGCCCTCGGCGGTGTATTTTTCGTCCCAGTAGTCGGGCTGCGCTAGGCGCTCTACTTCAGCTTTCTTCATTGTTGGGGGGGGGGGGGGGGGGGAGCTTTGAGGGAATGTGTGGATTGGGAATTTTATTGTTCTATGGTGGGGTGAATATCGAGATATGAGGGGCAGTTTTTTTTTTTTTGAGCCGCAGAATGCAACCCTGGCCTTGGGGGTTGGGGGTTGGGGGTTGGTTGTTAGCTATCATTTCCCCTCCCTCGTTTGCTGACACCTTGCGGAGGTGCGCTTTTAACAATCTGGGGAGAAGTCTGCAACTCGAATTGAGCAAGATCCGGTACTACAGTGGAGTACTGCTACAAGAGCCCAGGAGGTCTGCTTCCACCTTCCTGCTCTAATTGATTTCGTGTGCAAGGAAGATCGATTTCTATGACGTATGGAATGTCACTGACTGTCACTGCCAAGATCGAAATATAGTTATCTTCTTGCGATGACCCAGCTCGATCTCCCACCAAATTCGTCTGCGCCCTCGGATTCTCTCAGGATATACATCACAATGTCGTCCATCGTGCGTACGTCGCTGAGGCAATTTTTGCACACAAGCCGCCAGTCACTCCTGGCGTCGTTGAAGGCAAAGAAGCCGGTTAATATTGTGATTGGGAATCAGTCTGCGGGTATGTTTGATATCACTAGTCGGTCCTAGTTCTGGTCTTTGTTATACCAGTAGTATCAGTAGAGTTCTAGCGCGGATATATATATTAATAAAATGCAATGAAAGAAATGAACTGACGATCCAGACATCGACTCCTTCGCATCCTCCATCCTCTACGCCTACTACACCGGTCCCACCACCCCGCCCACCACCCCGCCCACAATCCCCCTCCTCTCCATCCCGCGCGAAGACCTCTCCCTCCGCCCCGAGATCCTACACCTCTGCAATCTCTTCTCAATCTCCCCCTCCGACCTCAACTTCACTGACGACCCCCCCATCACCGACCTACCCCAAGACTCAACAAACATAGCCCTCGTCGACCACAACCACATAGAACCAAACCTCTCCTCCCATTTCACAGACCCCGCCAAAGCCGTCACAGCCGTCATCGACCATCATGACGATGAGGGCCTATACCCAGATGCAAAACCACGCATCATAACACCGAGTGGATCATGCTCGTCTCTCGTAACCCAGCACTTCCAGAGTGCGTTCCCGCAGAGCGGAGACGTCCGCGGGGAGCTGGCGCGACTGGCGCTCGCGGCGGTGCTCATTGATACTACGAACATGACCAACAAGGTCACGCCGCACGACGAAGAGGTATTGGCTTTTCTCGAGGCTGAGATAGCCAAGAGCGTTACAGAAGGTGGTGGTGCCGGCGAGCCATGGGATCGTAAGAAGTTCTACAACGGCGTGTGGGACGCCAAGAACAACGTTGACGCCATGCCGCTGCGGGACCTGCTGCGCAAGGACTGGAAGGAGTGGGCTGAGAGCGTGGCGGGTGTGGACGGGGTACAGAGAAAAGTCGGTATTGCATCTGTGCTGCGGGAGCTGGAGTGGTTGAAGGGGCGGGAGGCGGGCGAGGGGTTTGTGGAGGGGGTGAGGAGCTGGGCGGGGGAGCGGGGGCTGGATGTGGTCAGTGTGATGACGACTACGGGTCGTGGGGGGACTTTAGGAGGGAGTTATTTGTGTGGGTACTGAATGAAGGGGCGGAAGGGTGCTTGGAGGCGTTTGTGCGAATGGCGGAGGAGGCGGGGTTGGGGCTGAGCGTATGGGGTGGGGGCGCCCTTGATGGGGATAATGGTAGGAGGAGGGCCTGGTGTCAGAAGAATTTGAAGGCAAGTAGGAAGCAGGTGGCGCCGCTACTAAGGGAGAGTATCAAGGTGGGGGCCAAGAGGGAATCCAAGGTTTAGGCCCGTTTTCTTTTATTTCTTGTTTCGTGATACCTAAACGATAATGTTCTTGTTTTTGTTCCTCTCCAAATTGGTTTAAACCCACTCCCAAGAATGATAATCCCGCGGATTGTAGAAACCGCCCAACTGAGCCTTGATGCCGATAAAGTGATCTTTGTTCCTAGAATAAGCTGATCGGAGTCCGCCGAGTGATATTTCATGATGATAATATTGGCCTCAGGTTCTAGGTCCCACAAGATAAAAGTTGATTTTAACCCTTCAACTCGAGATCATGGTGCTTGAATCATGCATAGATTGGGGATCATTTCCAGGATGGATGAACTATGGTCTTACCTGGAGCAGCATCTCTGCTCAATGTGGGGGGATAAATGGTTACTACATGTTGCTACTACTGCTTTCCCTCACATGAAGGGTAGTAATAAGAAGGGGATAATACTAGACGATGGATGGTACTACATAAAGGACGGATTACATCTCAGCTGGGGAACACTTGCCAGGTCATGGTTGGGTGAGGAAATGATTGGAACGCTTTCAGGCTGTTGGTGATCGAGATCTCTTTATGTGAGGTCCGGAAGGTTTTCAACAAAGATGTCTCAGGCTCTGTTGCTCTATTCCTCGAATGAAAGAAGGTGAAAGTGACGATAATTGGATTCAGTGGGTATCGCAGCTTAATTTTATAGGCTCCCAAAGCTAACACATAGGCTTAATCATGCAGTTACATGTATTGTAACGTTTCTTAACGTCGATTCCGCTAACTTGTATTTAAAAACCCAATGCAAACTCACTTTGTACCTACAGTTGAATCTCGCTATCATGAACACAGCCTTCGTTTTGATTCCGAGTACTTTCTCTAACGCACTAATAGGAGCACATCCTGGTAACGGCGAGGAGGACGAAAATTAATCGGTAAGGGTGTACTGTTCTGCTTATAATTATCATCTAAAAGATGACAAGAATCTCGGCTGCAGGTGCGGGGAAAGAGATACCAAGTGACCCAAATCAAGTCTCCCGATTAAACCACCATGGGATCCGTCGCCGATGCCGCTAGGCCATTGGGAGTTTCGGTGTTTCTAGTGTTATGTACCTGTTCATGGGTCCATGTTGCGTTGCCGTACCAGCTCACCAGGCCCTGCCGATGTAGCGCCAGTCACAATATATCACTCGGTTTATTGTCTCCTAAATTATAGCTTTTTCAAATCCCCAATTGGGAACTTTGAAACCGTAGCATGAGGTTATGAAAGGTTTATAAGACATTGCCTTATAGAATAAAACATTTCTCTATGATACTTTCACTAGCCTAGGAATTGGACAGACTCTTAAGCCTGGATATGCGGATATCCGGATACACCGTAGTATCCGTTCCGCATTGCTCTAGACGAAGGAGGGATTGTGGTCGAATTACAAAGTACGTAACTCTTTGCGCATTGCGAAATAGTAGTAGCGATTCAGATACCCGAGGAAGAGGTCTTCCACGGGATTTAGAGATATGATATTGTTTTCCACTCCAAAGAAATGAAACGAATGAAGAGGATAGGTTGAATTAAAGTAAGAAATGAAACGCTAAAGGGAACGCTTTTATATAATAAATCGACGCGAAGCCAACACCCTGACAGTAATACAGAACAAGAAGGAGAAAAGAAGTAAGATAAAGAGGAAAAAGGAACCTTAGTAAAGTGGTTAGTCGCTCCTCAAAATAAGTTAAAATATAAGGATTATATGGTTAATTGCAAGGAAAAGCCCCTAGTCAAAAAGAAAGAAAATCCAAACCCCACATAACTCATGGTATCATATCCGCACAATAAAAGGGTACGGAGGGTCATCTCTGTACCCCTTTACCCTTCCCTTTTTTTTTCGAAGAAGAGCTTGAGTTCCCATCGCTGGCTGCCTGAAGGAGCATCTTCAATCGCTCCTCCGCGCTCACGCCTTTCGACACCTCACTACTTCCTTTGCTGCTCCTCCCGCCGAAGAATCCAGCCCAACTCCCTGCGCTATGGCGCCACGTACTCGGCGGCTTTGAGTTTGTCGGATTGGAGCCTACTGGGCTTGTACCCCCACCGTCTTTATCGCTTCCGCTGGATGGAGAAGGATAAAGGGCCGAGTTGTCTGTCTCGCGGGCCATGAACGCAGCCAAAGTTCCCGACGATGCCCGTCTTGACCACATACCACTTGGCCGCCGCGGGGACATCAACGGCGACATAGGGCGGGGTGAGATGCTGCCTTCGAGATGCTGCTGTGCGGTGTACATGGGACTGGTCAAGCTCACCCCCGTCGCCGTTTTGGGCGCAATGGGAAAATAGCTGCCGCTCGCGCTGATTTGCTCGTTGCTTGGACTTGGGAGGATAGTGCGAAGTTGTAGATGCGGGCTTGAGATACCGCGATTATGAGTATATGACGTGCTCGCCCTAGAGACAGTTGGGGAGCTGAGTAGCAGCGTTGAAGACGTTGATAGGCGCCGCCGGGGAGACCATGATGACGATGGGTGCATGGTAGTCCGGGAGGATGAGGATTCGCCAAGGTCGAGATCCAGGCGGGACATTAATGTTTGAACGGACAACGGCCGCGAGACGGGGCGCATCTCAGGGGAGCGGACATTCCGAAAGCGGACTTCAATCTCGTGGGCTTTGTCGGCGAGGAGTGTGTGTAACCGTGGGTAGTGCTTCTTGTGCGCAGACGAGAGTGGTGATAAGCGTTCCTGCACAGGGAGCATCTCATCGATTGCAAGCAGCGTCGTAATGATAGATGTGAGGGATGTGTGAGTGGCCTCTGCGGCCGCGGCAAGCGCATCTGCTGTAGAGCCTACACCAGAGTATTATTAGCACCCCACAGGACGATATCATACTATATCTATACCCACCTCCTTTCAACCCCACAGCCTCCGCGTCTAATCTCTCGGTCCGCATCTTGGTCGTTTTGAAAGCCTGGCTAGTCAGCTTGTCCGCCTCCTTTATCATCGCGTCAATCTCAGCCTGCGCGTCTGTGAGCGCATCAACTTCAGTTCGTAAGCTCGTCTGATACTCCTCGCATAGCTTGCCCACAGAATCGAGTGCAGTCGTGACTGCACGTATGATCGAGTCAGCTCAATCGATTGGATACTATCACCAGAGGTGAAGAGAAGTGCAGGTTACCAGCGGGGTCGATAGCTTTTAAGATCCCATCGAATGAGAAAGAGTCAATAGATGGGAGCGCAATGTCTTCGATATCGTCATTCTGTATGTTGTCGAGGTCTGGGTTAGTGATGTGGTTCATGTGTAGTGGGTATGCAGACACGTCGATAATGTGGGCGAAGAGATGGGGTTATGTGACTCCCTGTTGGCGGGGGGAGGGGAGAGACGAGACGAGACGGGAGGAGGGATGACAAACACACCTCGTGCAAAGGGGAGGCATTTCTAGAAACAGCTGGTCCCGGGTTATAGCTTTTGACAATAACGGGCGTATCCACCACAGCGCTCCTGGTATGGCGATGTCCATACCTGTGTCTATTGCCTCCCAACGCCCCATTCCCGTTGCTGCTTCCATTTAGCAGGGTATCGCCAGATATCGACGCGCTCCGGTGATGACGATTGTTACTACTGGTGTTATTGGCAATTCCTGGATGGACGTCGTTCGCTGTAGAGGAATTTGAGCGCTCTCGGTTTTCCCGGTTCGCATTTTCGGCGCTCCACAGACTGAGGAAGGTGCTGAATGTGGTAGACGCAGGGAGCGAGTGACGGCGGGTAAGGCGGAGAAGCGAGGCCTGGGCAGTTTCGGGGGGGTTTCCAGGGCTGTTGGAGGAGTCTGGCATGCCGAATCAGCGGTGACGGCGGGGGTGGGGAGGGGAGGTGTGCAAAGCTGGTAGGTGTCCTAACTGGAGACAGCCCGGAGACACACCACGATAGAGATCGAGGAACAGATAGAGATTCGTTCGACAGAAGAGGTTCTTGTGGAGATTGACAGGTAGATTTTCTCTAATGTAGTATCGCGTGTGGCATGTGTCGGGCTGTTTTCTTTCTTTTTCCCTGACCTGCTTGGAGCTGCTTGGAGCTGCTGAGCTGCTGCCCACCTCTGTGTGTGGAGTTAGGGCCCTGTTGGGTAGGTAAGTAGTCACTACTTTAGTTGTCAACGTGTTCGTGCATATTGTTGGTCCACAAACGAACATCAGGAATGAGGTCAATTTCATATCGTTCTTTCTGGATCAATGGCGAACCTGGAGCAAACCCGCACTTATTGGTCAATCAGCTCACTGACCCATTTGCAAAGAGTCTGTTTCTAATTGTGTGCCCTTAGGCCATCTCCAATATAATAAAAAACAAACAAGTAGAAAAACAAACAAGCAGAATCATGATTTACCTAGATCTAGAGTAGAGCAACTTTTGATAAGAAAATAGATCGCAATAGACAAAGAATAAATACCAAATAAGGAAAGTGTCTAGCTGTTTTTATAGACGGGTGAGATAGCATGATCCTGCCCAGGTGAGGGAGCATGTCCTCGTGCCCATTTTTTTTTTTTTTTTTTTTAAATCATGTAGTTTTAATTAATTCTAGGTACAAAACTCTGCATGCAGTCTTAGACTATGGCATAAAAATACCTCTCCCCTACTGGAAAACCCAAATATCACAACCCCCAGAAGAAACAAAGGAAAAGTATGAAATGACAAAACAACTGCGCTGACGTACTGACTATCTGACTGCAAGGAAAACGACTGGTTCTGGCGGTCCGTGTCCGACATGATAGGAAATCCTGCTGGTTTTAAATAACCTGTTGCCCTTCGAGGGTCTTTTTGTGGGTGGGGGTCCGTAGTTATGGACGCGGTTTGCGGAGGCTAGGCGGTGGAGGGAGGCGAGCTGAGGGCACTTGATGTCTCAGATCCGGATAGGAGGGGGGAGATGTGTTCCTTTCTGGGGAAGTTTGTTTTGGTGGCGGTGATGAAGGCTCCTAGAGCTAGTGTGTTGGTGCGGTCACTCCAGATCTCCTCAAGGGTTTTAATTCCTGGGAGGAGTTGGGCGCGTTGGGTTGCTTTCGCTCGGCAGAGGAGGATGGCGTGTTCGGTGGTTTCAGGGGCTTCGCCGCATCTGTCGCACTTTTCGGAGAGGTGGAGGTTGAGCCAAGATTTGTGGCCTCTGAGGTAGCTTTTTTGGGCTCTCATTTGGTGGATTCGGGTAGCCGTGAATTTATGTAGGTCCATGAAAGGTTCAGGGCTTGTGGTGAGAGGGAAGGAGTAGTAGGGGGGTGTCGGAAAGTCTTGTGCCCAGTTATTCAGCATTTGATCTTTAGCTTGTTTTGGGAGGAGTTTGTGGTCGGTTCCGCCTGCGATTGGGTAGCGGAGGAGGGAGCAGAGGTGTTCGATGGGGAGGTAGGCCACTCCCTTCGTTGCCGTTGAGTTCCACTTTTTGGGTGGGTTGGGGCGACCGCGGAGGAGGCTTGTGTGGGAGGGGACCCTATCGGGGGTCAGGGTAGGGAAGGAGGGGTGGCAGCGGCCTGTCACTGGGTTGTTGAGAGGGTGGGCGAGTAGGACGCGGATGGCGAACTTTGTTTTCAGGTAGTGGATGTAGTTGATGAGTGGGGGGCAGTGTGCCTCGGCCCAGAGGACGCGTTGGTTGGTTGCCCTGAAGCAGCCGGTGGCCCATCTGAGGACTGAGTTCCAAAATTTATTCATTGCCTTGATGGAGCTGGTGGGTGTTAGGACGGATGCGCCGTATGTGAGCATTGGGCGAATGGCGAGTAGGGCGATTTTCCTGCAGTTAGATGAGGAGAGGCCTTTGCCGGGGGAGGAGAATCTTTGGAGGATCCCGAAGCTGGCTTGGGCGGAAGCTAGGCGGCGGATGAAGTGGGTGTTTGGGTTGAAGTTTGGGGATAGCCAGAATCCGACCCATCTGACTTGATGGCCTGGGTGGAAGATCTGGTTATCGAGGGTGATGGGGAGGGTGCAGGTTGGCGCCTTATCTTTGGGGGTTCGCCAGTGCATGAGTTCGGTTTTGGGGATTGAGAAGGTGGTGTTCTGGGCGGCCGTGATGGCTGTGATCGCCTTGAAGTGTTCCTCGAGTATGTGGATGTTTTGTTGGTAGCTGGGGGAGCCCACGGTTACCGCGAAGTCATCGACGTAGGATAAGGTAAGTCCTGAGGAGGGGTCGTGTAGGTGAAGGATGTTCATGTATATGACGAAGAGGAGGGGTGATATGGGGGAGCCTTGGGGGACGCCGACCTGGACCGGGGTTGGGATTCTTGGGGAGCCTTTGAAGAGGAGGGTGATGTGTCTGTCAGAGAGGAATGACAAGACCCAGTTGATGATGTATGGGGGGGTAGCTTTGGCCGCGAGCGTGGATGCAAGGGTGTGTTTGACGACGTTATCGAAGTCCCCCTTGATGTCGAGGAATAGGGTGGAGACTTTTAGCTTAGCGTGTTGCATGGCTTTGGTCTCATGGAGGAGGGTAGTGACCGCATCTGCTGTGGACAGGCCGGCTACTGATCCGCATTGGTGGGGGTGGATTAGGCCTACCGCTTTGGCGATAGACGCGAGGCGAAGGGTAACGATCTTCTCGAGTATTTTGGAGAAGGTTTGGAGGAGGACGATTATTCTGTAGGAGGTGGGGAGTGTGTAGTCGGCTTTGTTCGGTTTTGCTAGAATAACTCCGTTTGCCCTTTTGAGAGAGAGGGGGTGGTAGCCGCTTTTCAGGAGTGGGTTTAGGAGCGCTGGGATGATGTGTGGGTTGGCTTTATGGACCCCTTTCCATACTGAATAGGGGATGGTATCTGGGCCCGGGGCTGAGAGGTTGGAGCTGGGGAGGAGGGTGGTTCTTACTTCTTCGGGGGTGATGTCCGGGACGTGAGCGAAGTTGAGGGGGGGGGGGAGCCAGTGTCTGGTCTGGGCGGGAAAAATGCTTTGACGAGATTCTGGTTTAGTAGTGCGGGGGTGGGGGAGTTGGGGAGGGATGGGACCCTGTCTTCTGTTCTTGTTGCCATCCTTTTAAGTTTCCAGACATCGCTGGTGGCTGCATTGGACACGAAGGAGTTCCAGTGAGTGCGTTTTGCGTTTTTGATTGCATTGAAGTAGGCATTCTTCGCCGCTTTGACTTCGAAAGGGGACTGAGGCCTCTCCTGAAATCGCGGTGGACAGAGTGGTAGATTGTGCGGAGTTGGGTTATGTTGGGGTTCCACCATGGTTTCGACCATTTGGTGATTGTTTTGGAGGGGGTGTGTTTCTTTAGGGTATCTGTGAGTTCTTGCAGCGATTGTTCGAACCAAGCGTCGAGGCTTGCCGAAGGGTTGGGGCTGGGGACTGTGAAGTCCTGGAGGGCAGGTTGAAGGCTTGGCCAGTCTGTGAGCTTCCAGTTGGGGCCAATGATGGGTGTGAAGTCAGTGTTGGGGAGGGCGAAGGTGATGGCGATGGCCCTGTGGTCAGAGCCAGTGGCCTCGGGGAGGGGTTGCCATCTGCTGAACAGGGGGAGGGCTCTTGCGTTAGCGAAGGCGAGGTCGATTACTCCGTGTCTTTTCCGGGGGTCCGGGGAGTGACGGGTGTAGGTGCCTGGGTAGTTTAGGAGTGAGAAGTTGTTGGTTGTGGCGGAGTGGGTGTATGGCCCTGAGAGGCGAAGTTCCCCGTCGGAGAAGTTCCTCATGGGGTCTGCTGCAGGGGAGTGGATGTTGAAATCCCCCACTACGACGAGGGCGTTGGGGGTGTGGGTGAAGATTTCGATCGGGCTGATCGATCTCGAGGAGTTGGATACTTGTCTGTTGTAGATATTGGTTATCGTGAAGGTGGAGTGGGAGTTTGAGGAGGTTAGTAGGAAAAGGTTGACTGAGATGAGGTCTCCTCTATGGGAGGGGGTAGCTGTTGCTGAGTTGCGTTCGAGGAGGTGATTGGAGACGTAGGTGCAGGTGGATATCTTGTCTTCTGCGTTGGATGGGGAGGGGGAGTATGATGTGAATGAGGGGGCGTTGAGGGACTTTCCTTTGAATAAGGGGGGTTCTTGAATCGCGATGACGTGGGCTTTCGAGACTGCGAGGGAGGAGAAGAGGGAGATGAAGACACTATTGCTCCCAGCGCAATTGTGTTGTATGATGCGTAGAAATGGTGTTGGGGGACTACTAATGTCTCCTAACATTTTAGGCGTTGTTGAGGTCCATCTCCATCACTGAGGTCTGGGGAATCTCTGTGACTTCTTCGTCGGGGTGGGTGGATGGGGAGCCGATGGGGGAGAAGATGCGGCCTCCGTGTAACGGGGGCAGCCTATCTATGTATCGCTAGAATCCAATAGAATAGATGCGGCCGTGCAAGATAGAAATCAGGTGCAGATTTATTCAAAGATACTATCGCTAGAACTCAATAATCTTTAAGGGCTCTGCTACCGATAATGGTCTACTCGAAGATGAGGATCTGGTCCGTTGGGCGGGAATGATCCTGAGTACTTATACTCCAAAGGATTCTATTCTCTGCTCCTACTTCCTTACTAAGTTCCGGTGCTGCCTCCTAGTGGAAGGGAAGCAATACCATCGCTACCCCGCTTCTCTCTAAGCGTCAGCGAGTGCTTCCGATTCCGAAGGCAACCACCCTTAGTCAAAGCCTTTGTAACACCTGCAGCCTTTGTTGCCACACAACTAGGGGCCTGCATGAATGAGCTGTCGCTCAGGTGTAAGCTTAATCATTGCTGTAGAGCTTCCGCTTATTGTAGACTTCCCAGGCATAGTCTCTTCCACTGCTGGCGGACTTTCCAATGCTCAGAGGATGTGGAGGATCGCTGAGCACTCAGAGCTTCACTCTGGCTAGCCTTCTAATCATTGGCGAGGCACAGACTCGTCAGTCGTTGCTCCCATGAGTAGATCCTCTTCCTAGCGCGCAGAATGTAGTTACTCTGACAGTTGGTAGCTAACCACACTGCCGGTACTTGCATGTCACTGTGCAACTGGCTTCTAACAATAACTCTCAGCATGTAACCGGGCCCTGTGTGTACTCATACACCAGACAGTTGAAATGGCTCCGTTACACTCCGTCTCTCATGCCGTTATTGGCCGAGTCTTGTTTCTGGAGGGCGAGTCTGTGTGGGCAGGAGGACACGAAGGCTGGGTGGGGACCTCCGCAGTTAGAGCATTTGGACTGGGAGACGTCGCAGCAGTCCATTGTTGATGTGTTGTATCCCTGGCAGCTGGGGACGGGGCAGCGGTGTTCCGCTTTGGTGTGGGAGAGCGTGCAGTAAGGGCAAGTTGGGAGCTCTTGTTTGCAGCCTTTAATGACGTGGCCGAACTTGTAGCAGTGGGAGCATTGGGTTCCTGCTGAGGCTGACCACATGATGGCGCATCGGCGGGGGCGGGAGAAGAGGCGTATGGTTGTACCGATGATACCGGCTTCAGAGCGGGAGACACTGATAACGATGGTGGAGGAGGTTTTGGCGTTGCGAGTTGAGTCGTCGGCGACGAGGAATCTGCATGATGAGGGAGTAATGCCTGTGGCTAGGCGGACGGCTTCAGGGAAGGTAGCTTGCAGCGTGGGTTTATCCCGGATGCTATATAGGGGGACTCCGTGTACTGCGACATCGATGGTGTCTGGTGCGGGGCGGAAGGAGGTGTAGGGGTTGTCGGGGGTGGGGATCTTTTGGTTGAGTATGGCGGTGAGGCTGTCGTAGAAGGGGGCGAAGGTGGTGTTCGGGACTGTTGGGGCAGCAAGGACGGTTACAGTTCCTTTGGCATTGACGGTGACCGAGAGGGCGGTGGCTGGGGCGACGAGGCCTTGTCTTGCTAGGAATTGTCCGAAGAGGACGGGGAGTTCAGCTGTTAGGCGGTCGGAGTCGGGGACGAGTGTGGGTGTGGCTTTAGTGGCGAAAAAGCGGCGTTTGTAGGTCGGGAGGGGCGTGTCCTTGGGGGGGATCCTGTAGCTTTTCCGTTCCTATTTCCGCGTCGTCTTTGTGGCCTGGCTGGTTGTGTGGGAGGGGTTATCGCTGATTTAGCGGCATCGGCGTAGGAAGAGGGCCTGAGGTTGGGGGGGGCAGGGTGGGGGGTGGTGGTTGCTCTTGGGGTTGGGGGGGGAGCAGGGGGAGCGGTGGGGGCCGGGGTATTGCGGAGTTGGGAGTTGATGCTGTCGAGGCGGTTGAGAATGCGGGGGTCGGGGGAGCGCTGGTGGCGGCGGACCTCCTCTTGGAGGTCCTCATGGTCCTGTTGGAGGGAGGCGATATCGCCTGCCATGGTTGCGTTTTGTTTGGCGATGCCGGACAGGAGGGTGATGACGAGTCTGGTTTCGTCCGAGGTGTTGGGGTTGGCCAGGATGGCAATGGTGAGGGCGGAGAGGGCGGTATTGTTGGCTACGCCTACAAGTTCTTGGTCGATATTGCCAATTCCAAGGGCGTCCAGGGCCTTGGTCATGTCAGGGGTGGGGCTTGGCATTTTGAAGCCTGAGTTTTACAGAGTTTTTGGTGGGGAATGTTGGTTGCCACGCAAGGTTTTGGTGGTTATTTTCAAAAAATAAATAAATAGCGGAAGAGAAGGATGATGTCCTCGTGCCCAGCCTTCTTGTAAAGTATATTTCTTGGCACCAAGTGAATGGGCACGAGATAGGACTCTGCGGGCCGGGTGAGACAGCATAAGATTCTTACTCTACAGTCAATCTCAAATATACGCCGGAGTGATGTATGGTACGCAGGGAGTTGATTGACTGCCATTGTACCTCTTGTCGTCTTTACCCTGGTTGGTTATTCGCCATTGACCCAGAAATACTCTATTTCCCGTTGAGGAGGGTGTGTGTGGAACGGTTTTCATCACCTTGCAGGACAATTGCTTTGTGCTCAAATGTCTTGCGTGCATGACTTTTTCGATGGATGCACCCCCGCAAATGCAGCCATAAGCTATCTGAGACACACGACATTCGTGTGGGGCATCTCTTGAGCTTTTCGGAGATCTAACGGGAGGGGTGCGATTAAGGTGATTTCGAGATTTCTTTTTTTTCTCTATTTTCTTTTTTTGAGATTCAGACAATTACCTCCGTTACCTTTCACTATGAAGAATATTAGGGATAATATATATCAGTGCGTATACAGTACCGTATGTATGTGTATTTGCACCGATATCCGGCACAAGTGTCTACATCGTAGTAGCTAATTATAGCGCCGAAATATCTGGTGTCTGTATCAAACAAACGCCAGTGAAAACAAAGCCAACAAAAGAAATACTATACAGATATCCCTTCTTTTATCTTCTCATGCAGTTCATCCACCCATTGCCAACATAAAAATTTCCAGTTAAGTTCCCTTCTCCAAAACAAGCCATACCCGGTCCCCTCTCCATCTTCACCTTCAGCCATTAGTGCCCCTGTCTTCGGAACCTTCTGTCCAAATACAACAACCCCAACTCTGCTATGAAGCAGAGCCATGGCACACATAACGCATGGTTCATGGGAGAGGTATACATGCATATTATGACATAGATACCCCTCTCCATTTTCTCCATTTTCTTCATTCTCCGCAGTCTCCGCAGTCTCCACCAACTCAAATGGAGTTATAGTAGTAGTAGTGGTTGTAGTTTTGGCCTCAAAGTATACTCTCTCAAGCTCCGTCAAGGGTCTACATGGGTTGTTTGGCATGACCTCCTCACCTGTTTCAAGTCTTTTCTGTGCAACCATAGCAACAGCTCTCATCACTGCATGATTCAGCGGGTTTCCCCACTCTTTATCACCCTTACACCTTCCATCTCCAGCTGCAGCCACAACTTCCCCCGTCTCTGGATTAACAATAACGCACCCAAAAGGCTCACCAATATCCAGATCTGCAACTGCAGCTCCAGCGCTTCGGGCAAGCTGTATATACTCACCCGCCCTCCCAAGCTTATTTGCCGCGTTCTCTACAATCGCCGGATGCGGCCCGTAGGGGTTCCCGCGCTTGTACACTGTCGGCCAGTATTTCTCTGACCACTCCTGCGCCTGTGCGGCCGAGATGGGCTGGCATGATGGGACAGGGATAATACTGATTTGCGGGCCCTCTGCCCCGTCTTCCGTGAACACAGGAAGTGCGGACAAGAACGATTGTAGCCCGGGAAGGGCTATGGCCTCGGTAGGGCAGACGAGCATGTACATAACAGCCGATTTTGTTGTGGCAATAGGCGGGATCTTCTCGGCCACTGAAACAGGAAGAAACGAAGGCTTTACAAGGCGGCGGAGGTGCTGCAGCGGGTGGGACTCGGGGAGTAATTCACGGAGAGAATTAAGGACGGAGTTGACTGATTTTGCAGGTATAGGTAGGATATAAATTTCGGCTTTCAATAAGCAGTGAGGTTACTACATAGATCTTGAATGGAAGGTTATTGAGAAGGGTTGGTACTGGTTTGGACAGCTGCCTTCAATTCGTCTAGAGTTCGGAGAGGGGCAAGCTTTCCGGTAGGAATTTGAACATCCTGTGTGGTTTTATGGATATAGAAAGGTTTATTGTTAACCTCGTATGGGTGGGGTACATGCTCTAGGGGGATCTGGGAAGACATGATTTGCTGTCGTTGAAGGCGCTGAACGAGTGACTTTCTGCGGTCAAGACGAATGTCGTCAATTCTTTCTAGATAAGTGGTGGGGTACTTTATTTTTCTGGGGTTAGGGTTTTGTGGAGTCTTATCAATAGCAGGGACACACGTGCCAGGGCTCAGGGGTAGAAAAAGAAAACGGCACCTTCCGGAGGTATAACTTGAAGCCCGAGGCCTAGCAGGCTGTAGGAGGGTTGAAGTTTTGCTTGGACGTAGTGTAATTGAGGCATAACGCATAGATACATGTATGTGCTTTCTGCCTCCAAGTACCGTCGAGTGTGAGCGTTTGAAGAAGGTAGACCTTCAGTTAACTCTATTTTCCATTCGGCGCCAGTTTATCCGCGCGCCAAGTCTATTACACTGCCGCACTAGTAGAGGGTTAGGGTTAGCCTGCCTTCAAGACACCTGGCTGATTTGGGCCAACTTTAGTACTACTGATTAAGAGTTCTCATCTCGTCCTCCCACCCTATTCAATAATTCTCTCCCCCCTCTCATAAACGCCTCCAGCTTCTCAAACAAAACTGGAGTAGCTTCACGCCTAAGTCAGCAGGCAGCAGCGCCCCTGTAATTCCTGATTTTAGAGCACTGCATTTGTTTACTTAGCTTCCCCTACACCCACGACTATGCGCCAATTAAATCCTCTCGGTTCGTCCTCGGCCGGTGTACTTCTCGTCTCATTCCTCTCTCTCGTCCAGATTTCCAAAGCTGTCAAACACGGGGATTTCAAAACATGCGCGCAGTCCGGCTTCTGCAAGCGTAATCGAGCTCTCGCCGACCAAGCTACTGCTGCTGGGGCCTCCCGAACATCACCATACGAGCTAGATGCGAACACCGTGGCTCTTAAGGACGGCGTTCTTACAGCTACCATTCTGAAGAATATTGGTGAGGAGAACGTGGAGCTTCCTCTCGTCTTCTCGTTCTTGGACAATGGCGTTGCGAGAGTTACGATTGATGAGGCAAAGCGAATGACTGGCCAGATTGAGCTCAGACATGGGAGTACAGCAAAGAAGGAGCGCTATAACGAGGCGGCCAAGTGGGCGCTGGTAGGAGGGGAGAATTTCCATAAAGATGCTATCATTAAGACAGAAGACGGGGTCACTAGTGTTGCATACGGCCCTGCAGGTTACCAGGTGAAGATCACACATAAACCATTTAGCGTGAAGTTCCTGAAAGATGGTGAAGCCCATGTGGTGCTGAATGAGAGGAGCTTTATGAATATAGAGCATTGGAGGCCAAAGCCGGAGGATAGCGATGGTAACAAAGGTGATGATACATGGTGGGAAGAGGCTTTTGGAGGAAATACCGACAGCAAACCCAGAGGTACCAAGCCCCCAATCAAATAGCCAGCAGTCAATCACTAAATCCTGAAAAGGTCCTGAATCTGTTGCTATGGACATTACGTTCCCCGGTTATGACCACGTCTATGGTATTCCTGAGCATGCTAGTAGTCTATCGCTCAAGGAGACTCGTGGTGGCGAGGGCAATTATAACGAGCCATACCGCCTTTATAACGCGGACGTATTTGAGTACGAAATTGATTCTCCTATGACCCTTTATGGTTCTATCCCATTTATGCAGGCTCAGAAGAAGGGATCTACAGTTGGTGTCTTCTGGCTAAATGCTGCCGAAACCTGGATCGATATTGTCAAACAAAAGACCAATGTGAACGCGCTTTCGCCCGAAAGAGCAACTACACAGACACATTGGATGTCCGAAAGCGGACTTTTGGATATCTTTGTGCTTCCGGGCCCCAATTCATCCTGGTTGTACAAGCAATACGGCGACCTTACAGGTTTCACTGCGCTGCCAGCAGCTTTCTCAATTGCCTACCATCAATGCAGGTGGAACTATGTTTCTCAAGATGATGTCAAGGATGTTGACCGCAAGTTTGATAAATTCGATATTCCATATGATGTTATTTGGTTGGATATTGAGTACACCGACAGCAAGAAGTACTTTACTTGGGACCCTTTGACCTTCAAAGATCCTGAGACCATGCTCAAAACATTAGATAAACGGGAGAGAAAGGTAAGGCTGCTCTATCCGGAAGTTTAAGGCCTTTACTAACCAATATAGCTTGTGGCTATTATTGATCCCCACATCAAAAACGACAAGAACTATGCCATTGGCAATGAGCTTGTAAACAAAGGTTTTGGTGTCATGGATAAAACCGGTAAAAAAATCTATGAGGGCTGGTGTTGGCCTGGTTCTTCCCACTGGATTGACTGCTTCAACCCTGCCGCAAGGGCTTGGTGGAAGTCACTCTTTGACTTCAAAAAGTTCGTTGGCTCTATGCCAAATACATGGATCTGGAATGATATGAACGAGCCTTCTGTTTTCAACGGCCCAGAAACCACAATGCCAAAAGACAACATCCACTATGATAACTGGGAGCACAGAGACGTGCACAATTTGAACGGGATGACTTTCCACAATGCAACATATGAAGCCCTCAAGACCCGTCTTGGTCCCGGAAAAGAGCGAAGACCATTTGTGTTGACCAGGTCCTACTTCGCCGGCTCTCAGAGAACTGCAGCAATGTGGACTGGTGATAACCAGGCAGACTGGAGCCATCTTGCCCAGGCTTTCCCTATGCTACTTGCTCAAGGTATCGCCGGTATGCCCTTCGCTGGAGCTGACGTCGGCGGCTTCTTTGGAAACCCAAGCAAAGAGCTCCTAACCCGTTGGTACCAAGCCGGTGCCTTCTACCCCTTCTTCCGCGGCCACGCTCACATCGACGCTAAACGCCGAGAGCCATATCTCGCAGGAGAGCCCTACGTTTCCATAATCCGAGATGCCATCCGTCTTCGTTACTCTCTTCTCCCCACCTGGTATACCGCTTTCCATCGCGCCTCATGGGAAGGAATGCCAATTTTGCGTCCCCACTTTGTCATGTTCCCCGATGATGAGGCTGGTTTCGCGATTGACGACCAGTTCTACCTCGGTGACACCGGTATCCTCGTTAAACCCATTGTTTCCGAGGGTGTCACGGAGACATCAGTTTATGTTCCCGAGGAAAATATGGTGTACTACGATTACTTCGACTACACCATGTACAACGGCAAGGGCATCCGCTCTGTTCCTGCACCCCTGGGCTCCATTCCAATGCTGATGCGCAGCGGCCATATCATCCCGCGCAAGGATCGCCCACGTAGATCCTCTGGTTTGATGCGCTACGATCCATACACCCTCGTCGTGGCACTTGCTCCAGGAGGCGCTGGCGGTGTCCTCTATGTAGATGATGGCGAGACATATGACAACAAGGACGGCGCTTTCATTCACCGCTCATTCATATACAACCCGGGTGACAAGACACTCCGCTCAGGAAACTTGCACCCAGAGCCGGCAAAGGCTGCTAAGTATGTCAAGGAGATGAGGGACGTGCGGGTAGAGAGGGTTATTTTGGTTGGGGTAACAGATGAGTGGAAGGATAAGAAGACGGTGGAGGTGAAGCAGGGAAGTAAGACGTGGGATGCGGAAGTTAAATTTGTAGAGGGAAAGGAGGGCAGGGCGAGCCATGTGATTGTGAGGAACCCGAGAGTCGCAATCGTGAAAGATTGGACTATCAATTTTGCATAGGTTTGATTTTGTGGAAGTACTATGCTGTAAACTTATACCTAGGCGTCATGTATTGTAGCAGTAGCAGAATGAATTTTTGCAGTTGAGCTTTGGACCTGAATCGTGAATTTGCTGCGACGGATCTACCTACATCTGGCGCAATTGTAGAAATCTAAATTACTTGACCGAATCACCGTAACTCGCACACCAGGGGACCTTTATAGCACACTTCACAAATCACAAAGAGAGACTGTAAACACTTATATTTGATATTTATAAGCCCTCCGTCCCGATGCAGTCCGTCCCACCGCTATACAAATCCTCCCATTCTTTCTATATCCCGTGGCATTAAACCGCCACAACTGGAGGTGCCTCCCCCGTCGCGCCAGCGAACCTCCTCCGCTTCTCCAGCAGGGCCTCCTTTCGCTCGTTCAGGTACTTGATCTGGCGCTCTTCGACGTTCATGAGCCAGTAGCCGAAGGATCCGGTGATACCGGCGTAGAGTGGGTAGTGCCACAGCGTCTCCTTAGAAAAGTAAGGGCGCATCTCGATTCCAAGCTGCCACCAGCGGACGGCCGCGCCTGTTCTCCGGTTAGTCAATGTCTGCGTGGGCGGGCAGGCAGGTGAGGAGACGGAGCAGGGACGGGGGCAGTACCGAATGCAGCCCAACCGAGGATTTTTGACATTGTGTATATGGGTGTGAATGTGGTGGGGTTTTGGTGGTGGTCAGGAGGGTAATTGGAGAGGGGGGGGGGTCGAATTGAGGTTGAATACACCTTTGGGGTGAGGTGCGGTTGTGGTGATGACGGTGTCACGTGGTGGGCCGAGTGATGGGTCGTGGGGTGGGGTGGTGAGGATCCTTGTTCGCTTTGGGTTTGGGGGGGTTTTGCGGGTTGTGCTGGGGTAATTCTATTTTTGAGTGAGGCTTTTGGATAGATGGGGATGGACTCGAGATCCTCTGAACCACTAACTACATATAGAGTACTATAGAATTTACATGTACCTATCTACTTTTCAAGATATAGTAATAGATATAGCATTTTGGGTACGGGTTTGGAACAATAATTCGGCGATTAAAGCAGATTTACTTGAGATGTGGAAAACAAATAAATTTGCTGATACGGTCTAGAACGGGGGATTCTTGACCGGTGATTCAAGCTGGGGGTAAAGAATGTCAATAATGACAGATCTAATGACACACTAGGACTCGGGAAATTCATTTTGTAAAGATTGAGCTCCCTTGGAGTCAGTCCTCCGCAGCTTTCCCTTATCCCAGATGCGTTCCAAGATCATAATTGGTCTTATCCAACCATCAGAATATGATTCTCTGAAGTATACAGATTCTTTAAACCAGAGCTTGATTGAACCATCCTTAAAAATCGATTCTGGACAAAACAATCATTGGCCGTTTAAGACGACGATGCGGCTCTGTTAAGGCGCTAACGTTGGAGGAGGGGTTGAGCTCGCCTGGGATCCGAAGGTGGGGGTTTGGTAGTTGGATAGCTCTCGAGCTCCCACATTTAATTACTGAACTTTACTATCGATTCGATTTCAAAGCCTGCCTGTATCCGAGGAAACGTCGCTGCCCGTTTCCCTAGATCTAGAGTTTTCGAGTGCTACGGATAATACGTTTAGGTAATTGCAGGGTCCAGCTCACCTCTAAACATCAGCTATCTGCTTGGGGTTAATATAATCTACTATTTTAGTACAAACCGTCCATCTTACAACTCGAGAAATATAGTGATAATGGACCTAAACAGCGTCAACTCAGAGGCACCCAAAGACCCCGATATGTACTTCCGTCTCCTCTCATCCTCCTCAGGACCTCGACTGGGTCGTCTTGCGCTTAATAAAGTCACTATCGACACACCCTCGTTCATAGCCCCTGCATCCCGCGGTGCAGTACCTCACCTCTCTCATGACAACCTTAGAGATCATACAGACATCAAAGGGATATATGTCGCCCTCGAAGATTGTACGTACCTATTACATCCTCTCTCAGCCCTTCTTGCTGACTCTAGGTCCAAACAGTTGTCGAAAAGTACCCTCCTAATGTCCCAATCTACAATCAAGCCGCGGGAAGCCTCCGAAATTTCACATCCACACCTTCAGAGTCCCTTCTTATACTCTCTGGTCGACGTGTGCCCCCTGTCACCACCGCCGCCTCGAACACAGATCACTCACTGGCAATCCTGACCAGCGTTGGCTTCCGCATGCTCCCAATCGACGATTATGTTTCTGTCGTCTCCCGCCTGCGCCCGGACATCGTCCTCGGCCTCCCAGACATCCCCTCCAACACCCCCGGCAAACATCGTGGGCCCAAGATGGTATTCCGGACGGATCTATGGCTCCAACAGCTTCTGAATAAGACAATAGCAACAGCTGATTACACACCCCACATCTTTGCGCCTCTGTTACCGCTCGACTTCGAACAGCAATCGTATTATATCGAAACTCTCACGGATAAGATAGATAAGCTGTCCGGCCTCGCACTGTACGATAGCGCCCTTGCAACAGAGCTCCCAGAGGAGTTAGAAAAACTCCCACGGATGAGTGTGGACGACGCTGAAAGCCCGCACAAAGTACTGCAGCAAGTGCGCTGGGGCATTGACCTCTTTAATCTGGGTTTTATCACAACTGCTACCGATGCCGGAATTGCGCTAGATTTCGAGTTCCCGCGGCCTACAGCGGCGGGCGAAGAAATACGACCATTGGGCGTAGACCTATGGGGCAAGGAACATGCCACAGACCTTGGACCTCTAGGACAGGGCTGTAACTGCTATGCATGTAGAAGGCATCACAAGGCGTATGTGCAGCATCTTTTGGTTGCGAAGGAGATGACGGCTTGGGTACTGCTACAGATACATAATACAAAGGTTATTGACCAATTCTTCGCGGCTGTTCGGGGAAGTATCGAGCGTGGAAGCTTTGAAGAGGATGTGGCAATCTTTGGGAAGTTCTACGAGAGCGAAATGCCGGAAAGGAAGGGGCAGGGCCCTAGGTTTGTTTTCACATCTGTTTTCAGTGGTGGGTATGGACTAATAGAAGTGTAGGTTGAGAGGATATCAGTTCAAGAGCCAAGGTGGAACGGGAAAGAAAAATCCGAAAAGCTTCACTAAGCTTGGCGCTGCAGGTGTGCCAGCAGGTGATATGAGGGAAGAGCTAGATGAGGCGGTGGAGAGCGGAGTGAAAGAAGTAGCGAACGGGCTAGAGGGCGGATTTGCGGAAAGGTTGAGCTAGAGGGCCTTTCGTTTGCCCCGATTTGTGAATACTATATAGTTAATAAATTGACGGGGCTTTTTGGTATTCTATAAATTATGTTTATTTGTAATTGTGGGAGTTATAATCACGGTGAATCACTCGCGCAGATCAAGTCCACCCCCCATTTTTTCTTTTTTTTAATTCAAGGTATGCCTTACATATCTACGATACTATAAAAGAATATGACCTGAAAGAGTTTCGCTAAACCAACCTAATCATACATCTGGCCCTGACATGGGGGAGACAGATTAATTGGCCAAATAATGAGCGAGAGCTGAGATAGTTTAATATCATCATCACCACAATCATCTACAAGCGAGCCCACGGGTTACTACGCGGCACCATTCTTTATTGACCTGATCCATTACAGGCAATAGACAGGGATATACCGCGATGGCTATTGGTCTGCTGCGCGAAGCATCTTAGTCCATGAGCAATTATCCCTCTTGAATAACGCCGGGAATCCCCCCTCGTGGATCGAAACCCAAAATATTATATTCCCTAGAGATCTGTATCATTTAGTTGAGCTGCAATAAACTTTTGTACGCACTAGACTTCTCCTCGGGCGAGAGCAGGTCCCGCCCCGTTGTGTCAAATCAAATCACAAGATATCACTCGATACATTCAACATTCAAATTTGCAATATGATTGCGTGTACACTATATCCACTGACTTCTAGGGACAGAAACTTCATCCGCCATCCAGGATTCCCGTCCATCACAAATCCCACATTACATGAGTTAATCAAGAAAGGAATTAAACCCCAAAAGGCATAGCTACATGTACTTGCAAAAAGAACAAAGAACAACAAAACCCCAAATACGCCTTTCCTTTACGTCCTTTACAACTGCCCCGCCCAGGACAAAAACCAATGGTAAAATAAACAAATAAACAAATAAACAACAACAGAAATAACATGAATTTTAAGCAGCATCGCTCCCGAATCTCCTATCCAGTTGCTTTAGCACATCCCGAACACTGCTGACCTCAACTTGCGGGCACCTTCCATCACCACTCCGCACCATCAGCGGCCGCAGCAAACTTCCTAAGTCCGCTGTTGCTTCCTCGAACCCTCTATGCCTAGATAGCGCCTGGTAGGCCGCGCTGGCTGGTATAAAAGTCCCCTTTTCGTCGGTGGTGTCTTTAGGTGATTGCTTGTCGCCGCAACACCCGCCGCCACAGCACCCAGCAGGAGCGCCCGCGGGACGCGATTTGACTTTCGTGGCAACAGATTGACAGAAGAGAGTTGACATTGGGTCGTTCTTGCACTGGGCGCACCCACCAGGCGGACATCCACTTCCTGTGCTTTTAGTCATTGGTGGGTACAGAGGCATTGGCTTTTCTACGTTGTGTCCCTCAAGGCTTTGGTCTCCTCTTGGGGGTGTAAGATTTGACAACAGCGGAGGGAGCTTAGTGCTGTGGTGTTCTTCGGAATCCTCTTCGTCGTCATCCATGTTCATCATAGCATTCGCCGCGGCCTCGGCGCAAACACAATGTGTGCCATCTGAGCAGAATCCACACGGATCTGCTGGCATGTGTGAAATTACGGGGGAACCAGAGAAGGAAGGGGGGGGCGGGGGTGGTTTGGTCATATAGGTGAAGTCGGTTTCCAACTCATCTGGTGGGGTTAGTCCGACATTGCTGGATATTCGTGTGCGTTTAGGTGTGTTCTCGCTCGGAGACGTAGGGCGCTTCACCGGGTAGGCAGCCTCTACGGCCTCAGTGATGCATGCACAGTTGCCCTCCCTGGAGCAGCGCCCACAGCCAAGAGGATCCGGATTCTGAGGAAACTCGGAAGCGGCCTTATTCCTATTGCTTCTTCGGCGTATAGGAACAGAAGGTGCGGGTAGAGGAGCAGACCCAAGAATGTCTGATGGGGGAGACTTTTTATCACAAAGGATCCTATCTAAATCGTCTGTGCACGCGCAATTTGAGCTGCACGGGTTCTCGTGTGAAGATGGTGCCGGAGATGCAACCTGTACCGAATTGAAGCTTGCCACAGGAGCTGATGAATGCTGCTGTTGCTGTTGCTGTTCATTTGCCTTGACTTGCCGTAGCAATTCTAGCTCTTTTTGGAGACACTCAACCTTAGTTTTGTAGAGGTTGTTTTCTTTCGCAAGCTCGGCGTTGTTCATGGCGAGCTGGTTGACCTGTTCTTGGTACTCAGTTATCTGTGTTGAAGTTTCAAGCTCGACTTCTTTGAGCTTATCCTCAAGTTCGTTCACACGCGCGGCACGGCGCTCGCGGAAGGCTCGTTGAGCTGCTCGATTTTGCGCCTTTCTTTTCTATTAAAAAGAATATGAGCCCTAGTTCAAAGATATAAAAGGTATATTTAAGAACTTACTGTTGGCGGAGTATCTGTTGCGGGCTTTCGTCCAGGCTTTTGAAACACAAGATGTCAATAATCGATACTCCATAATTTTTGAAGGGGCAACCAACCTTTGGCCGTGGTGGCACAATCCACTCCTTGTGTGTAACCACACCGGCTGGGCTTGGAGTATCATGGCTCATCACACTTACAGCTCTAGGAGCAAGAGTTGGCGGGCCCGGACTACAGGCAGACATTGGCGAAGAAATCGCTGCATATGTATGGACAATTAGACCAAGTATGTCTCGGGATACCGAGTGATAGATCGGTGTTTAAGAGCGGAACTCACCGACTGGGGACTGAGAATCACCGGACATGGCGAATCAACACCAGCAGCAGCGCGAATAACGAGGAAGTGGCAAAGTCAGGTCGAGGGGGAATCATCAGATCAAAAGTGCGAGCCGGGGGGCTTTTGAGAGAGAGACCGCCTGTCTACCCTGGCGACAATGGGAAGGCTGTCTGTCGGATACCGTCGTGGGGTTGTGCTGCTGCTGCCGCGACGCTCTCAACTAATCAGATCCGGATGGATTGGATTAGATGGTCTGATAAAAATTCTGCACTTGAGCTAGAGTGAATGCGGTAGGGGATCCGCCAAAAGCTTCCAGAGGAGGACTGGTGCAGCAGGGGAAACAAGAAAAAAAAATCTGATAAGAGGTCTTGGGATGCGAGAGGTCGGGGTTATCTTATCCGATCGTCCGATGCCCCCTCGATTGACTACGCGTTTGACTCCTCGCGCATTCGTTTATGATCCTGGAGCAAAGCAGGGTGGGGATTACTCCCTCATGCCCTTTTTATTGATCCATTATACGGTACTGTATGTACCTACATATACATTTGAGTGAGTGAGCAGCTATATCATTAGATGAGTGATCAGCCACACAAGCGATCACTCGACACTCAAAGCATCTTGTTCTGGGGATGGATTCTTAAAATGAGATATATAGAAGAAGATAACAAAAGGCCTAGCCAACGATGATTTATCAGCCGACGGAATAGTGACCAGGAGGCGCAAATATCCATATCCTTGCGATTCCTACTCAAATTCGGCGAAAATCTCCCTAATTAGGGTGAAGCAGTATACGTAATTTGGAGACCACTCTGGACGGAAATACATGTAGATCCTATCAGATACATGTATGTATTTACAGGCTACATTACATTAACGTAAAGAGGGAACGAAGACAAGAAAAATAACAGGAGAATCACAGCATGATGAGACCAATCCCGCTTCCATTCTCTTCATCGATATCATTATTCTCATCAATACCACCTCTGATATATGCGGTTCGCCAGTTAAACAGATAATAATGAAGTTGCCCATCGCCTGCAGTAAATTTTTGATCATTCAAGAACAAGTTATTATCAAGCAGTGTAAGAGCATTAAAGACGTCAAATTTCAACTGATACGAGCTGTTAGAAATATCAGGATACAATGGATGGAATCGACGCAAACCCTATTGGCAATTATAAGCGCATCGTTTATCAGCGCGTTCAACCGTATCTTCATTTCTTTCTTAGACTCTTTAGGGGTGACTTCAGTGGCATAGTAGGAAAGATAAGCCGCGCAAATCTTCTTATGCTTGCTGCTACTGGATATCACTGAAGTCTCAAGCGCATAGAACGAAAAGAAATCCGTTATGCGTCCTTCATCCTGCCATGCAATTAGCACCCACCCACAGAGGCCGTACCGCAACCGGAGATCAATCAACCTCCACAACATAAGTATAAACGACTCTCTCCTCAGAATCACTAGCCTCTTTGTGTAGCAGCCAATGCTCGGCTTCATTTATGTCGAATTCTGGTGCCATATCAAACTTTTCAAGATATCTCTTGAGTAGGTTGTGAGTGGCATTTAAATCCCTTGGTTCCATCTCTCTCAGTCCCTTGATACTTGTCCTCGACGGCAATCTAAATTTTGCAGTCTGCCTCGTCTGCGTGCTGCCATGAGGTAAAGAGCTAAACCCGACCTCATACAACTTTAGCCAATTCAAATACCTGTGAAAATACCTACAGGTACTGACTGGGCTGGGCAGCACGATCCCAGTGGTATAAACTGCGTTCCAACATTTCTCTACATCACAACGTCTTGCGATCTCTCCAATAAGGACGGGGGCTAGACGTTTCGACCGCAGCTTCTTGTGTATACATAAGAAGTTGATTTCAGAGCACCGAATAGTATTTTTACGTACTCTCAGGCTCGCCGGCACACCTGAGATGAAGGCGACGAGTTTCCGAGATGCGGTAACTCGTACACCGGCATACCACTCGGGAATCCAGCCAGGAGGTTTAAGGGCCCAGCTCAAAAAGGATATAGAGTAGTTGAAGCGGAACATAGCCTCATTGTCTTCTACGTAATGGGCTTTGAGAAGCTCATAGATCTCATCCAGCTTGGAACGGTGTCAGGAAAGCACTCAGGGATTCTGGAGGAGCTTCTCACATGCTTCGGGTCATTGAGATCCATGGTGACCCATTCAAATCCATCCAGAAGCTCAACCCCATGAGGTGGAACCACTTCTGGGTTTGTGTCCCGCACTGGACCATCTGGCTTTAAAGCCCCCTCTTCGTCTTTCCCTCCCTCCCCATTAGTCCACTCCTCTAGACAATAAGCTCGAGGGAGGGACCCACCAAATCTCGCAATTGGCTGGGTGTTCCAGAATTTATAACTCTCCATGTCCTTCTTCCCACCAGTCAATTTGTCTTCCAATTTCATTAGCCGCAACATTTCATCGACTTGAGCTCTCTCCAGACTCGGATTCTTCTCCAATATCCGGTCTATTGCCATAGTATCCTCAGTTGGTACAAGGGAGGAAACGGTATTAGCTGTCTGGTGGCTACCACTGCCGTTCTGCTCAATAATAGGAACTCTCTTCTTTTTCGACCTTTGCTTCTTCTTTCTGCTGCCTCCTGGTGTCTCGATAATACCGTATTGTGACATCTCTTCGAACCTATCCCCGTTTGAGTCATCTTGTGGAGGGAAAGAGGAGATAGCCGGATCAATCGTCTTAGACTCTTTCGGCATGGTTGGAGAAGCCGCGGGATGGATGGTGTAATGATATTCAGGGCGCGGGTTCATGATGACGATGCAGGTGGTTACATCAAGCGAGGGTGGGGCTCATTTGATAGCAAGGGTCTACTAAGTCAAACGTGCATGCCCGAGCATACATACATGTAGGTAAATGTATTTATAGCGATGGCACATTTCTTTGCAAGGATTGCAGCTGTAGGTTTTCCAATGAAACTTGTTTTATACGTTTTTCATCATGCAAGAGGTATTAATAAGCTTCAAAGCTCTAAACCATAGCACCAAATATCGAAATAAAAGAATACCACTACTAAAAAAGGAATATAACAAGCTCCAAACATACAGCATTTCCGTTACAAGACCCTCTCAAGGAACAACGTCACAACTACAACCATGTTTTACTACTTTCAGATCATCAATAAATCTAACCCTCCTCTACTGTAGGCTTTGGCGGTGCAGCAGCCTTGGGTGGAGACCCAGGAGCCGGAGAGGCAGTAGTGTTTGAAGTAGCAGATTTTTCGGCAACGGCATCTGACTGTATTTCTCCGGCGACGCTCTTCTTAACTTTCTTTTCCTTTCCAACCTGTTCATCAAATTATTAGTTGATGCTTTTAAACCATCATATTGAACTACCTGCGTACCTTATGCCAAGCCCAGAGAGGTCTGAAACTGTCGAAGAATCCGACATCCTCGAATAAATTGGGATACAACCAGAGACCCGGCGGAGTTACAAACATCGTAATGACGAATAGAATCAATCTGAATATGCTCATTGCGATGAACAATCCAATGAGGCCTAGCATGCCCATTGAAAGATACCACACGCCCAATCTCAACATTGGCGGCCAGAGCGGGAACATAACGACCAGCAATAAGACGAGGATAACTCCAATGGCCATTAAGGTCTGTGTCCAACTGCGAGGTTCGTAAAACCAAGTATAATAAAGCTCATCCCTCATTTCCTGGTGTTGTTCGATCTTGACGGTCCACAAGCCCTTGACTCTTTTGCCGGGCTTGCCCGCTGGATGTCCATCAGAGCCTGGTTCGATTTTAGAGACGCGCAGAGCGAGGAGATTGCGAGGAAGAAGCGAGAATGCCTGCAGCGCCTCGTTGGGATTGGTGACTTTTGGAAGGAGAGTGTTCTTTGTGGAAGCCTTTGTGTAGTTGTCGCTCTGGAGGGCTCTAACAGCACGTTTAACTATTAAATAGAGCGAAAATCAGAAAATCAGTTTTGGACGGTGCATTATCAAGCCATAATGAATAACATACCCTTGAAGAGGTCTTTGCGCTGACCCTGAAGAATACATGTCCTACTCTTGAGATCTTGGTTGCGAAGGAACTGAGCGACGGCCAGCGCCTCAGGTGAAGCAATAGGAGGAGCTTGAGCTACCTGTTGTCCAGGGGCTGACATTGTTGAAAATGCGGAGGGTTATTAGGGATTGTTTATTGAAGCCGACGGGAGAGGGAAAGCGACGAAGGTTCTACAGAAGGTGAGACGATGGGGATCTTAATTGATATGGCAGGGTTTGTGCCACCGTAGGGGGTAGAGGCCACCTCTTCGTTTAGAGTGGCTGGGTGCCTATTTTTAGTGGCGCATTACTGCCGTCATTGAGGCGTCGAGGCACAGGCATACCTAGCCCAAATTCCAACAAAAGAAATCAACGAAACCTATTTAGCTTTGGCTAGAATGCACCTACATGTAGGTACAGTGCCTGAAAGGTTTGCGAGATTGCAGCGGGATTCATCAGCTGCTTGTTTGACTGCGGTAGTGATATGATGTTGCATCACTAACGGTGTGAAATAAATCGCATTCTTTTGAGATGATTATCGCGGACCATGATACATACAAAAGCTTGAAAACTATAGTATGTATCAAGTCAAAAGTACATCTCCTGTAGAATGGTATCAGGCTCGGATTCAGTTTGGAAGCGTTCAATGCTTACATGTACACCCGTGTCTAGAAAATTCCCGGATCCCGCACCATAGCAACCAGACCACGACCAAACACCACCACGAAACCCATGGGGTTTGCTTAAATATAAGTTGTGGAAAAGGTAGCACAAGAGGTAGAGAAGGCCTCATAGTATAGATGAGTTATGGAGAGCTTCCATTGAGGAGTGGGGATATTTTCCCCCAAGAGACCTTTGATGCGCCTTGAGCTCATAGTATGCCAAGGGTGAATCAGGGTTATGAGGCTGCAATTTCTAGTTGTTGAGATATTCGGTGGGTAGGATCCGGGAATTTTCTAGACACGTGTGTTTGCGCTTAAAAATTAAGCGGCGTTGATCTACCCTGCTTCATGCCCCCACCATAAAAAACCCCACCAACCGCAACTTGCGAGCAACACTCAACAGTCCAAAAGTTTCGATAAGCAACCATGAGTAATCGCAAAGAAAAGAAAGCTACCCCCGCCAGCTCCGGAGGAAAGAAGCGGGAAGGAGATGCAAGAGAAATCCATCGTCTTCAAGCAGTTGTGAGTGGAATAATTTTAAGATAGTATCGAGCTTTGTCTGACTCAAATGTACAGATCCTCACAGATGGGTTTGAAAACAGATTCAGACCCCTCACCCTCGAAACTCCCAGAGTGAGCAACCCAGAATATTTCTTCCAAGAGAAATTCTATCTTTGTAAACTGGAGCTAAGCTTTGTCGTAGTGCCTACTTCCTCTAGCAAACACCCCGCTCATCGATTACACACTTGAATTCCTCGCCTTTTCAGGCGTGGAAGATGTCTTTATATATGCATCTAGCCATGCCGAGAAAATCGAAGAATATATCCGGTTTGGAAAATTTCCCCTTAATGTATTGACACTTCTAATGGGGTTTGTGTCGTTTTTAGAGGTTCAAAATGGAATCAGCCGTCATCTCCAATAAAAAACTGTCAAATAATTGTGTCGCCTACAAGTACCTCAGTCGGCGATGCCATGCGTGATCTGGACCAGAAGCAGATTATTACACACGATTTTTTGCTTATACATGGGGATTTTATTGGCAACCTGTCACTGGATAGTGTTTTAGAGGAGCACAATAAGCGACGTGCAATTAGTAGTAAAGCTATCATGACTATGGTTTTGAGAGAAGCAGGAACCGCACATAGGAGCAAGTAGGTTATCACTTAGCTTTATCCCCCCCCCCCCGGGGGGTAAATGAGAGAAATGGCTAACTAATGTTAAACCCATGTAGAACCAGAAGCGAAACTGGAATTTTTGTGATTGAGAAGGGGACAAACAGATGCGTTCATTATGAAGAGGTTGGCACCAAGGATGGGGACATGACATTTTTGCCCGCATCTCTGATCAAGGCCCACTCGGAACTTCAAATACGCTCTGACCTTCTCGATTGTTCCCTTGACATTTGTGCACCCAATGTTCCGGTCTTATATACTGAGAACTTTGATTATCAACATCATCGTCGTGACTTTTTGAATGGTGTCCTTAGAGAGACAGATCTTTATGAGATGTCCATTCACGCCCATATACTATCTGATCAGTATGGGGCAAGAGCCAGGAGTCTCCAGACATACGACGCCATCAGCAGAGATATCACCAGTCGCTGGGCATATCCCTTATGTCCGGACAGCAATCTTGGCATAGATCAGGCCTACAGTCTGAAAAAGGGAAATATCTACGTCGAGGATGACGTCTCATTGGCAAAATCTACAATCATCAATCGTATGACTATCCTGGGTTCTGGTACTAGAATTGGTGAGAACACTGTTGTGGGACAGAGTGTTATCGGCAGGAATTGTGAGATTGGAGATGAGACAGAGATAGAATGTGCACACATCTGGGATGGGGTGACTATCGGTGATGGTTGTAAGATCAACAACGCAATTATTGCAAACAACGTCACATTGGGGAATAGATGCATCATTCAACCAGGTTCTATCATATCGTATGGAGTCAAAATTGCAGGTGGAACAACTGTGAGGGCTGGTAGCAGGATATGCAACTCTAGTAGTAAGATAAATGATGATGATTCTGACGATGAGAAGAGAACGGATGAAGATTTGGTTGGGATTGGTGGAATTGGATTCGAGTATGAGGGCTCGGACGATGATGATGATGATGATGACGGATTGGAGGGCTCGCTGCGTGACGGATTAGGTGAGTGGGTTCCTGGTAAGTTTTGGCTGGGCTACGAACTGACCATTTCTAGTATTTAATATGAATCATTCTAATCTTTCTGATTCCTCGATATCCACTATATCGGATGACGAAGACGACTCAGAGGACGACATGCCCGGCTTAAAAGCAAGACTAGCTCGCTCGGACTCTGTAACTACTGCTGGATCCGAAGACAATGATGAAGCGGAGTCGTGGCATAAAGAAGCCTCTCAGTCACTATTTTCTGCTGTCGAGGGTGACCACCCCGTTGAGGTTGCCTCACTCGAGCTTAATGGTTTGCGCATGTCTGCCAATGCCTCGTGGCATCAAGTTCGTCGAGCTGTCGTCACAGCACTCGTTGCCCGTGTTGAACAGCTAGTTTCCAAAGCCTCTAAGACAATCGCGGCGGCCACTGAAACTGTTTTCACACGCTGGAGCCCGCTTATCAAAAGGACAATCTTTGAGCGAAAGGATCAAGTAGACTTTTTGCTCATAGTGCAGAAAGAGTGTGTCGACAAAAAGCAGGGTCCCACACTTCTCTTTGCCATTTGCCAAAAAATGTTTGAAGCAGACTTGGTCGAAGAAGTTTCAGTCAATGCCTGGTGGGCGGATGAGAGGAGTAGCACTGATGTTGGCGGGATGGCAAATGTTAGGAAAGTTACCAAGGCCTTTGTCGAGTGGCTAGCTGAAGCGGAGGAGGAGAGTTCTGAAGTGGAGGATTCCGAAGAGGACGGCGAGGACGGCGAGGAAGAATAGCAGGGCAATGTTGACTGAATTAGGACCTCTGCAAAAGAACCACAGTAGCATTTTTCATTTTTATTTTTTCATCTTTCGGCGTTAGTTAGATACAATATGGTTTTTTATGCTCCTGCTCCATCTTTGCTCTACCCTAGGAATATTCTGCACCCACGTAGGGCCTAAGAGGCAGCTAGTCTTGCAAAGTTTGGGGATGAAAGGATTTATATAAAGCTTCGGGTTTCGGTTTTGTACAACAGTAATATCTATCACAAGGGGAGCGGGTTAGATACACGTATAAACTCTACAATGATTAGAGGTTGTGGTTATTTTTATCATGATTAGATGTAAAGTACAAAAAAGGCTGCCACCCATGCCTACCCCCCATGTTTTCGCTATTATTGTTGCCTTGTTTCCATCCTATGGGTCCGGTGTTCTTTGCTGGAAGTATTCTCACACTATTGCCTCTGGGGCCCCACACTAGGATTAGAAACATTTCCTGCCTTCCTTCTAATTGCCTCAATCTGTTCTTGAACATTTATATTCTGGAGCTGCTGATGGCGAACTGCATCCTTTGTCTCTGCAGATCCATCCCAAGAGCCACCAGTTGCAACACGTTTCCTACGCTCCAGCTCCTCGGCGGAGACATTGTGACCACCTGTAGAATCAAAGAGATCGTCGCGCTGGGAAGCAAGACGTTTCAAGTTTAGGACTGTATCATTGGTGGAGATATTAGTTGTTAATTGTTTGGCGTCGGCCCGGGCACGTTGTTCTTTCCAGCGGGGATCAAGCAATTCAACTACAAACACACGCATTCATTAGTAGAAATAAATGGAATATAGAAAGCAAAAGAAACCTACTTCTCATATGGTCTTCCATTTCATCTAACGGAATATTCTGTCCACAGTTCGGACAGATACCGAGCTGGCCTAGCTGTCGCTTTGCAAGCGCGCGAGGTACATAGTCACTCCTGATTTTCATCTGACCTTGACCAAGTCCCTGTTTAGCCGCCTCCTGCGCCTGTCGTTTCCTATCTTGCTCGCGCTGCCTCTCGCGGTCCTCGTCATCACTACCTTCCATCTCCATTTCCATACCGTCTTCCTCTTCTGCAACCTGTCGTTGCTGTCTTTGGTGTTGTTGGTATGGAGTCTCAATAGGCTCTGGGTCAGAAGTGGGCATAGCTTCTTCTATCCGCAGGGCTGATGGGTGTAGTGACATAAGTGCCTTTTGTTCTAGAGAAGCATGCTGTAGATCCGACAAGGACGTCGGGGGTGGAAGGTCAGTCTGGTCGTCGGCATCAGTAAAGACGACCGTTTCAACAACAACGAAGTCATGCCAATCGATTTGCGCATATGTGAGGCGCTCCTGGTCCTCTTCCTCTTCCTTCTTCTCTCGTTCTTTTTCCTGGAATTTTGTCCACTCTGCGCGACCCCGTGCTCGATCAAGGATGTGGAATTTGTCTTTAACATTCTTCTCAAGTTCCTCAACAGAGACACCTCCGGAGGGCGTCAAGAGTTCTGTGTATTGGTCTACAAGACGTGAGAAGTATTGGTAAAATGAGTGGTTGGGGCGAAGGAAATCAAATTGAAAATTGCGAGCTTCACGTTGCGACAAGGTCGTTAGGAACGAGCGGCCATGTCGTGCGACGAATAGCGCGGTCAACCGGAGAATATCGAGATCCTGTGCGGAGATGTTTGGCATCCGGGCACTGAATTTGAACTCTGGTGGCTCTGCAGGACCTTGGGGTTTCTCTGGTTCTACGGGTTCTGGTTTGCTTTCTGCGCCACCTGCACGTCCGGCTGCGAGGGCGGTCCCGCGACCAGCACGGATCTCTTCGAGGCGCCATATGTAGAACTGGTAATATGAATCGGCTGTATTAAGGAACGAAAACTTGGGATTGTGTTTCTCCTTTTCGCGGATACGTTCTAATGAGGGTTAGCGAATTGTTACTCATTCTCTCGAATACCGCTCGACTGACTTCGTGTGATCCCCTTACCACGAATCAGCCTCAGAGGAAATTAGAGGGGATAATAGGTATTGAGATACTCACGTTCAAAGACTTGCCCGTTACGAGCAACGTAGCCAGCAGTCTTTTCAACGATGGCTAGTGAATAGCACGGGAATTAGCGTTTGAAGCAACGACACGCGTGGAAGAAGCGCACCTACCTCGGAGGTCTTTTGGAGGGAGGACGACACCCTCTGGAGGACGATTTATTTGTTCCAGGGGGGCGAAAGCCTCTGCGGGAGGTGGGACTGCAGCTGGCGACATCTTCGCGAACAAACTATGATAATCAGAAGGCGAAGGGATCAATCAATATCTTGGACTGTTTGAAGAGAAAGTGACAGGACCCAGAAGCTACATACATGACAGCCAAATTACCCTGTTGCTCTCGTTACCCGGCCGTGTAATAACAAAGTGGATGTCGACCCAATACACCGTCAATGGTGGAGTCAACCTCGAAACATTCAGACAACGCGCCCCATACACCCTACAATACAATCAAAAGAAAAACTATCCAGTAATCTCTACTGCTGCCTGTCATGAGTGTAGGGCTCTCTATCTGTGCTATTTTATGCTTGTTTGAAGCTTCTATTGGCTAACATGCTGTGCTCAGTTTGTTCCTATCAACCCTCGACCTATGCTACAGTCGCTGTACGTTAACCCTCCTAATAGCGTGGCCAATGTATCTAGGAACGGAAGGAAACAAGCCGATACTAACACATGTACCGTGCCGGATCTAGTGTCAATAAGCCTGTAGTCGTGCGCCTAAAGTGGGGACAGACAGAATATAAGGGAACTCTCGTCAGTGTTGATTCCTACATGAACATTCAGCTTTCCGGGACGGAGGAATTTGTCGATGGTAAAAGCACAGGAAGCTTGGGACAGGTTCTTATCAGGTACTATATACCACCTTCCTTAAGTAAATGCCGATGTGTAGGGTTACATTTTACTAACAGTGCGCAGGTGTAACAATGTCCTGTGGATATCTGGAGACAAGAACGCGGCCGAAAAGGATGTAAAGATGGAAGACTAGAGAGTTTGGGGGCTTATGGGTAATATTTACTTGGAGTGGTGTTTTTCTAAAAAAAATAAATACCAAATGAATGGCACAGGGTGCGTAGAAGCTTTATCAAACCCAAATAAACAGTATTGTGCATATATCTGAGAATTGAGATAGACACAGACAAGTTTCACGTCAGCCCTATCCTGAAATGAGCGTACTAGTAATCTAGTCAGGATTCGATATGAAAGCTATTGGTAGCTGGAAATCCTTCAATCTTTTAAGCCTGGGAATGCCTATCCAGAATCACCTTCCCCACACCACTGCACGTCAGATTATCTCAACCGAGTTTCTAAAAAAGTCCCAAAATAAAAACCATTGGCAGTGCTGTTGCTACAGAGACCCGTCCGAACAGTTGAAAGGTGGAACTAATATGCCAGCAATCTATAATAACATTGACTATACCTTCCTCAAGCCCCTAAGCCCACCTCAACAATGCATCTATATCACATGTTTCTTTTTTTGTCATTATTTCGAAAGGCCTGTTATTAGCCTCTCTTTCACAAAGAATCGGTCAAAAGCTTGTTCAGCTTGGCCATCTTCGAGGAAACTGAAAGGTCGATAGTCCTGTCACTAATTTCGACAATAAGCCCTCCAATGATATCGGGGTTGACCTATCGAGGTTAGAAAACAATCGTAGAGACGGATGTTTATTAAATGTGTACCTTGTTAACGACCTTCAACTTCTTGCCCTGTCCGACATATTGGGACTTGGAGATGGCGGTCTCAAGACGACCGAGGAGCTTTGAGTCGAGGTTCTAGAGGTACAGCGTTAGTCCAGCCCAGCCTTTTAGCCCCTTCCGACCAAATATATCCCTTTAATATTCCTGCCTACACAACCACATCCGTCCCCGCACCTTCCAATTCACGAATTCTACATAAATGTGTATTTGGGGATATCCTACAGTAGCACTGGTAATGATTGCCTCAACCTCTCCTCTGTGTGCTCCCATAAGGATGGTGAACTTGTCGATAACATTTCCAATGAGACCGAGTCTGTTGTTCTCTGCGAGAGCCTCGAGCAGGTTCTTGACTGTCTTGTCACCACCGATCGGCTTGGTGATCTGGCTGATAATTGCGGACTTGTCTTCGGCGCTCAAAGTAGGCGATGAGATGATAGAAACGAGCTTAGCATCGCGGTCAAGGCTTGCCTTGAGGGTCTGCAGAGATTTGTCGGTGGCTTCGAGAGATGAGGTTTTGGCTGATGCAGTATACTATTCGGCCAGAAGGGAGGGTTAGCCGAGTGGACATTTCGATGATTGATGTCTCGTTTGTCTACACAAAAGAAAAATCTTTAAAGAACCCCCCCCCCCTTCTATCACACTCTCCCACCGTCCACCTCTCACTACAAACCGTTGTAGCACAAAGTAGGGAAACTTCCCCACCAAACATGAACCGGGAGAACCCACCAAAGCAGAAGCGTAAGTACCATCGACACCAAACAGGGCAACGGGCGGCTTAGTCGATGAGGCGGCAGCGGCATAAGTCCTGACGCCGGCGCGGGGAACAATTGCCCTAGCAAGGGAGGCGGTGCGGGCGGAAAACATTGGTGAGAGCGGAGAGAAGGGTACCGTAATGGATTGGATGAGAACCGGGCGTCGGGGTGATGATGATGGGTTGAGAGAAAGAATCGGGGTCGGAAACGAAACGGGTTCGATCAGAGGTTAGGGTTATTCTAGGTGGTGGAGCTGATCATGGCGTTGCACTCGCCCCGCACCCATCACACCGCCACATATTGAGCCACAGCCGAGATCATCCGAAGAGTTGTCTAGTAGTCGCTACCTATGAAATCTACCGCAGTACGAGGTGTTTAGAAATGGGTTTATTGTTATTTATCATTCTAAGAGATACCCCAGGGTGCTCATTAACACTAGAGTCCTCCCAATGGATCAATACTATCGCTTTACTGATTCGCAAGCCCCAAACAAACAAAAGGGAAACGGTCCAAGGGTGGAGATAGTTTCTGCGAAGACTATCAATGCTGCTCAAAAAAATGTGGCTCATTGACTACTTTGACCATAAGTTCCCCAACCAATAGTAGATTATGTTTGGAGAGCCCTCACTTGCTAAAATATTCGTTTCTGTTCGTCCCATTTTATGTGCTTCAGCATTCCTTCCTTGACCCATTGATATTTTGCTGTAGGAGGCGGCGCCCTCAAAAACTCATATTCCTTGAGTTCATAGAACGTGAATGGATCCTCCAGTTCGTAGAGTTGAAGTATCTTGTATGCGTAGTTTGCATCCAATTTTCCATCATTAAATTCCAAATTTCCAACACCCTTGTCTGCTTCATCAATTTGTCCTGGTCGCCTCTCGCGGCCGATGGTTGCGATGTACTGAAGCTCCTGCACAGGTGCCATGACGTAGAACCATACTCTCCTCACAGATTCTGGGATCGAATATCTCCGAAACTCGTGAGTCTTGAGGCCAGATACGACCTCTTTCATTGCCGCCGGTTTGATCGAAATGACAATATCTTCATCTTGAGGCTTATCGCTCCTTTCTAGCTACACAGTTAGTTTTCTTAGGAAGCTATCTTAGAGTGAGTAGTTGAGCCAGCTTCTGTACCGTAAGTTCCAGCCATGTTAGCAAGCTCCTCGAAGATCCGTAAAGAGAGTCCTAAATTATTGTTCAAGAGTGTGGTTGTTTCCGACGATAACCACAATACCGTTCGAAGTCATTTAATGAAAGTGACTCAGCACGCAGTCAGTCACGTGTTGCAACAGTCGGCGCCTCACTTAACGTCATCGATAACAGAAAGAAAAAAAATTACCGAGCGCAAAGGCCATCCAATACGCACACACTTGAATTGCCACCCCACTTCCAATCAAAAAATCCACAACAATGGTCAAAATCCAAGAAGTTGAAGACGAACACTTCACCGATGTGAAGCCTGCATTCGCGGACGACGCTGAGGATGACGATTTCACCGATACTGACAGCGAAATCTCTGACGAGGAGGAGGGTGATGATGAGCTGGAGGAAACGCTTTACGACCGCCTTGTGGCTTTGAAGGATATCGTCCCATTGAAACAGCGCACATATCTCTCCAACGGAGCTTCGCGCACCTATAGGTGGATTTCCAAGGGACTTTCCTTCGGTGGATCTACGCTGTGGGTCTTGACTACCTCGGTCATGATTTTAGGAGTTCCATATGCGGTTGCCCTCCAAGGGGATCAGCAATTGGCCGAAATGGAGAAGGAATATAACGTTTGTACCCTTCAGAAATGAACAAATCAATGTAAGGACAAAAAGCTAATCTATTCACTCGGTAGATGCAACAATTCACTACTGAGGTAAGCTCCGTCTCAAAAGCAGAGCAGAGACAAGTGGCCAGTATCAATAATAATACTAACAACTAAAATAGTCCTTGACTCCCGGCGCACAGTCGATTCTCACGGAGGGAACCCAGGAAAAACCCCGGCAGTAAACGGCTTTCTTCTCTGCATCACATCTCTACCTGTATTATGCTCAATAGGCTGTAAATTTTGATCTATTTTCATTTTTTTCCTTGAGGGAGTGGGTGTTTGGCGGAAAGACGAAAAGCGATCAACCTTAAAAAGCGGTTTAGATGATCCGAGGATAGTTCAATTCTGGAGGGCCAGAATTTACAGGCCTGCGTATCTTCTCTCTAAAATGCAATGGTGCATCTCATGGTTACCTTTTAAAAAATGTTGACCTTGGCTCATGTAAAATAACATAACCATATATACATGTACCTATTAATTCTACAACAAAGAGCCGAACTTGTTCAGGATGTGGGCGGCAATGGGTCTCCAGAGAAACCATCCTCATCGGTTTACCGGTGTAGTCATGAGAGATCACTCGATTGTCTAAATCGGCCAGGGAAAACAACACACTCAAAACCACGACAAAAATTACCGAGGAAGTTCCCTGGGCATATTTCTGTCGCTGTCCAACATAAGTTTCACCCTCGTTTCGGGGTCCCGATGACTTGTGACTTCCTCATCGCCTTATTCGCGATGAGGGTGGCTCACGCTCCCATTGGATGGTTGCGAGCTGTGCTGGCCACCAGTCGCCTTGGTAAGGCACCACCACATCTAGGCAGCTGGGAAGTCTCTAAAACTCGTCGTCACACTCCTGTCACTAACCTGCCTAAACTCAATAATTTGAGAGTTATTGGCCCGTTCGTATGCCTTGATCCTGCAGGTGGCAGCGCCCTGGGGTGCGAAACTGGCGTCAAAAGCAAGCATCGCGGCTGAGTTATTACACGTACCTATCAGGTACGTTGTTACCTTTTAGATGGCGAATATAAAACAAGGGGCATATCTGCCTACCCTCGGGTGCTCGCAATGTATTGATTATGCTTCGCCAGGTCTCTCTCTGATACCGCTGTTCGCGTGCAATTAGATTTATCCGGCTGTTAAGGAAGATCTAAATTGTCTTATCGCCCATTTGAAGGAAAACCCCACCATGCGAGAAACGGCCTTAGCGAAACATACTCGAGTTCAGTTAATCTCACTTCGGCGGAAACTCAAGAGCCCAAAACCGTATGGTCCAGCTACTGCAGTGCTTCCAAAATCGATATGGATGCTAGTTTTAAGTTACTTGGACGAAGACGATTGTATCTATCGTCAGCACAAAAACCTTCACTCTCTTTCCCTCACGTGCCGGTTTTTCAACGAATATGCGACAAAAGTACTGTATGGGACTCTTGATTTGCAATTCAATGGACAGCGAGATTCAATGCCTCTCAAGCCTTTTAGCCATGAGGATCTCGAAGCACCAACATGCTCCTGCCCGTCCCACATGAAGGCCCACGAGTCTCCGATATCGAATACCCTGAGGAGAAAATTGGATAAGCTTCTCCTTACTCTCAAATCCCGCCCAGATCTCACTGCACGAATCCGGTGTTTGAAATTACCAAATCAGTATCTCCCGTCAGATATCAGATATTTACCTTACGACAAACTGAACAGGCGATTGAAAGAGATTTATTGCTCTCTACTTGAGCGGTGGTTCCGGATATTCAATATTTGCTCCAGCACGCTAGAGTCAGTATCTGGTCTGGGAAACCTATGGCCAGAGCTCCAATATCGTTGCTTTCGGAGAGCAGAAATTCAGTATCGCCTGGACCGGAGACCGGAGCTGCCGAATGAACTATGGTCGGCTCTAGAGGAAAATCAAAACTGGACGCGATGGGACTTTACCAATTGGTATACCACCCTACTTCCGGGTACGGATCTGGAGATATTCAGGCGGAACATGGATGGTATATGTGACTGGAGCCCCGAAAGGATGCGCCGAACATTTCGTGGGTGGACCAATCTTGAGCACGTTGAGGTTGCGAGCCCGGCGTGGATGCAAAAGGGTCTGCATCTTCTTCCAAATCTTCGATCTGTGGCTATTCACACGAATTGCCATACGAATTATAACGATATATTCGAGCATCTACCACTTCGAGGCATTGAGTCAATAACCTACGATTGCTTCGAAAGGACCCCTCGGAATACGGTAGAAATGACTTCGGAGCCCTTCGGAGCCCTTATTAATTATCTGCGCAATGCTCGGCGTTTATCACTCAAACTTAGACCATCCACCATTCCCACTCTCACCCACCTGAACATAAATTTTCAATGGTGGACCAAAGGTCGACCACTTGGAATGGGCACATTCAACCACCTGGCATTCTCCATATTTACTCTGGTTCCCCTCCTCCAGGAGCTCAAGTTGATCCTAGTTACTCTGCATGAAAGAACTCTGGGTAGCTCTGAAGAAGAGTCAAACGAAAAGCACACGATATGGGATACCGTATTTACCGCGCAGCATCTTCGAAAAATGACGATTTCCCTCCCTGCACGGACAAACAAGGAGTGGTTAGCGAATAAGATGGTGACGGGGGCGTTCCCTGTATTAACTGATTTTACGTTCCGGTCCGCGATGAGCCGTGATCACGATCAGACATGCTCGTGCGAGATGGAACAGGATTCTTTGCTGTGGTATAAGTTTGGTCAGGCTCAAGATGAAACTATGGTCAATGCTTGTCAGGCTGCAGGAATACCCAGGTGGACTATGCAGATTCGGAGTAATCCTGAAAATGTTCGTAGGGGCTGTGCTAATTGGATGGTTGGCTAGAGTGCTTAAGCTGATCATGATGGTGGTGTCTTTAGGCATGCCCTATCTTCTTAATCAACCATGAACTTGAACATGGTGCTCAGAGCCTCTACCGGCGAGCGCCGTGGATGCCAGGGCCAGGGAAACTGGCCTATGCAGGTACATCGAAAATTCTAGGTTCGTGCACCTAGCCTGAGTGTGTTTCTGATGAAACGCCGGACATTGTACTGTTGGGGCACAGAACACTGATATAGCTGATGCGTTCAGGTGGTACCATATGCGAGGTGCCAGATTTCTAAGTGTGACTTGCACTTGTAGATGCTGGCTTTGACTTATTTGGGTTGGATTAGTATTGAGCAGGCTCATTCTTTTAATATTTAGTTCCTTGGAACGCCCACACCCGGACGGGATCGATTTTTTTTTCCTTTATTTTGATTTCATATTTTGTAGAGTGCGTACCTAGAGCACATGATGATGATGCATCCACTCAGCGACAGGGTTTATAATGGAAAGTAGGTATAGATATCGACAATACTTTAGTCTGGTAGGAAAGGCTCTGGATTTGGTTGATTTGCTTCAACTGGGGCAATGGAGAGACGTTGTGGACGTGAAGGAGTTGCCCGGGGTGCTTGGGAAGTGATTGCGAGCAGAGATTCATAGATTATCACTCGCACGTCGCTCAATGCCGAAAATCTGCGTAGGGCACCGTACCAATTGCAAAATCTCATGTGCAATAGAATAAATATTCATTGAGGAAGAACATATGCCTATGTACCTTGCATTCTGATCCTTACGGACCACATACAATTTTGCTCTGGAAATCTGGTAGGGTTAGGGCTGCAGTGCTTTCTGGCCATGGGTCAATGGCAAATGGCCAAATTAGCCATGGCGCAAAATCATGCTGTGCATTTCCGTTTTCTTTATGTACTTCATGCAAAACGGCTAAATGTTTTCCTGGTTTGGTACTGTTATTTATCAAAAGTTTCTCTACTACATGTAGTACTTTAGAAGCCATGATTCATAATAGTGGGATAACCTAGAACAAAATAGTGGAAACCTACATTAGCGCCACCCGAACGCGTCTCCCCATAAAGCTTCGACGCGCGACGACAGCTCTTCCCTCACTGCCCCACTAGTCATGAGCGAGAATTCGCATTCATCGCAAGCAGCCCCGATAGATGAGTATCGGGTTTTGTGGACAGCCGTATGGAGACCTGAATGCTTCCTCTACACCGTAGCGCTGTCATCTACTGACGTAGCGACAATAGCAAAAAAAGCAAAAGCTCAAAAAATGGCACGACGGTTCGTTCACTCGGCGCGCTTTGAAACAAGCTTCTAAGGCAGTCCATTAACAGTCAATAGGATTCCTCCGATTTCACAAATTCAACAAGCGCCTATTGGTATATGATGATGCTCGACATCTTGTGGTAGGTTATTTCTCCTGCTGTTTGCACAGGTCATTACCGGACTAATTTTATTGCATAGGCGGACATGTACCTCCGCGGGCGCGACACAATCGAGGAAGGCGACGACCTGGAATTCGAAAATCACCTCGTGACAGTCGAAGATTTCAAAGGCACCGTAGTCCAAGATCTAACGCCATTATTTACATCCGTCGTGAAGCGGAAACAAGTGGGTATATCAAATGTCCTCAATATATTGCTCTTGTTGACGAAGACAGCAAATCCAAGCAGTAAATACCCTCATAAGCTCGGAAACACCCAACCAGGCGAATCGCCATGGACCTTGGGGGCCTAACAGTAGAAATGCTACACCGACTCCCCACCAACGCCCCATGGCTGCTGCGGCGAGGTTTCCTCCTCAGACGCCCATGCAGCAAAGGCCAACGAATATGGGTATGAGCTTACAGCATTCCATACGGGCGAACAATAATACCCAACATCCTCATTCATATAAGGGCAGGTCACTAGGTCAAGCCCAAAGCCTTCCCACGAGGATAGAGCCAGCTCAGAGGCCAAATAGAATATCGAACCCTAATCCGCCAATACAACAGCTGCGGCAATCAGGTCCGCAAGTATCAGATGCAGCTACATCTTCTACTAGCTATCGGCCTCCGCTCAATGCTTTAGGCGGTCCACCAAGCCCTAATAGGCGATTAAACCAGCCCTCCAAGCAACAAGCACCCCTGGAACCTCCTCAGAACCATCTGTCCTCCATTCGGCGTAAGAAGGCCCCTTCATGTCCAGCTCCACCCCATGTAAACCGAGGGTCTCTCAACTTGAACGGATTCTCTGATGCGGCCAGACCCCTAGAGCCTCCCCTAAAACATAGCAGGACCAATAATATTTTTTCGAATCCAGCTCCTGTAAACAAAAGCACACCAAATCTAGTTATAGACACAGATAGTGATGATGAACTATTTGGGTCCCCACCCGACTTCAATATAAATTCTGCCTCTCCTCCACCCGCCCAAGAGACAGACCTGAGACCTGCCAGTGCCTCAAAGCGGTCTTTGAATGGGTCTAAGAATCAATATAATGATCCCCGTGCATTCAAGCCTCCATCTAAGGGGAAGACTATATCCTCGCCCGAAAAAACTCCAAGCAGGGGCCGGGTGGCTATGTCAAATACGGATGCGGGTGAAGGCAGCAACCCCCGTATATCTCAACCCTTACCGAACGATAGGTCCTCTGCTGCTCCCTTGAGAAACCCTCAGGTGGCGGTGGTTGATAGTAATCCAATCACGAGTTCCGGTGATGAAAGTGAAAAGGAGAAGGAGCCATTCGAGCCCCTCGTAACTACTGGTAAAATCCTGCTGGGAAACACCGCAAAACGGAAAAGAACCAAGCTTCTGTGCCAAAGACCTTCTCCGGTAGCTCCAAAAGACCGACCTACGGACACAAAGGAGCGGGAGAGTGTAGCCAAAAAGCCCAGAAAGGAACCGGCCTCAAAAGCATCTTCCCCCCCCACGGTTATAGGCAAAGTTCCAGACGAGGATCTAGCTATGGTAGATTTCGCCAATGATGCTCCGATCCCACCTCCCCCGGCAGTGAAGAAAAACCTAAGCGCTTTCAAGTTCCGGCCTCCGACAAGAGTTCACCAGAACAAGAGTGACGATAAAGGCAAAGGCATTGCAAATGATGCGCAGTATAGAATAGAGGAGAAGGAGGACACGGTTGAATACCAGAAGGAGCACGATATTGGCCCGTGGAGCTCGGAGGCGCTCTTCTTGTTTGATTGGAGGCCGCCGGGTATGAGGGAGAAAGGAAAATAAGATATTAATTAGTTAGCTTTTTGCACATAGGGGAAGCGTTTTATAGTACTAATATTCATTCTGGTTAGGGGTTTTTGTTGTTTTTGTTTCATTGCTCGAAAGACTGAGCCTTTTTTTCCCACCAGCATCGGGGGCCGGTGTTTAGTGTGGAATATCATTGGTTAGGAAGCAAGCCTTTTTTTTTTTTTGCCCCGAGGGAGTTTTCTTAGAAAGTGAAGTTAGTGAATCTGTGATGACAATGATTGAAAGGTGCTATTTGATAAACCGGGCCTTGGCATTGGTTTATGTAAATTTGAAAAATACCTCTTCAGACAAATAGAGCCACACCATCTTAGAATAGAGATAATAAGGCCCACCATTAATAGTTTTGATCCATTTAACCATGGTTACTTCCATGCTGTCGCTTTATGCAAGAGCAGAAGTAAGTCGCGCACATGTAGTTGTGTTTCATTTCATCAATTCACATTAGCCACAGGTTGCTGAGTAGCAAGCATCCGCACGCTGTACGCCAGGTTTTTAGTATAAGCAGCCATTGATTGAGTACACACGATATCCACTTAACGTCAAGGCCCGCTGCAGGAGTATTTGAGGAGCCACTTCACAGCTTTAGGGGCTGATGCGCCGAAGACCATGCGGTAGTTATAGGACTAAGTCAGTCGAGTGATACTTGATGATTGTCACCGGCATCGTCAAAAAGTATTCAAGGATAACAAGGCATGGCCGGATCCCGAAGAAAAGAAAAACATCCCACCGTTGCCTAGATACAAGTAGTTTTTCAGTTAATTCTCCCGGGATAAGTACCCATACCCCATTGTACCGGTAATCTTGGCATTCAAATAGGACTTGGGGCAATGAACACACATGGGCGAGTGGCCTAACAGTTACCACTCGCCTTCCGGACGGACACCGAGAGGTTGTGCTTTGCCTTCGACTACAGAGGATTCAGGGTTCAATCCAGGGGTGGGGGTTGTAGATATGGCTAGATCATGAATGCAATCTTTTGTTCTTTTTTGTACAAGTACAGTGGCAATAAAGATATTGAAGTGGGGCATTGTAAATCAATATACCCCGAGCCTCAGGCTCGAGCACAGACCCTCCAGCTACAAGAATAGATGTTACCGAAGGTAAATCCACTCGATATACATACAACCGTCATAATTGGGAATGAAGAGCTTCCGATCCAGGAGCTGTTCGAGTAGAGTTTACTGGTTGGTACAGTATATACATGTAGTCAATTTCTCTTCAAATTCTGCTACTCTGACTATCCTATGGATGTGAGAGGTAGGTGACGCTTTAGTAGCTACAGTACTTTTTCACCAGTTGTGGGGGTGCCCCAGATAGGTGATAATGATATCTCACTACATATAGCTACATGATCTAGCTAGAGCTAGACTGAAAGTTATATATTGAGACAGATGACAGTTAACGTCATGGAGAGCTGGGGTACATATAGCTTCTTCCACGAGGCATGTGGATCTGTATTCAAATTAGCCCAGCTAACTTGAACTATAGAAGAAAAAGGCAAGTTACATGTACGTACATGTAGTAATAAACGGCATGTCGCAGCCCCTCGTACTGCGTATTTGTTCAAAGCTACCATGGCACATCTCAGCTTTCTTTTTATGAGCGTTAGACCGCATCAAATGAAGAAAATAAAGTCAAAAGGCACTGTCTCTACCTTAGATGCACTCTCCTCCATGACTGCCTAATTCAAAACTTCCACAACATACGTTTGTTGCCTATTGAATAGGTGGAGAGCTTTCCGATATCTTTGTTGAGTTGAAGCAGGCCGTGTAATCTTAAGCTAGCATAAATAGGCTCATTTCAACCGATCTATTGAGAACTCGGTTGTTCCAATGCGCAGTACAGATGTAGCTAAATTGTATTCACAGGTGGTCTTATCTACCAAAAGAGATTAAGTCTATGGCTATAGATATAGACTGGATTGTACCCGATTCTTATGAATAGGTAACCCCTACCTGTGATGCTTGAGAATCGTTTCGAAACTCGGGATACATAAATGTATTTCTGGATCTCATATAATGCTGAGTTTTATATTGAGGGGGTACTACGTAGGTTGCTATTTTACAGAATTTATACCTTACAGATTAAACTATATATACTCTTCTAGAGTCCAGGTTTTCGAAGAATTAAAAATTTGGCAATTGGCCGTTAGGGTCAGGTGTGCTTATTTATATTAGGGTTAGGTATATACAGTTACTACTAATAGCTGTAGCAACAGTCATTACCGCATCGTCTCCTTCACAACCTCCCACGATCCCATACACCGGCCTTTGATATCAAAGCCAGAACCAATGGCAACGATCTACGACCTCCCCGCCGAGGTTATCCTTCTAATCATCGAAACGCCGTCCTTCCCCCTCAACACACTCAACGCGCTCCTCCGCACTAACCGCAATTTCCATGGTCTCCTCACTCCCTTCCTATACAAGCGCGCCTCGAAGCTCGCTTCAAGCCCACTCCACTGGTCCGCCGCCCGTGGCTTCAGGAACAACATTACGCCTCTTGTTGCGGCCGGATGTGACATCGAAGTAAAAGACTGGACCAATAGGACGCCACTCATGGCCGCCGCCTTGGGAAACCACCTGGACACCGTCCGCGCGCTCCTAGACAATGGTGCAAACATCAATGAGCACTCCGGCCGTTTCAATGACGATGGTACGGCTCTGCATCTTGTGGCCCGCGATGGCAGTGTTGAGATGGTAACGCTGCTATTGGACTACGGTGCGAACGTGAATGTGCGGGAGGCACGTGGGGCGACACCGCTGCATTGGGCGGTGGATACGGGGGGTCAGGGATGGGAGAATACGGATGATCTGCCTTTGGGGTTTGGTGTAGGGAGTAAAACAGTACGTGAAAGTGTGGTGGAGTTGCTTTTGGACCGTGGTGCACAGATTGATACAGATAGGGAACAGGATGGAGAGACGGCACTGAGGATGGCCGTAACTAGGGGAAACATGCGCATGTTTGAGATGCTGTTGAGGAGGGGAGCCGGCATCGAGACTCCCGCACGGCTGGGGGAGACGGCGTTGATGTCGGCTGTGGCCTGCGAAAGGATGGGTATGGTGAGTGCTCTACTGGAAAGAGGGGCAATGATTGGGTGTAGGAATGATTATGGCGAGACAGCACTGCATTACGCAGCGGTGCAAACGGACTCTAAAGAGATGCTGGAAGTACTTCTGGATGGGTACGAGAGGAGTTCAGAGGTTAAGGAGCCCGGGTATATTGATACACAGAACGACGAGGGGAATACCGCCCTTCACCTAGCTACGCGTGACGAGGCCAGGAAGATGCGCATCGAGGCGGGGAAGGCCCTTCAGCAACTCCAGGCAGAGGAACCCACCAGCGATGGCGAGGCGAGGATGTGCCCCGCCTATGTCATACAGCAAAGAGCAGAGGCAAATCTCACCGCGTCCGTCCGGCTCCTCCTCGAGAGGGGTGCCAACCCAAACTGCCCCAACGAGATTGGGCGGCGACCTCTTCACAATGCGGCCGCGAACGGATACGTCCAGATGGCGCAAGTTTTGCTAGATCATGGCGCCGAGATTGATGCCACCGACGTGGACGGCGTCACGCCGCTAGTTCGGGCAGGAAGGGTGAGTTGGACGGTAAGGAGGAAACCTGAGCAGCTGGAAGGTAGGATTGGTGTTGTCAGACTGCTGCGTAAGCGAAAGGCGATCTGTGATGGCATCCAGGAGTGGACGAAAGGCAATCAGGCATTGTCGGATGCACTGGGCGAGTATGATGATGATTATGACATAAGCAGCAGCAGCAGCAGCAGTAGGAACAGGAGAACAGTCAAAGCAAGCCGCGAGAATCCTGTATGGGGAGGATGAGGATGATGATGTGACGTCGGATCTTTAAGGGGCATCATCGTTAGAAGCATGCAAGAGCCGTATTTCTGGGTAGGGTATGGCATAGTGTAGGTGTCTAGACCAGCTTTTTCTTTGTATTGATGTCGATCTTCGTTTTTTATTTGGTTGATGATATTCACAGCTTGTCAGACCGGCCCGTCTGCACATCGGCATGGTATCAATCGAGGGATATACATGTAAATCTATATAGCTGCCGTCTGTGCATGTCGTATCAATAAACATGATTTTATTATCCTCCAGCCCCCTCCTGGAGCAGGCAGACAGGCAGATATGCAGTGCAATGCCAATGATTTCCCTCCTTTGCTTAATTACGCCGCCAAGAGCCCTGTCCCGCCTCCTAGGTAGGTATGTGGTCCACTCCAGTCCACGGACTGAAGTGGACCAAATCCACCGTTGCCAATGACGGAAGTTCCAAGATTTCCTCCCTTCTTTCTAAGGGTTCACAATTGAATGCCATCTACCGAGATAGCCCTGGCTCTCAAATCAAGTATCCGCAGATATGGGAATGTTGGTTATGGACCCCCGTTGTTGCACCGAGACATGTAGCGAGCGAGTGAGTGAGTGACCATCCATGCAGCGGACAGAGCCGGTACAGTGCTTCCTGGTTTCTGGTTGCTCTGCCATCAAGGCAAGGAAGGTAAGGATGGGAAACGACGTAACACAGTACCAGCACAACGGTGATCGCGGAGGTTGCTCTACTTGCCGTTACGGGGGGGACATCTTTCCTACCTACGAGTAAGTACAATACCGATACATGTATTTCTTATCCTAGGCAGCTGGGCGCTTTGTCATGCGGCTCCCCGGATTCCAAGGTTTCGGGTATCGGTGTGGCCTAGCTTGATGGGGGGGGGCTAGGTAGTAGGGGCGGGTCACTAGTACTCTTCTTTTTTTTTTACCAAACAGTAGAGTAAACCGCCACCACAGCGTCATGGAGAGAGAGATAAGAGATCTTATCAATCGCCGTTATGTACTTTTACTCAGTGTGGTAATTTTAGAACGCATGACGAAATGGCTGGAGGGCTGGGCTGGGCACGAGTGACTTTTGGTGAGTGGGGAGTAGTGTGGGAGGAGAGGATAGAGGAGTATGTAATCTGTGCATCACGGTCATTGACACGACAGGGTTGAGCGGAGCCCCGCAAAACAGGTGCTTTTCTCTCTACTCGACTACCATCGTGAGCTCTCTCCAAGCCAGCCAGCCAGCCAGTGCCTACAATTCCTACCTACTGTGCCTACCATACCTACATAGCTACGCAGAAACTACCAATTGCTAATTAATTGCCCCCCATGACCACCCTCCGCGTCGGCTTCGTGCCCGGTCCGTCCTTTCCCCCCCTCTCCCCCGCCCCCTCTCCCCCGCCATCCCCGCACTAACCCCCACACCCACAGAACACTTCTCTACCCCCCTCCACTTCGCGCAAACCCACTCCTTCTTTGCCCGCCACAACCTCGCCATCACCCTCATCCCCTTCCCCTCCGGCACGGGGCACATGGTCAAGTCGCTCGCCGCGCACGAGCTCGACCTCGCCATCGGCCTCACCGAGGGCTGGATCGCCGCGCTGGGCAACGGCGCAGCCGACTTCCGCCTCGTCGGGAACTACGTCAAGTCGCCGCTGTGCTGGGCCATCTCTGCGGGCGCTACACAGACTGCGGTGAATTCGGTGGAAGATCTGAAGGGCAAGAGGCTGGGAGTGTCGAGGATTGGCAGTGGGAGCTATGTTATGGGCTTTGTGCTCGCGGAGGAGAGGGGCTGGTTGGAGGATGGGAAGGAGCCGTTTGAGTTTGTGGCGCTGGATACGTTTAAGGGGCTTAGGGATAGCGTGAATGGTGGGAGGGCGGAAGCGTTTATGTGGGAGGTGTTTACCACCAAGTGCGTCCCCCCCCCCCCTCTGGCTTCGTGGTGGGTAAGTGGCGTGGGGGGGTGGGGGGGTGCTGACAGTTGCTCGGATAGAAAATACTACGACAACGGCGAGATCCGTCAGATCGGCGAGATCTACACGCCCTGGCCGTCGTGGCACATCGTCTCGCACAGCGACCTGCTGCACACCAACCCTGCGGCCGTGAGCGAGTTCCTGCAGGCCGTCAATGAGGGCATCGAGTACTTCAACGGGCACCACGACGAGGCCGTCGAGTACATCTCGACGCACCTGGACTACTCGGCCGAGGACGCACGGGCGTGGCTGGGCACGGTCGAGTTTGCTGAGAATGTGAAGGTGGTGGAGGAGAGGGTTGTGGTCAAGACGGTGGATATACTGACGAAGGCGGGCGTGGTGAAGGGGAGTGTGGGGCCGGGGGAGATGGTGGTGAGGGTGTAGGGCAGTGGGGCAGATAAGGCTGTATGCTGTACTTAGCTGTAGTAAGTAGTTGAGACAGAAATGGACTCTGGTGCAAGCAGTTCTGTGTATGTGTGCGGGACGGGACAGTGTGTGTGTGTGTGGAGTAGAGATAGCCATTTCCCAAGCGTTACTACGCCGAGTGATAACCCATGCAACAACCCCCGGCCGCCCGCCCAACGCAACCCGCAGCCGGCCAGCGCCCAGATCGCAGTAAAATAAATACAAACACCAAAAGAAAAAAAGAAGATAAAAAAGATAAAAACGCCCGGCTACCACAGATAACTATCGATACGCTGCCCAATTGCAACAACCCCCCAATAATCCGTCATTACATGCCTGGTATCATCACTATCATACATGTCATCACAAAATGAAACAACAAAAGAGACACCCCCCCCTCCACGCTACAGATCAAACTCCGCCTCCACATCCTCACCGCCGCCACTGCTCCTCACCATCCGCTCCCTCTTCTCCGCATCCAGCCCCTCAAACCACTGCGCAATCGCCGCCACATACGCCTCCTCGCCCTCGCCGTACTCCACGGGCGGCCCCGTGATCGCCGGCCGCCCCTTGCCATGTTCGCGCCACACGGCCCATGCGCTGTTGGGTGTCGAGGTCGCAACAAAGTCGTGCTTGTGGGTTGTGATCTTCAGTGGGGGGTTGTTAGCCACAGCGGTTTGAGGCACGAGGAAGAGGGGGAGGGGTGAGATCAAACCTTGAAAGAGCGCAGGAGCACCACGTCGCCAAGCTGCACGGCGGGCAGGGCCTCCTTGTGCGGCCGCAGCACGGTGGCCGTCATGCCGGCGGGGAAGGAGGAGTCCACGACGCGCATAGAGATGTAGTAGTCCTTCTGGCCGCGCGAAGCGCGGCCGATGGGCCATGAGCGTGTTACGACGGCGATGAGGTCGACGACGGCGCCCCATGTTAGGGAGCTGAGGGCGGGGAAGTCGGATAGCTGGTCTGGTTGTTAGTGGTGCGGCTTCTATCTATGTAGGATGGGGGTGTGGGTGTGGATGTAGAGATTTTGCCCTTACGTTTGTTGTGACGCCGCTCCGGAAGCCTAGCTCAATGCCGAATGTCTCTTCCTCGTCCTCCTCCTCTTCTTCATCCTCCTCCTCGTCATCGTCGTCCTCTTCATCGTCGTCGTCGTCGTCCTCCCCCTCCATCGGCGTCGAGAAGCCCGAGAAGCCCTCATCCGTCCCGCTCGCGCTTTCCACCTCCCTCGGCACCTCCACGCCCCTCTTCGGCCTGCCAAAGTACGCATCAATCTCACTCGGCACCGGCTCCTCCCTCATTCCCCAGAAGCTGCTCCGCCGCCGTATGGGACTGCTGATATCGCCGCCGAGCACGCTCTCATACTCCTGGCTCATAAACTTCGGCGGCGCTGACGTCGGCGGGAACTGTATGCCCCTCTTCTCCGTCTTCGGGCTCGGCGTCGGCAGATACAGGAACGGCGTCTTCGGCTGGTCCCCCCCCTCCTCCTTGACCGCAACCTCGGGGGTGGTGGAGGCCACGCTCGTCTCCAGCGTCAGCTTTGAGCGCAGCGGCGTCGCCCGCCGCGGCTTCAGCGACTCGACGCTCTTGAGCGGCGACCTTCCGAGCGTGCGCGACTTTGTGGTGCGCCGTCGTAGCTCGTTGTCGCTGAACTCGTCAAAGAGGCTGTCCTTCTCGGACTCGTAGTCGCTGGGGAAGCGGTCGTCCTCGCTGACGCTGCCGCGGCGCTGGTCCGCGAGCTTCTGTGCGTCCGAGGGCCCGGGGGTGGTCGATGGCTTTGTGCCGCTGAGCTTGCTGGGGTTTGTGGGCGGGTTTGTGGAGCTGTCGTGGTCGTCTTCGGCGACGGGGACGATGACGACCTCGGGCGCGCTGGAGAAGTCGTCGAGTGAGTCGTTTCGTAGTGTAGAGCTACCCGTAGAGCCTTGCGATATGTTTTCCGCGCCTGCAGCTTCGCCGGCGCCTTCTGTGTCTTGCGCGCGCGCGTTGTAGTCCATGTAGTCAAAGCCGGCCAGGCCTCTCCCGAGGAATGGGGAAATGATCGGCAGCTGCTCACTTGGCACCGGCTTGAGATCTGGTGAATCCGGCGTGTCCCCCACGTCAAAATTTGTATTGAGAGCCAATTGTGGCGGCGGCGGCGGCGGTGGCATATCTACATGATTTGGATGCTCGGGGCGCTCAATTACCATGTCCTCCCCCGCCATGCCGTTCATGAGCGCCTCCTCTAGTGTCCCGTCGCTCTCGACCGCAGCTGCGTCGCCGTCCTCCTCAAAGCGATACGAGTTGCTGAATCGGGCACGCTTCTTCCGATGGCCAAGGTCGTACTCGTCTACCCCGCCAAATAAACCCTGTTCGCCAATTGCAAACACGTTCGCGGGCTCCCTGTCGGGAGAGGAGGGTAGGCGGCGCTTAAACAGACCCGGGGTCACCCACTCGCCCCCACCGAACTGCGCCGGCCGCACCGGAGGTGTCGCCGGGTGCGCCGTAGAAGGCGAGTACGACGACTCCTCCACCACTGCCGGCGACAGCTCCGGTTCCGGCCCCGGGTCAGCGTCGGCGTCGGCATCGGCATCGGCATCGATATTGATGCTATTCCATGTATCGCCCGATTTAACCTGTATTGCGCGCGCGGATTAGCTCCCAGCTGTCTCCCTTCCCGTGTACCCGCCCTTTTCCCTAGCTCCATGGTAGTAGGCATACCTTCATCGTGAGCTTCTTCTCGAAGCTCACCGCCCACGGCACGTCCCTCGAGCTCGCGCTGGCCAATTCCTCCCAGTGTGCGCCGTCAAGCGAGATGCACACGTGGTCGCCGCTCTGCAGGCCGTGCGCGTCGACGCCGATCGCGGCGGGGCCGTGGAAGTTGACGCGGAGCTGGCCCTTTGAGAGGCGGAGGATGGGGTTTTGCTCGGAGGCTACGATGGAGAGCGTGCGGCTGGACGAGGAGAAGGGCCATATTAGTGTAACGACGGCTGTGATGTAGGTGGAGGAGGAGGAGGTGGTGGTGGTGGTGCTGCTACTGGTAGGGCTGAGGGAGGCGAGGGGGAGCGGTGTCAGGGTGGTGGGCCAGTCGGAGAAGGAGGGGGGTGGTGGGGAGTCGGCCATTGGGGATGTTTGAGATGATTGAATGTGGTGGTGGTGGTGTGGGTGGTGTGGATGGTTGTGGGAGGAGTGGGTTATGGTGTAGTGGTGTGGTGGGAATGGTAATGGGAATGGAGTGAGATGGGAATGGTTGTGGTTGTGGTTGTGGTGTTGTGTTAGCTGAGTGCTCGCTGAGCGCTCGTTCCTTGCTTGGTGCTCCCACAAAGACAGATTTCCAGATGGGGACTGACGGGTACGTATGTGTGTGGATAGCTGAGTCTGGGGGATGAGATGCGGCTGAGCGGAGTTGTGCGGGCGGGAAGCTCCGGGGTCCTAAATATGTAGGGAAGATGATGGGAATAGGGGTGTGTGGGGAGAGAGACGATTGATGAATGGATGAATGGGAATGGACGGATGGATGTCAGTAAATCAGTAAATCACCATAACCCACCCTCTCACTCGCCCGCCCAACCACAGCTCGACCACTCAGCCAACTGATTGCGATTGATCAATCCCACAACCCTACATACTCTACGCACATGTAAGCACCGGCACTGGTAGTAGAGAATACCTTGTTGGCTGGGCGCTGGTGCTGCTGCTGTGTTCCACGCCGCAACTGAACTGCAATCGCGATTACTACATCATGACACTGTAGCACATGCACAGAGCAGAGCAGAGCACGCTGTCTGCACGCCGAGAGAGGAGGCGGGGGAGAAGAGGAGAGCTTAAGCCTACTCTGCTCTACCTCCCGTGACCGTCCCCTCACACCTCTGCTTCTGCCCTCAGGTCTCACTCACACACTAGCACTCACCCCCCGAGTGATTGTCTGTGAGCTTAAACACCCGCGCCCACACACACACACTCACACACTCACTCACTCACCCACACTCCCACACCACCACCACCCGTCACCGTCACCGGCCGACCGACAAGCACCGCACGCAACACCCACCCCACTAGTAGATAAAACAAAGTAGAAAAAAACACAATCAAAGTAGAATGAAGCCCAATGTCTTCCCCTCTCGGCACACGTTGCCCACATTCAACATCGTTCTTCCCCACTCCGCCCGCAGTTCTCGCGTCCGTAAATAACCATAACGCGTAAATACATCCCGCCATTACAACAACCCACACCCACCCACCCACCCACGCGCTGCGTCGTCGTCGTCGTCATGTCTCGTACCTGCAGCAGCAGCAGCAGCAGCATCCAACAACCCGAATTGAAGAAAAAGAAGCAAGCACGCAAAGCACCCAGGGCCCCAGAAGAAATTGATCCCTTCTTCGAGCCGGTAGCGAAGCGGTTGAGAAGCCGAAGCCAAAGTCGCCCACGGGACAGGAGGCTTTCTTCTTCTTCTACTTCTTCTTATGCTTCTGCAAGATCTGCGCTGGCACCAACAGTTGAGGAAACCGAGGGGACGCCGCCTACAGAGGAGGAAATCCCGGACTCGCTCGCATATCTGGACGCCCCCCCTCTGAGCCCTGCACCCGTGACTTCGTACGCAGAAGCGCTGTCTCGGCGTCGCCAGAGGAACTTTGATGTTGTGATAGAGAAGATACCTGGCTTTGACAGATCGCAATACACAAGCTACAATAGCGATCCTGAGTCCCACCCTCCTATCCAAGCAGAGCCGCCTTCAGTGCCTCCTCCTCCTCCTCCTACACCCCAAATCCCCCCACCACAACCACAACCACAGCAGCAGCAAATCATAGTAGAAAGCTTCACAAAAGTATCCCAGATTGAACGCTCATCCCAAAGCGTTCTTCTGGTCTACGAAGAAAGCGTACTAGTGCCCGCCTCGCAGATCGTCACCCCCGCCTCCTCAGGTACAAAACCGGGGGAGGGGGAGGAGGGCCCGGTCAGTACCATAATACCAGAGACCCCACAACAACAGCAGCAGAAGCAGAAGCAGCCTGCAGCAGGTCACAACAACCCTCGAAAGAAAAAGAAGCCGCATATTGCATCCGGCCAAGAAGGGCCAACAACTCTACCACCACCACCACCACCACCTCAGATTCTACTAGAAGCACAACTGCTGCTGCTGCGCACGCCGGCACTGGCCAATACGCAGTCACAATCCGCCTCAGGCGCAACAGCAATTCCTGCAGCTCCCGCGATATCAAAAGAGCATATAAAAGCTATAAAAGCGCCTGCACCCCAGCACCCAAAACACTCTGAAGTCGTTGAAGCTGCCGTACAGCAGCCCGCCAGGATATCGACAGCAGCAACAACCACGAGCACCACTGCCGCTACCGCTAGTACTAGCGTTAACCGGGATCCTCCTGCATTAGCTACTAACGGGAGTGGGCCACCTAAAGTCTTGGCAGCAACCGCAACCGCAACAGCAACAGCAGTAGCAACAGCAGTAGCAACCGATCAAACACCACCACCACCGCCTCCAGGGCCCACAGCTCCTCCAAACCACCCCACCACCGACCCTCAACCCGCCCACCCACTCCCCGCCCCAGCGCCGCCCCCAATATCCGCATTCTCAAGCTGGTTCACCAACCGTGAGCCCAGACCCGCGCCCAAGGTCTCTAAGCAGCGCCGGCGGAAAGCAGCAGTAGTAGCACCACAGAACAACGGCGACAACGCCGCAGAGGACATGTCCGGCGCCCAGTCACTCCTGCTGCGCGAGCGTCTCGCGAAACGGCGGGAGGAGCGCAACGCAAAGATCCTGACGGCGAGGAGCGCGCGGAGCCAGTTCTCGCCCGTTCCCCCCGCGACCCCTCCAACTCCAGCAGCGGCAGCGCTGCCAGCTTCGTCAACTCCGCCGCCGCCGCCGCCGCAGCAGCAGCCGAATCTAGCGACGTCTGGGACTGCAGCGGGAAATGGACTGGGGGATGTAGCGCCCGGGAGTCTGGGAGTGACGACGCCGGTGGAGAGCGTGGCCGTGAAGGAGGAGGCTTCGGCGGACGATGTTCACATAAATTTGGCTGTCATTGAGGATGCACCGCCGCCGCCGCCGGTTCAGGTAGCACAGGATGTAGAGATACAGGATGTGGAGATACAGGACGCGGAGATACAGAGTATAGAGATAGAGGTTCAACCACAACCACAATTAGAACCGCAACTAGAAGAACCGCAACTGCAACCGCAACTAGAGCCAGAACCACAACCACAGCCACAACAACCGGCGCCGCAAACAAAGATGCAATCGCCCTTCAGAACCCCATATCTCGGCCCAGCGGAATACGCAATCGGCCTCCCTCTACGTACAAAAACCGTCACCCCCAAAGCAATCGACCAGAAAACCGCATATCTCATATCAATCACCGAAAAGCACGGAGAGATCAAACGGTATCTCTCCAACCCGCACGGCGCCGACGCCGCGCTCGTAGACGCCATGCAGGAGATCCTGGCCAACACCGGCAAGATCGCCACGCACCCCGATCTCCTGATGAAGAAGATTGAGGTCTCGGATGCCGCGGCGGGCAAGGAGGCCGACTACCACGCGGCCATGAGCAGCAAGTTTGTGTTTCTGCGTGCGTTCTTGGTGGCGGTGAGGCAGCAGCATTTGAAGATTGTGATTGTGGCAGAGAGGGGGAAGATAATCGTGAGTACACAACCACCACCATCACACTTTTTTTTTTCTTTCTTTCTTTTTCACAGTGGTCTAATGAGGAGTAGGATATACTGGAGATATTCTTGAGGGGGATTAGAATCGCCTACACCAGGCTGGATCAGCTTAGTACGTTGCCAAAGATACCGCACGACGACAACGAGGGCCTAGTGCGAGTATTTCTTCTGCCGAGCTCCAAAAGCGGTTCTGTTGTGGTAAGTGTTGCTTCTAGCCCCCAAGAGGGGGAACGAAAAAATAAAGCTTACTCTTTTTAGAATGTGGCCGACTGTCTCATCGCCATGGACTCAAGCTTCGATGCAACGCTACCCGAGGTTCACAAATGCCGTAGTAACTCCTACGAGGTTGGCAAGCTTGCGCCCGTATTCCGACTGGTCGCCATAAACTCAATTGAGCATCTCCGCCTCTGCAGCCCGCCCGGCCAGGAGGTTCCCCTCTATGTCTATATCGAGACGCTGAAGAATCTGCGGCAACAAGTGGGCGTTGCAACGCAGGACTACGGGTCTGCAGTCTCCCGTGCGCCGACAAAGATCACGAAATGGCTGCAGAAGAAGGCGGAGGGGAAATTGGAGATTCCCGAGATTCCGGAACTGCCGCTCTTTGAGATTACAAGTCACGCTCAGCCTACTACGCCCAACACTAGCACTAGCACTACTAATAATTCTTCTGGCAACGAAGGGTGCGATAAGAGGAAAAGACAGGTAAGAATCCCCAATTTGATTTTTATATTCCATTCTGACTGAGAAGCTTATTCGAACCGCGTAGGAAACACAGACTGTGGTGTCACCACAACAAGATGCGAAACGAACGAGGGTCAATGATCCTGAGCCAATGGGCCCTATTCCTGAGTTTGTTGAGTGCCTGACACCGCATGTAGTTGGGGATGTCACGCATGTTAGTGACTCTATGCCGAGCCAAGCACCGACCGATCAATCGAGTGTATTAGGGCATACAGACAATGAGGGCCACCGTACACTGGCGGAATCTGTCGCGATGGATATTTCTGAGGGTGATCAGACGGCGGTGGAAGATAACAAGACGGAGCACGTTGTGACGGCTATAGAGATTGAGGATAGTATGGATCATACCGCAACGGCCGAGAAGCAAGTCGAGGAGCAAGTCGAGATGCAGGTCGAGGAGCAAGTCGAGGAGCAAGTCGAGATGCAAGTCGAGGTGCAAGTCGAGGTGCAAGTCGAGGAGAAAGTCGTGGAGGGAGAACAAGAAGAAGAAGAAGAAGAAGCGGAGGATATACCAAAGGATAATCCGGTGACGTTCCCTGAAATCTCGAGCACAAACGGTTTGAATATAGAGTCATTGGTCAGTTTCTTCTTATTTCTTTGGAGTGGGTGGGGGCGCCTAACTTGTGTAGTCTCGGGAACAACTAGTTGCTGCGTTCAAGAGGCAGGCAGAGGGCTTACAGCAGTGGATGGAGTCCGCTGGAAGACTCCAACTTCGACATGACGAGTTGAAGAAGCAACTCGCCGATACTAGGAAAGAGTTGAGGAGGTCCCAAAAGACCCAGAGGGACGCAGAAAATCGTAAAGAACACACGTCGAAAGAGTTGGCCAAGGTGCGGAACGAGCGAAATAAGGCTGATGAAGAGTTAAAAGACGCTCGCGCAAGGCTTCTGGCTGGCCCGCCGGACAAGGCTGCACTCGAACAATCGCGTGCTGAGAATGAAAAGCTGAGCGAGAAACTCCGCACAGTGGAGTGCAAGTTGCAGGCACAAAACAATGATTTCGAGTTCCTCCGGGGACAGTACCAGGAGGCTTCAAACGGCGCGCTCGAGTTGAATGCGGATAACACAAGGCTGCAAGAAGAGAATTCGGTTCTGGAGAGAAGGGGTGCTGATGTTGTCGTGCAATTACGGAGGATGCAGCATGAGAGCCAGGTCCAAGCACGGGATAAGCAGATAGAGAGCCTGACACTTCAACTCAGGGAACGAGAGGAGCGTATAGCGCGACTAGAGCACGAAAGGCAGGTAAACACAAGAACCCGTGGGTCAATAGGGATGCGGGCGTCGAGTGTCTCCATTCGGGGCAGCCCAATTCAATCAAGGGCAACTTCGCCAGCAACCGGGCCAGGGACTTATGGCAGGGAATCTTCTTCCACACATCCCCTGAGGAATGGTTGATCCTTTCTCTTTCGTGTTTTCAATCTGTTTGCTTTTTTCTTTTCCAATTTGTATCCTTTTTTTTTCAATGATTGCTCTTAGAAATACGATACGAGGCAGGGAAGGAGGGAGGGAGCGGCGCGGGGGGGGGGGGGGGGGGGGGGGGGAGAGATTACTCTACTGTGCCGTGGATTTATTTAGGGAAGGAGGGGGATTCATTTTCATGTATTTACCAGTAAGTGAATCCTTGAATACATGGCGTTGTCGTCTTTCAGGGTAATACGCTCAGGGAGAAAAGGAAACGCGACATTCTACCAAGGATTAAGTTGGCGGATGTGCTTTGGAGAGTTAGTTATGGCATCGTACAGCAATAGGGGGGTTTTCTGCATTTCTCGATTGTAGGTATTTCAAGGAAAAAAATTGAATCCCATACGGTAACGGTAACTCTTTTTAGCCATCTCGAGCATGAAGACTTCCCCAGATTATTGGGCAAATGCCTCACGATGACGATCCGATTGCGAATGTCAATACCGGGACACCATGAATCGCCCGAATGTAATTGGCCACTGCTCGGGTTTATGGAGAATCTTGACTCTCCAAGGCAGCTTGACGTTGTTTCACATTCAGAACATAGGCTACAAGCGTGCAAGCGTTGTTTTTTCGATTAGGGGATTACAGATGGGGTTTTGCTTACACAGCCGTATTTGGCCCTTAGTTAACCACAATTGTTATCTGCAACGGTTGTTTAGATGGTTTTTTTTTAAAACCCTTTAAGACCCCCTTTGAGGAATTCCAAGGCACTTGGCCAAAAAAAGGATGATGTTTATCACTAAACAGGATGGGCAAGCAACGCCGCCTGCGCACTGTGTCTAAGACTACATGTACTCCGAGGTAAAGTTCTTGTACCAGCTACAACCTGCATACCGTACCGTATTGATATACCCAGCATTGCCTGTAAGTAATTATTTCTTGGCAAGCCTATGACAATGGGTCTTGGCACGGGCCTATTAGGTAGAGAGTACTGCAAGCGCTGCTGTAATGACGACGTAGGGAATACAGAGATATTTACTGCTAGTTCGCATCATGGCTGCTATCGCAGCGTCAAGTCTGCAAAAGTAAAATTGGGAAAGAAAGGCATGGTGCCGGTTTTTGACAGAACAAACAGCTTATCCCGGATCAGCGTCATGATTCGAAACTAGACGATGTGGTATGGAAGCCAAGACTTAAGCGTTTTTTTCCTCAAAGACTTGGATAACTGCAGCCACCACCACCACCACCCCCCACAAAATAAGGGTCCAACGCCGATCATGACATCACACGTACGCGAGACCCGCAATGGATGGACCGCCGCAACCTCCACCATGCGTTTTCAAGGGAGACAAAAGAAAGGAGATGCACCATCGAATTGTTCGAAATTCGCTTTCTCCAGCGGGTAGAATGTTGACTCTTCACCCCTTTTCCCGTAATATGGCACCTACCAGATTAGGTCAGCGGGCGTCCCCCCCTCCTCCTCCCACGGTCATGACGATTTGCAGGAAGCCGTGTCTATGAAGCAGAAACGCCCTGTCGTCCGCTTATCCTTTTGGTTTACACAGAACTCTTGAGCTCACTCTTGGGAAGGGGCACATAGGCGCATGCAGGTTGCATAGGGTTCAATGAGACGCTTGCCGAAAGTGTGGCAAGATCGTTGATTGGATGGGCATCACCAACTTTCCATAAGGTTGATTGACGTCTACTCCATCACCAACTGTATCTACGTAGAGTACCTGGTGGTCGTGGTGGTGATGGTGGTGGTGTGGTAGTACTTGTGGGCTAAGCATTCATGTATATAAAAGCTTGTTCCCGGTGCGTGATTTCTCACATCATACGCTTCATCAACTATCACCAGCGACTACTACTTACTACCACCACCACCACCACCACCACTGCTACCCACAACCAGTACCATTGTGCTCTTTTAACAATACTCAAAATACCTTTCGAGCAATTAAATTGACGGCTTCTTACCTCTCCACACAAAAAAATCCTCTTCTATCGTTGCCCTTCCATCCTCTATACTTTTTAATACTAAATACCTACACCAATCAATAAAATGACTGTTTCAACAAGAATGGCCTCTTCTTCAAACATGCAATCCACTAGCTCATATATGAACAATGGAGGACATCACTCTGAGCAGAGCTACGACGCCTCATATGATAACCAGAACCAAGACGATCCCATGAGCAAGTACGCCAGGTATGCCATCTACATGTAGTCCCTTAATGTTCGGTCCAAATTCAAACCAGAATCATCAACTAATTTTTCATATAACAGGATACTTTTCGAGCACACTCGCAGGCAGATGGACAACGCCACACATTCCATCCGCGCTGGATCAGAAGAACAAAAGTCGACCATATCGCGCGAGCGCCTGACTCACAGCCATAGTCAAGGTCAAACTTCAGTTGCCTAAAAAGCCATCTTGTTCCCATTCGTATCAGTTCTGTAATAGTAGTATATATTTTTTTTCCATTCATGTTTTGAGATTCGCATTTGGTTCGGTCGGGATATTGAGCTCTTGATGTTATTTTCTATCGTTTTTTTCTTTCTTTTTTGGGGGGCCCGGTTAGGTTACGGTTTCCTTAGTTATCCCCCTTCAACTGCGTAGTTTGGGGGTATCACATTTGTACGAATTCCCTCACATACATAGATCCAAAAGCGAAGAGGTTTTGGCTTTGAATAGAAAAAATATTTACCATCATTATCCAAGTTCGCTCTAGTGTAGAAAGATCGACCTGCTGCGGAGTCAGCAGGTAAGTACTGGTAGACTAGTCCTCAAAATAGGTAGGACATTCAAGGAGTATTAAAAAATAGTAAAATAAAATGGCGGTGCTGGGTAAGAGGGGAATATGACCTCTATTGTCATATTAAGTACAGAACTCGTCGACTAGCACAAACCTGACCCATGATACCAGGCCCAACCTTAAAAGACGCCAGATACAGCAAAGAAACTTGGGAAATAATAAAACTCCATTCTGATAGTCCCCATGGGATGATAAGGCAAATAAAGAAGAAATCGTAGTTACCGCATCACGAAATGGTGCAACTATGTGGCCACACCTTCACCGTCGTGACCGTTTCGAAATGGTAGGGTTATTCTCCTATTAGATTGTGGGGTGCTGTTGGGTGTCTCCTCCAGATTTTTTGGCTGAAATACAACCTTATCGGCAACCCGTACCATAATGTTGCGCTCACCCCGATTCCTTTCGGATACAAAAAGATCCCCTAGCTCACCTTTGAACCTTTCGAACCCAGATTCTTGGCCCGCAGTTATGGATTCGGAGCCTGTATGCGTGTCTTGCATGTCTTTATCCTGTACCGAGTCCTCCACACCCTTCATCAGATCTGGAGAAGGTTTGCTTCCCTCCGCCATAGTTTGGTTTGAACTCCCATTTTCATTCAACTCTTGGCGAGAGACATTCTGTTTCGACAACACTGCCTCTTGTTCGTTATGTAATTGAACGAAAAGATGGAAAAGCTTCTCACGCATCCGCTTAATTTCTTCCTTGCGCCAAAACGCTGGATCAGACACGCGATCCGCTTTTGCGAGAAATAAGGTGGTGAATTTAATTGGTTGCTCGAAAAATAACTCGACGTAGTGTAGTAGAAATAACCCACAGTCGTACCAGTTGGTCTGATTGGGCACCTAATCAACGGCAATTAATATACTGTCATCGTGTAGATAGCATAGCACTAATCTGTTACCTTGCCAAAGGTAGCATGAATGTCACTGGTATCAATCCTTAAGTTTCGCTTTATCTGTGCTTCAGCCACTAACCACTCTCGAAGATTTCTGATCGTTCCGTTATGTGCTCTTGGGCCAAATCCCATAGAATCGAGTATGACTATAGATGGCCTATAAAGTGTAAGCTTTAAACGCTTATTTTCTTTATTCCGGAAAACCTACGTATCAGGCGGTATGGCGCTTTTTATTTTCTTCGGCGGTGACTTGGTCTTAGCCCTCAGCTTGCTCCTGCCTTTGAATTTGGATCTCTGGATTGAAGAATCTACGTCGATGATTTCTGTGTCATTAGTATTGGCCGTTCCTTCGTTCTCCATGGGTGACTCCACATCGAGGGCCATATGTTCGAGATTATCCTGTGTTGCCACGATCTCTAGATCATCATCATCATCATCATCATCATCACGTGCTATTGACACGAGTGATTCTGCAACACCACTAGTATCCAAAGTGTTTGTTGGAAATACATCTGGGCCATCACTTTTAGATTCGATTAATGTTTCACTAGATTCTAAGTCGATTGAATCACCTCCACGAGGTGAGTCTGAAGCCTTGTCGCTTATTTTTCGTCCAATGTTGCAAAGGTTGCAAATAATGGCTAAATACCAGTGCGTCCTACTGCAAGTTAGATGTTGATACTTCATAAATACAGAACAACACCTACGATTCGTTTATTGGGATGATAATATAACTGGTTTTGAATATGTCTACTTTTGCAGTCCATTTGAGAACTGAATCAATGTCCCGTTTCCTAGTAAAGTGTAAGAAGGATTTCCTGCTGGGGATTCTAGGCCGACCTACTTCTTGTCATCTCTTTTGGTCAATCGTTCGTAAAAAAACGTGTTTAGGAAATACGTTTCCTTTGCTACTTCAGGATTCTTGTGGCCAAGTTGAACCTCTATATACCTGCAAACCAGTCAGTCTTAATAATGAAAAACTGAGGGGAAGTTAGTCATACTTTAAATAGAAATTGATAATATTGTCATTCAAATATGAATTACTGTTAAGTCTCTTTAAATCATCGTAATCAATGACCTCTTTTCTAGGGCCGTTAGGGGGGTATACAAGTGGAGTTTCCCATGGTGGCTTGGGCAGTTCCAACTTTGGTTTCAGTGACTGCGTTTCTATCGGAGAAGATTCGGATTCCTCCGTAGAGGGCGCTCTAGGCCGTTTGGAATTTTCATTCTCTACCCTGCACGCTCTAGTTCTTGGGCTTCGCCTTACCGGAATTTCAACTGTAAAGTTCCCCGGCGGCTTCCTGGTTTCACGGGTATTGTATCGGTGAGTAACTTCAGTCTCCTGTGGTTCAGAAGCATTCGCCTGGCGGCGGTCTTCCCAATCCTTGAGCTTATTAGACATATTGTCGAGTGTTTTTCTAATATTGTCAGTTACGAGCCCACTAGGGAGTTTCGTATCACACATACCCCTCTGCCTCCAAAGGCATGACTCTAACACTCCTAAAGGCGGATTTGCAATCTTCAATATCCTCTATGTCTTCTAAGACAAAAATCACTGTCCGATCTGCTTCACTCGTTACTCTCTGCGCAATTTGAATTGCAAATTTTCGAATGGGCGTGTTGACCTGGAATAGTTGTCAAAACTAAGTACCACAAAGTACACATTTTTGGTAATAGACATACATATAATTTTTTTATTGCATCATGATCAGTTAGATCGATTTTTCGGACCATTTTCTTTCCCCGGAAACATTCTATCTCTGCGTAAGGCAATATCCGGATCTGGATGGATAAATCGGGTGAATCCTCTTTGGAATAGGATTCTAAGCCTGCTTGAAGGCAAAGGAGGCGAAAGTTTTTACACTGGCCTATGTACTGTTCTCGAGGAGGCTTGGCGGATTTCTTGGAGGTTGCCCCCGTCCATCTCATGTGGGAGGGGGTTTTGTTATCCCCACCTCGCGAGCTCTCCCCGCCTCGCGAGCTCCAGCGCCCTCTAGACGACTAGGTTGGGTTAGCGCAGTCTTTCATTTCTCTTAATTCGCGTTATAACATACCGAAGTTGTCCCCTTTTTAAGCACATCTGGAAGCTGGAAAATGCTGTTTACAAATCCTTGATCTCCTTTAAGTTCCTTTTCATTGTGCAAGCGCTCTGGTTCTATCAATCCTTTTTTTCCAAATTCTGGTTTCTTAGGATCTACCTCCATTTCTTCTGATAAATCATGATCATCTGGACAATATTTTGAGATGTTTCTTGACCGTGGCAAACCCCGCAGTTCCTCCTGTTGCATGCCCTTTTTCTTTCCGTCAATGGGAGATACCTCCATGATTTCATCACTGTCTTCGGATGCTTGATCTACAGCTGAAATCATTTTTTGTTGCTTCCTAGGGTGGTGTTGATCATTGGGAAATTCAATAGATGGTTTAGGATTCATCCTCTTGCGCGATCCACTTCCGTTGTTATTCCCGTAAAGCTTGTTTACTGGCCGTAGTCCTCCCTTGATATTTATTCGTATTAGGTTTTAGCACAAATCTGAGGAAACCGTGAGTTAAGCATACCGGAATTTGTTTTCTGAATTTTAGACTGCTGTTCATCGGCGTACCAATCTTAATCGCACCCTTGGATGGCCTATATTATATTCTCAATTCATGTTAGCAATTCAAACTGTGGGATCTGTGAAAAGAGGGACAAACACGGTAGCAGATGGGTGATATGGGAAATTCTGTGTCTCCTCTTGCGTGGGCGAAGCATTACTTCCACCTTCATAGGCCAAGTGGTGGTGACGTGTTTTGATGCCCTCAGTCTTAACCTTGGAGAAGTCAGCTAGGGAGAGCTAGGGAGAACATATCGAGAGAAATGACGAAGGGAATGAGGTTGGAAGTGGGGAAGTAGCTTGGGTGTGGGGGAGCGCGTATACCAGATCCACGGGGTCTTCGATGTCGTCTTTTCCCTCGAGTTGATTGAGTCCGTGAAGTCCAAACCCAGAAGGCATGCTGGTAGTATGTATTTTGTTTGAGAAGCACAGTTACCGTCACGAATCAGGAACCATAACCACACAGCTAGGGAAAAAAAGGTGCACTGTAGGACTGAATGAAGGGGACTGGGTCGGGAGTGTTCGACGGGGTTTTTTGTGTGACGGGTCGCGGATAGCCTACAGAGTTGACTACATGTATATATCTATAAGATCACCAACTGCGCTAAATGTTGACTGCGAACAAGAAAGTCACTTATTTAGAGACCAAATAGAGCTCGAACTTCCTCATTTACGCAATTTCCTTTATTTCAATGTTTGTTGCAGCTTATCCGCATGCTCCTCTAGAGGTTGTAACTCTTGGCATTATTACTAACCTAAAACAGAAGACTGTCCCGAATACTTGGGAATTTTACCCGCCAATAAGGCTGTGCTTGCTGCAGGCCTACACTTTGCTATACTACTGCGTACAACTCAGACGGGACACCGAAACAGTAGCATTTCTCAACTCCTTTCTGTACTTTGCGCTTTCATACCTCATCACTCATCCAAATTCCTCTCGCAATATCACCCAGAATGCGATTGTTGCCGTTTTCGGGAGGCTTCATTTTGGCCTCCATTACCTTACTTGTCTCCCAGGTCGCGGCCACCGCCCTAACATACAAGCTCGCACCTAATGAAAAGCAATGCTTCTACACGTTCGCCGACAAAAAGTATTCAAAAGTTGCCTTTTATTTTGCAGTAAGTTGGCAATCTTTTCATGATCTACTTTCTGTCAGACCCTCTAACTGGATAATTCAGGTCCAATCTGGTGGCTCTTTCGATGTTGATTACAAGGTGACCGGGCCTAACGAGAAGGTTATTCTCGAGGGAGCAAAAGAAAGACAAGGAGACTTTGTTTTCACAGTAAATGAAATTGGAGATTACAGCTTTTGTTTCTCAAATGACATGTCCACTTTTGCTGAGAAGATGGTCGATTTTGAAATTGCTGTATGAGACCCAAGACAGGAATTTTTTCATTAGCTCATCGACTAATAATGAAACTACAGGTGGAGAACGAAGCTCGTGCCGAACTTCCATCGAAACAGGGAACATCACCTGAACATCTTTCTTCCCTGGAAGAATCGCTTTTCAAGCTTTCCGGTCAACTCTCCACCATTTCCCGAAATCAAAAATACTTTCGTACCCGTGAGAATCGTAACTTCAGCACAGTTCGTTCAACAGAGTCTCGAATCTTCAATTTTTCAGTTATCGAATCCCTTATGATGATCACTATGTCGTGCTTGCAAGTTTTTATTGTCAGGTTCTTTTTTCAGGGTGCACGGAAAGGTAAGCAAAACCGATTTCCAGTCCCGTTCCACTTGCTTTCTGCTTGCTGGTCCCTTTCGTCATTCTCATTCCGCTAAAGCATATAGCAGGGTATGTCTGAAAGGAACTTATCTATTCTTAATTATATTATGGATATTCTTGTTTGTACTACAGCAAATACTTTTACAGTCTATAACAGAGTTGTGATACTCAAAATGTCTCGATGATATTTATGCCAGCGATGCGTTTCTTTCATTATGAGTTCTGGGGGCTGTCTATATAATCCCAGCTTTCTGTTGTTTGTGCTGCTACTCACTGCTGGTGATGATGATAATGAGATTATAGTATTCCTACTATCCACTTTTATTTGACCCTCAAATCATTTACTCTAATTGATAATGGTACGAACGGTAATCGTGGCGTTTGCTTATAATGATTAGCAATGCTCGGGTACGACGCCCAGGAGAGTCTTACTTATATTGAATTGCTTATATATGCCCGCAAACTACATCAGAATAGACTTCAATGGTACTTTTTATAAGTCGTTTCAAATAGAACTGTCATGAATCTGCCTCTCCCGTAGAGGACAGCCTAATGGGTGAAATATTCCTCCACATAGTAGCATAGCTAAACCACATCACTATAATATCGCAAGTACTCAAAACGAGGACTTAAAGATCCACAATTAGTTGGTTATCATGTCTGCTTGCGCTGTTCGGTTATAGGCCAAATCCTAGACTTCCATCGATCATATCTATAAATATAGACCCAACGTATTTTAAATACATTTTTTTTTATATATACGAATTAAAATGATTTTTTGAAAACCATATTACATGTAGATACTGCCATCGAGTGATCTTTCATGATTAACCTGTGATTTGTAGCAAATTGTGTGATGTGGCTCAGTGACCCAACAAAAACAGCGCTCGAATAATAAACTGTAAAGCGCCTACATCCTTTTTTTGAAAATAGAACCAAGAATGAAAACATGGAATCGAACAAATCCAGAAATATCCTATTAGAACTACATGCATTACACGCCATCCAAGTTCAGTTGCTCGCTCTTATTCCCAAGCTTTGATATTTGTAAAAAGACATCTGTTCCATAGCCCTCTAGACTGTGAAGTTCTAAACTGCCGGCCCAGTATTCTGCATACACTCTGCTCATAGGCAAGCCCATTCCCAGTCGTAGATGAGGAGGTCTAGATGTTAATGTAGATAAAGAACTGTCTTGACCCTCTCTACGAGAATGTGTATGGGATGTCTTTTGCAACTCTTGGAGAGTAGCCGCCATTTTCGGAACCTGTGAAAAATTCTGAAGTCTGGCCTGGGGTCGTGGGCCTTTGGCAAATGACCAGAGATCGGCCAGCTCATCAGCGGGTACCCCGCCGCCTCTGTCTGAGACACGAAATATTACATGTTGCGGTGCATGGCAGATTAGAATTTTGATAGGCGGGAGTTCGGCCGCAGAGGAATGGCGATCGACGGTGGCCTGAATAGAGTTTCGGAGAAGTTCGCCAATAATGTACTCGATATGGGAAAGGATGTATGGGAACGTGGTATCGAGGTGGCCTTCGATTTGTATTTCTGGGACGCGGGAATCGGGACCGTTGGCCTCACGAGCTAGGTCTTGAGCGTGCTTTCCTACTGTCTCAACAACTTCGCGAGCATTACAGCGGGGAAAAACTTCGCCCACAAAATCTGCACCGGTATGGTGGTGGGGAGAAGAGTCAGGGAAGTGAAAAGGTGAGTTGAAGGTGTCCGTAAGAGCAAGATGTTGCTCTGCGATCACTCGACGAGAGATCCGCTATGCAGAGAATATGATTTTAGCATATAAACAGCCACTATGCTCTCAAGGGCACCATACACTACGCAGGATTCGATTCATGAATTTATCCAGTTCTTCTGGGGGCACCAAGTCTCTGCACTCTAAGACGCCCATAGCCAAACTAGGTATCACTGTCAAGTGTTCCTTGAGGGTTCTCTTGACTACTTGACAGAAGTTATCGTTGTCCTCTACGGTCTTGATCTCGGGAATCTTTCGAAATGCGTCGAACGCGCTGTAATAGAGTTCGTAGACCTCTGACAAATGTCGATTCGTGACCACGACATATGGTAGCTTTTGCATATCTCTTATCCTATGCGCTATACGCACAGGTAACTCTGACCGAACATAGTTGGCGAAATCGATGATACGACGCTCATCAAGATTGCGCCCACCAAAAAATATCAACTGCCGTAGAGAAATTGGACGAGCCGGCTTTTCGACATATGAGTCAAGAACAACTGATGAACGCCATTGGTGCACTGCAGAAGATTGGAAGGATCTACTTCTAACAGCAGAAGGAGGAAAGATATGTCTGGTGAAAGCCACTACTGGAGTTGAAGAGTATGAAAATATTTTATTGGGAGGAAGAGCTAGCGAGAAATTTTGGCATCGCAGTCTCTGCGAGAAAAGGAACATGGAGGCCATGGGAGAGGGAATGCCATTGATTGAATGGGAAGGGGGATGGGGGTGCCGCTATAAGATAGCCAGGAAGAAGCCCTATGAAGAGGGTAGTAGAAGAGGAGAGAGGACTGCTGCGGAACGGGGTGAGGTTGAGTCAATAAATCAGTCAATCAGTTGGTCAGTGAGTGGATGTTGAACGCGGACCGAGTCACAAAGATGGGACCTACAGTCTAAGGAGCAGGTAATAATGTATGTACCTACATGTACTATACATGTTATTCCCCGCACAAGCACCCTGAAGTCGGACTGTTTTCATCGGAGTATGTACATGTAATTAAAAGAACATTACTAGGCCTGAAGTGTGGCGGTGCAAAAGAGAGCCCCGCATTGAGCCACAAGCTCGCTCGCATTGCGCGCAACAACTATGTATTCAATGACATTGTAGAGCTCGAACTGTGTGCATGTAAAGTAAACCCGTACAGACACAAATTGCGTGAATAGACACTCCTAGGAGCTGTCTTGCTCATTAGATAGTTTGATATAAAGATATCATACCTTAGCCGCAGGTTTATTAAACCTCTGCTTTTAGACAAGACCGCATCAACCCCCCAGGCCGCAAAGTTTAATACTACAAATATTGTTCTAGTCCTGTACCTGTACCTAGGTACTACATCTTACTACCTTCTAGCCACTAGGTGTTACGCTTTTCTCTTAGCTTCGTTTTTCAACGTTTCTTGTCTCCAACCTGCCCACTCCCTTTCATTTCTCACAAACCCCCGCCACCAACACCAACGCCATCTATAACTCTCAGAACCAACTCGAACGCTTGTCTTCCATCCAACGACTATAGAAATAGAAACTAGTCCCCAAAGCAGTTTCTTGTGTCTAGTGTTGCTTCGCTCCAGCCAACTGGCACGTCCGGTGGCTTGCTACTATAGCACCATTTGTCACTTTAGCATCACCCCGCCACGGCAGCTGCTCTCTACTCCACTGAAAACTCCCAACTTTCGAGCTCGAGCAGCACGGAATACTTGCGGCCTAAGATTATACTTTGACAGCATATACTTTTCATCGCGTACCCATCCCGGACTTTCCGTCATTCCTCTAGGCTGAAGAGCTTAAAATATACCAACCTAGTTCTGTGATCTTGGATAGTGGAAATTATGGATATGGTATGTTAATCTTAAGGAGCTTTCGGTTGTTCCAGATCATTTTTTCTCAATGATTTTATAACTGACGGGTCATTTACAAAAAGCAGACTGGAGATGACCAGTCTATGCTCATCGACAATGTGGAACAGGACCCCGAGAAGCAGCAAGATGTGACTATCATAAGCCCCCAGCAATCCTTAGATTCAGAATCTATTGAAGAGAAGGATGCGATAATGATGGCCGATAACTGTTAGCTGTTCCCCAATTGGGTCTACTTACGTATCAAAGCTACTAACATGATGCTTGCATTTTAGTTGACGCAATGAGAAAACATCTGCTTCCGGATGATCCAGCGTTCGAAACAGAGGATGAGACTACTTTTACATGGAAAATCGAAAATTGGCGTAAGATGGAGAGAAGGTCACATAGTCCAATTTTCCACTGCGGTGGTGATCCTTGGTAAGAATAATAAATCACCCTTTTGGATTAATAGCTTCTGGGTACTAACAATCGAGTAGGCGTGTTTTGTTTTTCCCGCACGGAAATAATTGCGAATACGCTTCATTCTATCTCGAGCAGGGGTATGCAGAAAAACCTCCAGAGAACTGGTACAAATGCGTGCAGTTTGGATTAGTCCTGTGGAATCCTAATGATCCTTCTGTCAACACAATACATCGTGAGCCCACTTAGTTTTTCTTCTTTTTTTTTTTTTTTTTTTTGAACCTTGGAATTTAACTAATTAAAATGTTTCCTTGGTTCCCTTTCATTAGATGCTCATCATCGCTTTACTGCAGAGGAAGGGGATTGGGGTTTCACTAGGTTCGTTGAACTACGGACGTTGATGGCTAAAACAAAGGATAACCACCGCCCATTGGTCGAGGATGATCGCGCAAATTTGACCGCATATGTTCGAGTTGTTAAAGATCCAACGGGTGTTCTATGGCACAATTTCGTCAAGTAAGTGCCCACACTGAAAAGTCTAGGTGGGAAGATGTTGACTTTTCCAGCTATGATTCAAAGAAAGAAACTGGTTTTGTGGGGCTGAAGAATCAAGGTGCTACTTGTTACTTGAACTCTCTCCTTCAATCCTTGTATTTCACAAACAGTTTTAGAAAGGTATAACATTCCTTTCGCAATTATGAAGCAACGAGCTAACTGGTATGCTTTATAGGCTGTACATCAAATTCCTACTGAAGGCGAACCACTCTCCAACAGCGCACTTACGCTTCAAAGATTGTTTTACCTTCTTCAAACCTCCGATGACGCTGTAGGAACTCGCGAGCTCACACAGTCATTTGGCTGGGAGACTCAGGATATCTTTGCCCAACAAGACGTTCAGGAGTTAAACAGAATATTGATGGAGAGCCTGGAACAAAAAATGAAGGGGACAGAGGCTGAGAACTCTCTTACAAAGTTATTTGTCGGAAAAACAAAAACTTACATCAAGTGTATAGACGTGGATTATTCATCAGAAAGAGTCGAAGATTTCTGGGATATCCAGCTGAACGTTCGAGGATTCAATAACCTAGACGAGTCTTTTAGGGACTATATTGCTGAAGAAACCATGGACGGTGAAAACAAGTACTATGCAGAGGGTTATGGTCTTCAGGAAGCAAAGAAAGGCGTAATTTTTGAAAGCTTCCCGGAAGTACTGCATTTGCACTTGAAGCGGTTTGAGTATGACTTCAATACTATGCAAATGCAGAAGGTATGTAGTTTAACCAACATGTTTGCACCAAAATGCGGCTTAGTTGACAAGTACAGGTCAATGATCACTACGAATTTCCCGAAGAGTTCGATGCTTCACCCTATCTTTCAGAAAACGCTGACCGATCAGAACCTTACGTATATGTTCTCCACGGGTGAGTGATGATATTCCTTGAATCTCCTATGAACTACACTAAAACCCCGAAGTGTTCTGGTTCACAGTGGTGATCTTAATGCGGGTCATTACTATGCCTTTCTAAGACCCGAGGAGGGAGGCCCGTTCTTCAGGTTCGATGATGATCGCGTAACCAAGGCGACTTTGAGGGAGACCATGCAAGATAACTTTGGAGGTCATTACGGCCCAAGTGCCAACGGGCCTGTGCGAAATCAGTATACCAGAGTGGCATCTTTGAAAAAATCGATGAACGCCTACATGTTGGTTTATTTACGAAAGAACAAAATCGGTGAAATCTTGCCCCCACTCACCGAAAAAGACACGCCTGCACATCTTCGTAAGTTCTCACGCAATCTTAGAGTGGTTATAAAATCTGACTATTGATGTAGAAAAAAGAATAGAAGAAGAGAGAGCTATTCGTGAGCAGAAAAGAAAAGAGAAGGAAGAGCAACATCTATACCAAAATGTTAAGGTCATCACCCAAAACCAATTCAAAGCTCACCAAGGATTTGATCTTGCACATTGGGATGAGAAAGAGCAGCCAGACGAGGCCCAGCCTAAAATTTACCGGATACCAAAGGCCTCTCCGGTACAGGAGCTTGTAGAAAAGGTGGCCGGGGACCTTGGTGTTGATTCAAGCAGGGTCAGGCTATGGGTAATGGTTAACAGGCAAAACAAAACCGTTCGCCCCGATCAACCAATTACTACTGTTGATATGAGTATGCGGTTCCTAGCCTTGCCACTGAATTATAATAATAGTTATGGCTAACTTAGAAATCTAGCTATCGAAGAGGTCTCTGTCAAGCACAATAACAAGTCGACCGATTTCCGGCTTTGGGCAGAAGTTGCCAACAATACTGACAACAAACTCCCGGAATCATGGAGCCAAGCCCGTGATTCAAATGGCGCCTGGATCGTTGTCTTCCTGAAGCATTTTGATGCCGAAGAGCAGACACTCCTGGGTGTAGATCATGTATACATGCGTAAGAATGACAAAGTGGCAGAGTTGCCGCCTGTGATCCAAGCATTGATGGGATGGCCATCAAGTCAGCAAATCAAACTTTATGAGGTTTGCGTGAATACGTCACGTTATAATACTGTTCGATACTAACAGTTTGCTTAGGAAATTAAACCTTCAATGATTGAGCCAATGAAACCTAAGCAAACATTTCAGCAGGCCGAGATCCAAGACGGCGACATCATATGTTTTCAGAAAGTATATAACGAGAAGGAGTATGTCAAACTCTTAGGTTTCCATGAGTTGTTTGTATTTCAATATTAACTATTGGTCTAGGCAACTTTCACTCTTGCAGAAAAGCGCTATGTTCGACGCAAAGGACTTCTATGACTACTTGGTAAACAAGATGAAAATTAAATTTATACCTAGGTTTTCAAATCAAGAAGTGAACCGCATCTTCGAGCTCACTTTAAATAAGAAGATGAGTTATGACCAGGTATGACAATCATGCCTCTTACGCCGATCTTATCTCTGGTCACTGATTTATAAACTTCTTTTCATAGCTTGCCGATAAAGTAGGCGATTATTTGGATGCTCCGCCGACCCATCTTCGTTTTACCACCGTAAACGCCAATACCGGAACCGCTCGGACAATCGTCAAAAGGAACCCTAATACCAACCTTCAGCAGATGCTAGTCAATCAGTATTATGCCAACTCAACTTTATCCCCTAACAGCTTGTTTTATGAGGTCTTGGAACTGTCTTTGACAGAACTCGAAACAAAAAAAGTTGTCAAGTTGATGTGGTTACCTGAAGGTATCTCAAAAGAAGAGCAACTTGAGGTGCTAGTCCCCAAAAGTGGACAGGTCCAAGACATTATTCCACTATTACAGCAAAAGTTGGCCCTCGATGAAGAGAAAGTTCAGGGGATACGGTTCTACGAGTCACATCTTGGAAAATTCCAAAAAGAGCTACCACCTCATTTCAATGTAGCTGGAATTCAGGAGTATATGACACTGTTCGCCGAGCGAATACCAGAGGAAGAGAATGAGATGACTGATGATGATCGGTTCATCTACGCATTTCATTTCCATAAAGAGCCAAGCAAATGTCACAACTCGGGGATCCCGTTTAAGTTCGTGATCAAAAACGTATGTACTCGGCCTGGCTAAGCCTCTGATTCAAATAATCGGTATTAACAGGCACAATAGGGCGAAATTTTCGAGAAAACAAAGGAACGTCTACAAGCACGGACAGGGATTAAGGGAAAGCCGTTTGAGAAAATTAGATTTGCAGTGGTCAAGAAAACCCAGTTCTCAAAGCCTATATTCCTCGAAAATGGCAAGTTACATCTGTTATGGACATTCTATCATACTTTCACAGCTAACGTGAGGATATAGATGACATACTTTCAGACATTGCTTCGGATAGCGATGATATGCTCGGCTTGGATCACCCTGACAAGAACAGTCGTGGGAATTGGGGCAGAGCTGGGGGACCGGAAATTCGAATCAAATAGACAAACTCTTCCCCAGCCCCTCTCTTTCCTTTTTCGTGCAAGAATGCCAGCTTTTATGGGTTTATTTCAGTTTCTGTACTCCCTCCTTTGAGCACGAATGTTTCTGTATTCTAACTTACCTTTCTCATTACTTCGGGGACTGGTGATCTTTTCTTATAAAGCTTTATACGCCATTCCAGGACTTTTCTTTTTTCTTTTTCTTTTCTTCAAACGGACGGAAATTTCAAGTTCTCTATTTGGATCGTGAGGGTTCTTGTGGGTAACTATTCATTCTGCCGGCGCAGATCTGTGTTGTCTTTATCAAAATTGTGGGGTAAAACTGAGAAACGGTCCCGGAAATGCGCCTATTGCACCAGGCTTGATAGGTAATCTTTCCCTCTGATACGAGTGATAATTTATGTTCTCGATGTAATTGTTGTTCAAGGTTGTGGTTATATGTAACTCTGCTGCTTGTGCTGTTTATCTTCCCAGGACTTCTCACATAGAACTTGCTGAACGACCAGAACTTACCAAACATAGAAAATGAAAAGTTTGTGTATCAAGTTTTTTATTTCCATTCAGAGCCTCTAAATATTGCGGGTTATCACAAGCGAACATTGAGATGGTAACCATACAAGCCACATAACGTCAAAATTTCAAAGTCGCACTCTCGATCTGACATTCTAGCCGTAGGTACTGTCACTATCGGAGAATCTATATAAGATTCTTTTGCTCTATTCCCTTGTGGTTGTGGAGAAATATGTTTTTGAAGTTGTATTCCTATACAAATTTTGAATGCTCGCTTACTTGTGGAAACCCATAATGCTTCGACTATGGAGGGAACTCTCGGCGACTTTAGCGCTCCACATATTGAGAGATATATTCATAGATCTTATTATACTGGTCTAGTAGCTTCCAGCCGATATTATAGTAACGGAGATATGTATTTCATGAATAATCAAATTAAGTCAGTTAATCAATAGGCCCTGCCAGGCCATCGAGTGATACCTTATGAACGCAATAGGCTATAATCGGGGAACCCCGCTAGTTAGTACGGAGATAATACCGTTTTGAGTGTTTGGCAAGCTCTTATAGGAGAAAGTTTAATCTCTAGATCTTGCTCATAGGCTACCTCGCCTCTTCCATCATCGATGTTAACAGTTTGGTGCTACACACGGCCATCCTTGTGTTCTTGCCTGGAGGATCCGGATATGACCTCTAAAATATCCAAGGCCAGTGGTCTAGAGGGACGAGATTCACATCGAGGTTACCTTGTGTCCTTCTCTCGAAGGGGGTGACAATAACGGATGTTATATAGGGGGGATCGTTAAAATTAGGTACCGTAGGAAAGTGAATGTTACTGAGGGACCGGCATCGGGGGCCAAATTCATTATACTTCAAGATCGAGTGAACACAGGAGTCAATAAGGAAAGGCATTTCTTGAACGGTTTGAAACTTTGCCTCGACCGTCTTTGTTGCACATAATATATCGACACAGTACTAGCACTAGCTAGGGGAAGCTTCAGATCAGCATTCTCAAGATTTATACTAAGGCGTTCAGTAAAAGGTCGTCCTGTATTGATGAGGTAATAATAGTGTGGTCCATGAGCCGGCATATAAGCTCGAGCTGGCTCGCTTTGGTGACAGGCTCGTAAACTGGCTCGAGCCGGTGGTCAATGATACAAAAAAACAGGTTATCCTTACACCAAATGCAGTAAAATGGCGGATATAAGTTTCATTTCATGGAGTAATACCGTGAGAAAGGGTTAATTATTTAAGTGAGCATTCTACTGGGTAGAAATCCCTTTTTACTTCCTTTATGGCTTCTAGAGCCTAGTTCAGAGCGGGTAAACTGAGCTCGAGCCGGGTCGGCCCATGGACCACTAGGTAATAATACATCTAGCTAGGTTTGAAAAGGCCTATACAATGTAAACAAAAAGTCTTAAAGCGAAATCCTTATTCCGAAGAACCACACAACCGTAAAGTTTGGGCAACCTTGGTGGCGAAAGATGGTGAGGCCTCGTTGCGCTGCCACACAGGTACGAAAGCGCTCATAGACTTGGGCATATCATGAATCCATAGACCACAGTAATAGTATTCTCACCTTGATATGCAACTTATCATTACAACTTAGGACTTTTTCGGTTGACCCAAAATCTACATCCCATGGATTGGGCTCAATAAAATAACTACCTAGGAAAGATCCCTTTTCAAAGATCCCGCGGTGCTGATAAATTTATACATAACTATGGGCGTTTTGGGTCTAATGGCAGATGTCAAAGTCACGGTTAGGGTTTGGGAACATAAATTGATTGGAAAAATAGTTATTTTACTTCCCATCTGGCCGAGCCAATAGCACCATATAATGCTCAGAGGGACTAGGTAGGCCAACATGTAAAGTAATTTCGAATTTATGTTCTAGGCTTGACATTTACATGTACAAGTACATATGTAGTTGTGTGATGTCTAGTCTATGTACCACTTTACAAATACAAGCGGATATTGATCTTTGTGGGCACTTTCGCCCGTATTCAAAACCCCCCCCAAAAGATAAAAGTTCTGATTACCTTAGCAAATCAGATAGCTTGTCCAAATAAGCGTCTGGTGCACCCTCCGGCCCTGCGTTGAGAATATCTTCCTCTGTTGCAACCCCAGTCAAGACCGCCAGCGTACCTCCCAAGCCACCAGCAATACCGAACTTTATATCTGTGTCAATTCTATCACCCACCATACATGTCCTCTTGCGATCAAACTGGAATTTTCCTTCAACAGCATCCATCATTGCCTGTGATGGTTTCCCCAGTGAAATAGGGACACGTTTGGACATATAGCTTAGTGGCGCAGAGATACTCCCAGCACCGGGAAATAGCTTACCTTTGTTGGGAAAGGTGCTATCGACATTTGTCGCGAGGAATAGGGTATTGGGGTCCTGGAGGTACTGGAATGCCTTTGCATACTTTCGATAATTTATGTGATTATCAAGGCCACACAAAACTACACCAACCTTCTCCTCCCCTACAATCAGCATCTATAATGATAATCGTTTGAAGGACCTCTCACCTCCGGGTCTGGGACAAAATTAGTGTAATCCTCTTCCTGCATGACCTTCCTTTCTTCCGGATCGGTTCCGCCGAAGTATCTCACACCCTCACTCTCCAGCTCCTCTTCAATCCCACTCTCGCCGATCACATAGACTTTCTTGTCAGCAGGAAGCTTGACGACACGCTTAATATAAACTGCCGACGAGTATGCAGAGCCGAAGATCTCGTCGACTTCGGCAGGGATACCGAGGCTATCGAGCTTTTTTTTGTACGCGCGGCGTGACTTCGTAGAGTTATTTGTCACAAAAACAATTTGTTTACCTGAAATTATGTCAATCGCGGTTCGAGGAGATTGCCGGGGCTGCAGTTGACGCAGAATAATCTCCGTTCACCTTTACTCCTGAGCATATCCAGTGTATCCACAATTTTATGGAGGAGGGTATTTCCATGCCATAGGACACCGTCGCAATCGAAAAGAAAGACCTTCATATATGAATTCGTCAATTATCATAATCTAAAGGGTATAAGACATTACGCCCTGTAACTCACATCAAATTTATCAATGAAGGCAGCGATCTGTGCAGGCTTGCCGGTGAGCTTCGTAGGAGCCATGTGTGAATATGTGTGAGATGGTCACTCTCGTAGAGGAGCAGGGAAAGGGCTCAAGTACCTTCAAGAGCACCCACCACAGTACCGTAATGTCGCGGGGTTTAATTGCCGGCTGACATAAGCTAGATAATTCAAATATATACCCTGTTGGGGTTGTGCCTAATGATACTAGAGTACCTACATGTATGTACCTACTCTACATACATGTACTCTACATGTACTACCAATTTCATGACGTTTCCGAACACGACTGCTATTGCATGCCATACAAAAAAAGCGCTAAATCCACCTTTTTGTATGTCATGCAATATTGGTCGTGTTCAGAAACGCTATGAAGCTACGAGTACTTACCTACATACAAGGCTCTGCATTAAGTGAGTGAACTAAATGGGGTGTTGACTGGTGTGGATCCGTTCGCTCACTTAATCCAGAGCCTTGTACATAACCATGCATGTAGTTAGGCCCATAACGGCGCCACGCCATGATACTCGCGCGTCTTCGCCAAGAATTTTCACCTGACTCGGTGAAGAAAGGGATTTCGGTGTTTCAATTGGTCAAATGCCTTGATCTCTCAGTCACGTTAAAATTCTTGGCGAAGACGCACGAGTAGACACACGGTCAACCTTGCACCGCCAGTCGACGGTTCCGGCTCCTCCAATTTGTATGGTGAGCCACAGGCTGCCACATGTCTTGAAAACACACGACGGGATACTACTACCAGGATGTAGCATCATGATAATTGACTCGCGTAGCCTCAACTCGAGTGCAACAATATGAAGCGGAGGTGTTCCGGCGAACGACTATAAAGAGCCCCAACCTTTCCTCCCAGTCACTATCGCTCTTTACACGATCATATTCCGGTTTGGCCAATTATGGTCTTTCCCAATCGTAATACAAACACTCTAACAGGCCACATCGGTACAGCACCCCAGAAATTTCCCTCTCCATCAATTAAAGCATACATGTATCCCTGAACTAACTCTCGAATTTTATTACACGAATTTTAGGTGCTGTTCATTGCGTCACTTATAGCGCCGGTGCCGGCCAATATGTACGTACGCGTGCATCCCATGATATGAACTCATTATCTAAATATATGTCAGGCTCTCACAGGTGGTGCCGATCGTAAAATATATCTCTGGAACCCTACAACTGCCTCCCGCATCCAGGAATATAAGCTTCATGGTTACGAGGTATTAGATATCACCGTGACCAGCGACAATTCCACATTTGCCTCGGTTGGCGGGGATAAACAGGCATTCCTTTGGGACGTCTCAACTGCCAAAACCCTTCGTCGTTTTGAAGGCCACCTCAGTCGCATAAATAGCGCCGACTTTAATCAGGACGGATCTGTCCTGGCTACTGGATCATATGACACAAACGCGATGTTGTGGGACACAAAAAGTCAGAGTCGGAAACCGATACAGGTCCTTGAAGATGCAAAGGATAGCGTTAGCAGCGTTCACATAGTGGCTCATGAGATTCTTACTGGGAGTGTCGATGGGAGAATAAGAAACTATGACATTCGAATGGGTCGCTGCTTCGTCGACGTGATAGGCTATCCAGTTACCTGCGTTACCCAATCCTCCGATGGAAATGCAGTTCTTGTTTCCGCTCTAGATGGTGGAATCAGGCTAATGGATAAAATCAATGGGCAAATGTTGCAGAGCTATAGAGGCCATCTCAATACAGACTACAGGGTCAGGAGCTGCTTTGGTGATAGAGATAAATACGCTATTACAGGTAGCGAGGACGGCCAGATATGGGTATATGACCTTCTTGAAGGGACTGTGGTAGATAAAATGGAAGGGCATTCGGGCAAGGCAGTGACAAGTGTGACGTATAATCCGGCAGGGAAGAAGCAGATGTTGAGCGGGGGGGCTGATGGTAAGTAGATGTGGTATGATCTGCAACCATATTCGAAGTTTGAACTAACAGTTGCAGGGAATGTTTTTGTTTGGGGCGAGTGATATTATTCAATGACAGTAAATGGGGGAAATATTCAAGACAACGCGTTCCAATTTATTTGTCGATTTATCGGAGTGAGTACTCACGCGTTAATTAAGTTCCGAGAATTTTTGGTAGCAACGACCTCACAAAATTTCTCAGGACTTAATTAACGCGAGAGTATATTTAGCTGATAGTTTGATTGCCGAAATGAACGGCACATGTAGTTCTTAGACATAATCGCCAAAAAAGGCAACTTCCCTAACATTTAATTCCCCATCAAAGAATACATAATACTATTCCAAGAAACAAGTCTACCCATCAAATGGAATCCACCCCGTGGATATTCTGAAGGTGTTCAAATCTGAAACCTTAGAAATAAATTACAGATTCCGCGTAGCAACGGCTCACCACATCAAATTCTGTAAAACAAGTCCAATGCACATACAATTTCCTTATTCAAAAGAGAGGAAGAAATAAAGTCCCAAAATATCATATCTATACGTCAATGGCCAATAGTGAACTGCCAGTTTTTTCGGCAGCTTTAGAGGATGTTGTGGTATTATTTTGGTTGTTTGAAGTATGGTGGTCGCAAGGAGACTAAAGACGAGTAATGTTTGTAGACCCCTGGGGGGGGGGGGGGGGGGGGGGGGGAAGGGCGGGGTCTACAGATTGCATTTGAACGCCTGCAGACCCTCAAGAATATCCACGGGATGGATTCCAATATGTGGATTTTGCCAAGACTCTATACAAAATCCAACTAAATACAGTACTGTAAAATACCCAACTACCATGAATTCTATAATGATTTCTTCTAATCCAAGGCTGCCAGATGATTTCCCTGGCCGTTAAGTTGTATTAAACTGGTTTATATAAGTTATAAGCTATATCTTAAAATGGCGGATTCCAGGGCCATTTGAAAAGGGCTAGTTTGGTTTCTATACCAACATACATGTATTCTGCCGGATAGGCGAAGCTCCCGAGTTCCTGAGCGGGTTTTCCGGTCGGTATGTTGATCTCAGGAACACCATAGAAGTTTGAACGGATTGGCCTGTTTAATAGGAAGCGCATAAAGTTGCATGCCCGCTCAGAAAGCTCCCGTAGATAAAATGGGCGGCATGTCAGGACCTAAAAACTGGCCCTTGAAATATTTCCAGCAGTGAATACCTGTTAGACTCGACTTCCACAACACAATACCCGTACTCAATTGCCCTTGCATCCTCTAAAGCAAAATATGTCATTTTTCTACTCGTTATTTTTCGAATAGGCTTGGATCTCTCAACCGTGTCCTGCTCAAAAAGCGACAGATGTGTGTATAAGGTTGAATAAAAAGGCATATAGGCCGGGTAACACCATGTTGCAAAAAAGTTAAGGCCAGCTCGTCGAATGCACTCTCACATCTCCTGAAATACATCACCGATCACCCACGCGACCCCTTATTCGGATTCCTCACCAACAAATTCCTCACAGCTTGAAGCTGTAATCACCTTAAAATGCGCCCATCATTAATGTCGCTGCTACTTGCAGCTTCACAGGTAGTACCGAGCTTTGGTCTATACTTTTACATTGACGGGGTAACACCAAAGTGTTTCTTTGAGGAGCTGCCGAAGGATACGCTGGTTGTTGGTAGGGGTTTCAGTGTTTAAAGTCTTTGTTTTTTGGCCGATTGTAGCTCATCACCGAATGATAACTAACGAACCATAACCATAACCATAGGCCAATTTAGGGCGGAAGAATACAACTCTAATACCCACTCCTTTAATGACAATCCCCAGCTCGCCATTCAGATCACTGTCGATGTACTCCACCTCGCGCATATTATGGCCCACATTTCTTGAAAACGAACTAACACAACATAGGAAATATTTGATAATGATCACCGTGTGGTAAACCAAAAAGGCTCATCTTCAGGACGTTTCACCTTCACCGCCGGCGACAGCGGTGAACACCGTCTCTGCTTTTGGGCATCTCACGCGGGATCTTCAGGCTCCTGGTTTAGTAATAATCCTGAAGGTGTCAAGCTCCATCTTGACCTTGCAATTGGAGAAACCAGTGAGATCGAGAGTAAGGATAAACATAAGCTCGCAGATATTGTGCAGAGAGTCAAGGACCTCAATGCAAGGTTGCAGGATATAAGAAGAGAGCAGGTATTTCAAAGGGTAAGTCGAGCGTCACTCCAAGTTATCTTGAGTACACATCTGCGTTCGTAGCTGGAGAACCACCAGGCTAATAGGAGTTTCGGGAGTAGGAGCGTGAAGCCGAATTCAGAGATCAGTCAGAGTCTACAAATGCTCGTGTTGTCCGATGGACTTTGATCCAACTTTTGATTTTAGGTGCTACTTGTGCATGGCAGTTATCGCATTTGCGAGCTTTCTTCATCAAACAGAAACTCACCTAACAAAGCAAACCTCTTTCCTTTGAGTGCGCAATTACAATTTATACCTTATAAATCCCTTTATGTGCATGCAAGAATATCAGCGATGCCTTTTAATCACTCGTAATGCTACACGTGCTATAACTGATTCTTCGGGTCCTTGTGCTTTGGCAATTGTTGGTTCTACTAGGATAGACATTACGAGGGAACTGTGAGGTGTTCGGCTTTGCAAACTGTGATAAAACGCACGGAATGTGGGTAACTGACTGCAAGTCCAAATGGAAAAGTTTGGATTTGGGACACTTTTCACTCTGGAATAAAACCACTAAGAAAGACTGAAGAATAGAAACTACAAAGAAGTAGGGTGGTCAAACAAGGGGGGGGGGAATGAATAAGCCAGAAAAACACAAAAGAAAACGTTACCCCAACTATGGAGCCGCGCCATACAATTGTAAGGGAAATCTTGGGTATGTGGATTGGTTAACAGAAAACGACCTTATATGAAGTCATTTGTAATAGAAAAAACGGTTGTCACCCCCTACCCCTTCAAATTATCGGATCCATGAACCGTGTACACTCTTTCGCCACGCAAAGCCCATCTCCCTCTCCCGCTAGCAAATGAGGTAGCGCTTAACGTCTACCATGGCTTCGAACAACATTCCCTTGCATGTTCTCTAGCTCCATCTCCAATTGTTTGATCCTGCATTCAAGAGTCAGTATTGATCCGGGTGATGCCTGGGTCTTGGGTAACCTACGCAGCGTGGGTGCTCTCCAAATCTTTGTTCAAACGGTCGCGCTCCGAAATCAGTTTCTGCTCCCATTGCCTGAATCTAGCCTCTTCTTTCTTGACTTGCTCGGTAAACCTCTTCCTCAGATTCTCTTCCTCTTCCTTGAACTTAGGATTATCCAGCTTCCTTGGACGGGCCTCTCCCATCTTGCGGGTCTCCATCTGTTGCGCGCGATATGCTTCGTAATGCTGTTCCTCAGTGGTGTGAATCAAATCGAGCATGTGTGTGCGAATGAGAATGCTACGGAGTTTCTTAAAATCGCAGTGTTCTTCGTTTTCAACCTCAGCAACGCCCCATGAATATTGGCGTCCTTTGACAACGCGACCATCGGCAGTCTTGACATCTTTCTCACTGCCAATGACGGCGAACGGCATAGCAGCCTAAAATCACAAAGTCAGCCCTAATTCTGTATCCCACATAAAGTTTTATTCACCATCAAGCTTCGAGCGTGCTGGGCAGCGGCTTCGTCATCTTCCTCGATGGGGGGTTGATAAATCTTGATACCCTGTGCTTCGATGACAGCGCGGATCTAAATTGGACGGTCAGCGTCCGAGAAATAAAGATGAATTTAAGCAACTACCCTCTGTTTGAATAGAGTTAGATCCGCTGGTGAAAGAGTATCGGCCTTGGCAACAACGGGAATCAGATTGACACGAGACGACAGGCGCTTCATGACTTCGATATCGAGAGGTTTCAGGGTGTGGCCAGTGGGTCTGATGAAATACAAACATGCATGCACACGGAGATCGATCTTGTCCGTACGGCGAGGTTGCTGCTCTTGAAGCATGTATGATTCATGTTGATCGTCAAGAAATTCGATAATAGGCATCCACGAGTCTCTGTTGTTCACATAGTCTCCAAACCCGGGGGTGTCAATAACGGTAAGGCGAACTAGAGAAATGTCAATTTCAATAACCTATTAAAGATGCCTTTCTATTCAAGAGGTACCTTTGAAGAACTTCTCCTCAAGCTCTGCTTTGGTGATTGCAATTTCGACCTAGTGAAAGAAAGTTAATAACTAGCAAGTCAGGTGATTTCTCATCATTGCACATACTGTCTTGTCCATCTGCTTCTTGTGACGGAGACGATGCTCTGAATAATTTTTAATTGTTGTACTAAACAGTGTGTTTACGAAAGTAGTCTTTCCTAGACCACTCTCCCCAACCACCATAATAGTGAAAGCAGCGCCTCTATTAATAATTTGAGATAAGTTAGCTTGCGTATAAATTATAAACCAAACCAGCCTAGTGAATATAAATATTCAATACTAGCTCACGAAGCTTCATTACCTCTTCGCTACAATCTTGTGCCTTTGGTTTGGCAGGTTGGCGATACCAATCGCGTTATCGACGTGTCCTGAAGGCATCGTAACTGTTTTGGTGTGATGTTGTATCTACTTGAGATATGGCTAAGCTAGACACGATGGGGTTTTGTTCAAAGGACCAGAAGTAATAGTGAGATGCGGGTGGGTGGGTAGAGAGATATGTAGACGACAAGAGGGAGCTTGGGGGGGATGGAGTATGCTGGGATTGACGCAGTAGGCGGAGGAGAGTAAGAAGAGGAGAGGAAAAGGAAAAGGAGAGAGCAGCAATAGCCCATGCAGCCCGGCCCCTGAATTGAGTTGCGCCAAGCACCTAGCACAGGCATATGTCGCTCGCTTCCACTGCAACAAGATGAGTGTTGCAATTTTAGGAAAGACTGCATATTGACAATGCTATTGTATTCTAGACATTCGCCGATTCTGTAGATTTCGACCCCGCACCCCACAAGCTTCACATGTAGGTAAGAACCTGAAAATGACTTTTGGTAACGACCTCTGATTCGCGGCTGGCGAAAAGCCACACCAAATTGAGCCCTTGCTTGCAGCTTGCATTTTCAGGTTCTTATCGCTTGCCCCAGTACATGTATCCCTTCGTCTGTCGACAAAATGCTGCCCCCCAAGAAAAAGCAAATCTGGTGTGGCTTTACTAACAGATCTCGTTATCTCCCTTATCAAATAACAGATCTCCCATACAAAATTCGATTTCTCTATTTAGGGGGGCAGCAATCGACAGACGAAGGGATACGTACTCTAAGTATCAGTGCTGGCAGTAGAGCTTCTTGCGTACCCAACCATGCATGTTTAGGTTTAGAGAATATGCAGGCCATTCTCCTACTCCGTTCTCTAGAAGTGTGGACTCTATACATGTAGTAGCGTTATCATAGATTAAGAGTAGCACATCTGTTATCTCAGGAATTTTAGCCCGCCCCTCCCATCCCTATCGATATCGTCATCTAATGAAGAGATTCGGGCCATTTTCTAAACACCGCACACGTATGTATCATATATACATTAAAGATAACTTGACTTTCCGCCAGGAAATAAAAATTGAAGATTGACATTTCGCGATATTTAGTGGAATCGCACGAGAATGAAATAGGGTTAGGGTTACTCACCCCAACTCAAAGCAAAAAACTCCGCCGCCGTGGAGGGAACTATTTACAGTTTAAGTCAACCTCTTCACAATCATTATTTAGTTTCTAGAGGACATTATGATACCGCCACCTAATAGGCTGTGATTTGCGGAAACAGACGAAGAACTACATGTATATATGTATCCATGTACTGATCTGAGAACAGAAAGATGACTAAGACATAGGTATATAGTGGTTTCTAGAGTTTTATGCTGTCCTGAAGTTTTTAAATTCGGAGAGGCTAAATCATGTAGTTTAGTTCTTCATCTTATACCGAGAGCCTTTTTTTGCAAAGAGAGCTACATACTTTATGATATCAGTTATCGTGTAAACTACATGTAATTTCAAATGGAAGTTGTGACAAAAGAAACTCTAAGAAAGAGGCGATTTATCATGATATTTCTTTATCATATCTTTAGAACTAGCGGCAGGCCTTAAGCAGCTATTCAATTCTTCTGTTCTTGGTAGACTTACAATGTTACATATTCATATCAGGCCTAACGGCATAATGAATACATGTATGTACGTACATACATGTATACATAGTCACTGATAGCGTATCTAGGCACGGGGCAATTCGTTTCTCAAATACATAGATTTAATTTGGTGTGCTTTTGAAAGTGTCAGCATCGATAACTTAAGAGGATTCACTGACTGACGGGGTGACAGGGTATTTAGCTAAAATCGATCTATACTTATTTGCGCTGTTAAAAGATACCTTGAGCGATTACCCTTTATACCAGGAAGACCTAGGGTAGATAGTACATTATTAAGACATCTTGTATGTTCATGGGGTATCACTCGGTTATGGGGAGCTCCGTTTGTGTTTGAAAAAGGTGGGGATTAGAATCAATAGGGGAATGTCCCAAAAGTCGCCTATAGACACCTTAGTTTTGGAATAACTATCTACATAAACGCCAAGTACACCGTGCTCAAGGTTGTCAATCCCAGTACGACGTATCCAGTCCTATAAACCCCTTTGATATCCAATGCTTTACCGGTGTCCCAAAGTAAATGCCTTATTCCGTTCCATGAGTGGAATGTAAATGGTAGCGCCACAGCCGCCTTAATTCCGACTTTTGCTGCTACAGGCAGAGAACCAAACGCAGCAGCAATTGTAGCTGACTCAAGGTGTAGACCGAAGGTAGGAGCAGCAAGGTAGGCAAGGGCAAAAACGTATATACCGCCAGAGAGAGCCACACCGGTGATACGGTTAAGGATAGACAGGTACCAGGTCAACTGAGGCTGATAAATGCTGAGATGAGGAGAGATGGGGCGCAGCTTGCGCTGGGCAGCAAGAATCGAGTGCGCCTGGTCTTGGGTAACATTTTCTGATGTAGTGCCCGCAGATCTGAGAACAGAGATTTACTGTCAGAAAAAAAACATTATATTGCTAAACCAGAGTACTCTACCTAGTTTGGGCGGGAAAGCTTGAAGACGTCGCCCTTACGGAGGTTGATTTGAGAAGCGGACTAACTTGTCTGGAAGACACTATTGCATGGAGCGTGAATTGTTAGCTCTAGTGCTGACGAATGGTATTTTCAGATTGATGGTACCTACGCCTTGAAGCTGTTCTGAATGTAGTGTTTGAAAACATAGTGATGAATGCAGGTGGGTACGATTAAAGATGAGCGAGTGAAGACGGTTGTGACTTTGTTCCGATGTCTTAAGTTTTGCTTTCTTGTCTGATAGCCGAGGTCATGGATGTTGCCGGGGCGTGGTTTCACCACTTACATAATGCCCGTCCTTGGAAGCGTATATGGCTTGGATTCTTGGCAGGCTTACATATAAATTCAATTTTTTCTTGACCTTACTTCACTTCCTCTTTTTTCTTCTCTACAGAACTTTGGCTTAACACTATCCAGTCTTCACTTCTCGACGGACTGGTTGGTGTCGACCTCGTCATCTGCTCTGCGTTCTGCTGGGTATCGACATCGGGTTGTACGTTCTGAGAAAAATTATCAAAAGCCCATATAATCGCGCAGATACCGTACTACATGGTATACTGCGTTTCATGAATAGGGTTACAATACTTCGCTGTATCCTCCGCGAATACTCAGCCATTGACGGCAGACTCTACTAATATGGCAGCGGTGATAACTAAACCAATCAGGTTCCCCAGAGGTTATCTGCGCCAAACCCTTCACACCCGCAAGATTTTACTACAGAGAGGAATTCGAAACTGAAATAATCATCTTATAGGGGGGTTGTTAGCGCCATATATTTCCACCCCCCACCCCCACCCCCCACCCCCCACCCCCACAAATTCATGTACAGTGATGGGGAGAATTATTGCGAAAGTGGGTTTTCCGTGACCCGATAGTCCTATTGGCCCTTAAAGAAATTTTTGCAGTGAGCACGGATAAAGAGGCCCACTCTTTTAGTTCTGACTTCTGCAATAATTCTCCCCATCACTGTAAGCACATACATGTATTATCTAGCGCCGGTTGATGTTAACATACATGTACCTTTCTGGCCATTGAGCCAGACGAAAACGATTTATTGGGCATATAGACCAGCTTGCCTATCAGCGAGCGTTGCCCGCTATTTTGCCCGCTACCCCAGGATGCAACGGTTGCCACCCACCAAAGTTTGGTGGACGCTCGCTGATGGGCAAGCTGGTCTATAACCTGTTTTTAGTACCAATAAATCAGTTTTCTGGACGTATATAGATATCCGACTAAGCTCTGGTTTTAGGTGTAGTTTTACAGTGGCCATTAGCCATAAATGGTAAGCCTAACAACTCCTTCAAAAAACTAAAATGAATAGACAATCTGTAGTACTTGTGGCCGCCTACTGGTTGTCCGTCTCCGAATTTCTAGTTTCTTATTTTTGATGGGCCAGATATATTTGGTATGGGAGTCGAATTCGGTGAGGGTAATAGGGTAGGTTTAGAACGACCGGTGCTATAGTCTCGTGCCCATACTGGGCAACTGACTTACGAGGAACGAATGTCATAAATGGCGATTGAGCCCATGCAACACATATGTGCGGTTTCCGGTAGAATTATTATGTACGAAAGTCAGAGCTAAGAGGGTGGTCTGTGCTCGTAGCGGAGGATCTTCTAAGGGCCAATAGGACTATCGGGTCACGGGGAACCCACTTTTGCAATAATGTTACCGGATACTGTATGTAAAGTAGTTATCCCTTTTTGTGCAATGAAGTGAATTCATTAAACCGTTGGATCATAACTGTAACTCACACTCTCCGAGTATACTTGTAGTTAGATTTAAATTAAGGTATGAAAGGGTAAAATGATAGCTTTGATGATGTTCAGCAACCATTTGGGAGGGAGTGCTTTCTCACTCTACCCAAGTCCAGATTGTTTAAAATCATACGTAGAATATATAGATAATATAGTCACTCTTATAAATGGGGAAAGGAAAATATAATAAAGGGTTATGACCTGGGGCGTGACTGGATGGAGAGAAAGAAATTAGGACAAAGAAGTTCGTATTGCACCTAATGTTTTTTCTCTCTTCTTTTTTTACATTAATCTGTGATTGGCTTCCTCATAATTCGTTGGCCCCGTGAAATCGTTACGGAGGTTAATCAGACATACAAGAGGTGGCGAGTATTTTTAAGAATTCCATTCCTATGCTGTGCCTAGTCACTCTAACACATTGGCTCCATTCGCAAGTCCTGGTGATGGAGCATTGGATGTTTCCGACATGCCATTGGAAGCGTCTTTAACAGCAACATCGCCATCGTCATCTTCCTCGTCAAGTTCCTCGGGATGCCTTGTTATAATATTAGATTTACCGAGAATTATTAAAAGATTTCAGAACTTACCCTAAAAGATTCGCCACCTCTTTCATTTCGTAGTGCCTCTTTCTCATTTCGGCAAACTTCCTGTGTTTTTCCTCTTCCTCTGGCGTTTCTGGGTCATCGCCAGGTTCGCCATGATGTTCGCTCGCGGAGTCATCCTGAACAACGACTTGCTTTGGCGAATGGCTTTCCCTAAACTTCATTGGTACCGCCTCTTCAGGCTCACCAAGCTCTAATCCAGGGATATCCTCTTCACGCATGGCATAATCCTTTCTAACACCTTTTGCCCCATCTGCGCTTGATTCACCAGCTCCTACCCTCACGGCGTCCAACTCATCTACAACCAAGTCCTCTGCATCGAGTGTTCTGAATTCAACTTCATCCTCTAAGGGATCATAGCGTTTTGCGTATGGCGTCTTAGGCTCAGTGATTTTCATAGTGCTAGACTTTTGCTGTTCAGTCAAATACAGGTTGGCCTCGTCCCATTTGAGACGCGGAGAAGATTCCTGATCTTCAATATCTCCATCCTTGCTATTTGTGTAGGATTGACGGCGAGAGCCGGCACGGACAGGAGTTTGGCCAGCGGATGAACGACGCCTTCCAGCATTTTGAAGTGTGTTTTGGAGGGTGACATCTTTCTCCGAGTGCGAAAGCTCCATAGGAGAGGATTCTAGAACACTTTCGGATGAAATATCTTCGGAATCAAGAAAGACATTATTAACAGGCTTTTCAGTCGGGGAGCGGTGGTATGAATTTGAGTTCTTGAGAATTCCTGAAGGTAAGTGTTAGTAGCTTGAGATTGTACGAGGATTTTTGAAATTGACAAAACTTGCCTCTAGGACGTTTACTGCCAGGTCCATCGAGATTAGGGGGTGAATGCGACATATTTGATGATGCTGCCTGGTGGGGTGTTCAGAAATGCAGTTATGGCGGAGGGGAAGCAGGGAGGTTTGTTTTTAAACTGGTTGAGGATTTGGGAGTAGCGACTCAAGTGCAGTGAGCAAGTTGTACCAGATATTCGGCAAGAGGGGCGGAAGTTAGCTGGATAGAAGGATGGTCAGGTAGTTATTTGAGGTTGGGAGTAAAGTAAGTATAAAATGGATATGTCAATTGAGACAAGAATAGGAAGAGCGGGGCAGATTGAGAGGGGGAGGGCAGGGAAAAACAGTATTTCATGAGATTCCTTCTCTTTCTTTTTCTACCAAGTTCCCGAGCAAGGGTTTATAAACTTTGGTTACAATATTCTACTCTACTCAAGCTGCCTGGTGCTGTGCTGCGGGGTGCTTTACACAACTCCCTCTTATTTTTCAGCGTCATTGCACAGGACCATTTATCGGCCTTATTGGGTGATTAATCAGGCCTGTTCAGGCTTCCGGAAGAGGTAAAGAGAGGTCACAAAAGTTTACACCAGGACACTCGCCTAACAACCAAGCCGACAGTTGTGCTTTAAAGCAGCGGCTCTGCAGGGCGGCGACAGGGTAACTCCCTTGGCGACGCTTGCCGACATCAGCGCGTTATCTAACGCGCCGTGGATGTACCTATGTACTAGCGGGTAGGGTAAGTCTGTTGACAGTGAGAACTGTTGCAACCACGGCCACTGTCAACAGACTTACAGTATCTGGTAAAATTATTGCGAAAGTGGGTTCTCCGTGACCCGATAGTCCTATTGGCCCTTAAAAGGTTTTTGCTGCGAGCACAGACCAACAAATCCACTCTTTTAGCTCTGACTTTTGCAATAATTCTACCCGGTACTGTACCCCTACCCGCTAGTACATACTCGCGCGGCCGAGTTTCGACTTACTCACGTGACGCTATTTAACAGGTTTTTTGCGTTACCCATAGGTCATGTGATTAAGTTGAAACTCGGCCGCGCGAGTAGGTAATTCTTCTCAGCGGATGGTTACACAGACGTCTAACTTGCCTTTTACAACGTGTATGAGGGAAGATTAGGGGGGGCGTTTTCAAGACAAATGATTAGAACAAGTAATTTCAACGTCAATGTGAGTATCCGCTGAGACGAATTACTGCGGTACTGTCGTTCACGGGCACTGGGTGTTGACTTGTCCGTCAACACCCAGTGTCCGCCAATACCCCGTGAACGACAGTACGAGTCTAGATACCGCCAGGTACAGAGTGGCGCAATAACTCGTCTGGGTAGGTATGTACTACTACAGTTTCCGGTATATTACGAAAGTCAGAGCTAAAAGAGATCTTCTAAGGGCCAATAGGACTATCGGGTCATGGAAAACCCACTTTCGCACCAGACTCTGTACTACGCATGTCCCGTAGTAGGTACGGTGTCGGACAGCCAAAACCAGCCGGCCAGAGCAACCACCGACTCCCCTTCACCCCATCGACTTTCAACAACGCAACACTTGTCCAAAAATAATGTTCTTTTGTAAAATGGGTCTAATCATGGTTGTAAACATCCCCATAAAAGGGGATTTAAAATAATTAAGAACTGGCTGCACTATGACCTCTCAAACATTTGGTGCAATCTGCCTGAAAAAAACATAGGTGTGAAATAATAACTTTAATAGCTTTATGCCAAGGCGGCCACATTAATTGGGATAATTCTTACCCTATTCGGATGATTCGATGATTGTTATTACCCGATTAGGACTAGTTTTTGGCTTGAAAAGAACATGAGGGTTGATTTTGACTGTCCGGCGCTGTACATACAGTCTTAGGGTTTGTTAGTAATGGGTCACATGATCTATATTAAAATCGGCATCACTAGTAGAAGTACAATATAAATACATGTAGTTAATTGACTCCCCCCTGGGCTCCTTCCTGCAGAGAAATAAAAAAATAAAAACCAGCTCTTCAAGTACCGAAAAAATTGGCTATCGCCGGCCAGGGATTATCTCCTTACCAATTAGTTGAAGAGTGTAGATTAGGTCCGCTAATAGTAATTTTGATCTCATATGCACAGCCAATTTTTCTGGAAAATCCCTCTCATACATATATATCATGTGATCTCCATATTTTAGTGAGAAAAGGTCTAGGTGAATACATGTAGCTTACTACCTTAAGTTCAGTCAATCACTTCCTGTATAGAGCATGCTAATGCATGAGAGAGATATTCCAATGTCTCATTCGTCCAAGGGATAGCGGTATTAATTATTTGTCCTGAGCTTAAATACCACGGAGTAAAAAAGAACAAAAGGCACTGTAACGGCAATGTCCGTTACTACTCCCCTTAAAACCCAGGACTTTCCGTCGTTATGAGCGTAAATACTCGGTGTTAGCCCGGCGAGGGGTCTAAACCGTTAGGCCACTCGCCCCCTTGTTTACTGTACATTCCTCAAAACGACGATAACGTTAACTAATTGGGGTAACTGAAAGCTGGTCGTACATCTTCCGTCTTTTAAGAACCGAGCAACATAACATCATCAAGCCCTGCCATTGCATACATCAAATCATGCATCACCAGAAATCACAACAGTTTATACCTAGTTAAATACATGTACTTTCGATTGCCAGATCCGCTTGACAGTAGAAACCCCAGATGATAGGGTATTAATTAGTATAACGTGACGGAGTCCAAAATATAATATAAAAAAATGATAACTCTACCACTCCAAATACTCAAACGCTAAAAAAGAAGATAAACCCCCACAATAAAATATACAAATACCCAAGAATTTTAATATCCGCCCCATAAACGTCACTCATGTCATTTAAAAAAGAAGTAAGTGCAAGAATAGAAATAGAAACTCCAACAAAAAAAAATGGGGGGGAGGGCGGAAATACTTCTGCACCTCTATTTGATGAAGTGAGGGCATAAGTAGAGATCAGAGGAAACAATTATACTACCGTCCACTCAGCGTAGACACACCACCTAGCGCTTCTATCTGCTAAAACCAAGGCTCTCCAAGCGCCTCGCTCGCCGCATTTAATTATTGTCTCCCAAATCATTCCATTTTCGGCTCCATTGGTATCGGCCTTTTTCATTAATCTCAAAATTTTTCCAGCGGGTGTTTGTATAGCTAATTTGGCAGGTTTCGGCCCGTTATTCAAGCTATCGCTAGTCAATCCTTCACTAGGATGTTGTCGCACTGCGAAGACAAATGTATTATTGACCGCCAATCTAGCACATTGTGGTTGAGATACGTAGAGATCGTGGCGTTGCGCATGAGGTGTCGGGTGCCGAACCAAAAAGTCATAAGGAGGGTTTTCACCCGTATGAATAATTGGCAAGGCAAATGCTAGGGGATGTGGGTTATCACGCATCGAATGCTATTGTTTTTTGAAAAAAAGTCAGATCAATCTTTTGATGGATATCGGGAGTAAAATACTTACGATCAAGCCCCTGTGTCCGGCGTAGATTTTCAAGACACCGTGCCCTTCATCACCAGGCAGTACTGCTTTAACCCTGTATGTTTTAACCCCATTCTCCCAAACAACTTGGCAAAGTGCCCTCTTTTTGGTGACGTTTCCGCTCTCGAATAAATCACCACTCTGGTCAACTGCGAACCCTCGTACTTCCACTTCGGCAATGCACTCCACATCTATGGGAACAGTGAACTCGATTTGGGCGACTTCCAAATTTTCAATTCGGGTAAGGCTTGTGTCGAAGTTGTTCATTTGTAAATTGTGCTTGAAAAATGGCGGACAGGCGGATGGTAGGGCAAGAAGTATTGCCATCGGCAATGGAGGAACCATATGTTGTTGTTCTGCTCTTTGCGGCACATGTGTCCAGCAAAGATGGCTTGGTTTGGTCAAGAAGTAGAAGAGTTCTGCCTGTGAAGTAGATGCTGATGAATACATAACCCTTCTGGGATTCGTTGGCGAAGCAAGCGAGCAGTCCATGAATCTCCATTCGCCATCCACAATCACTCCATTCCACCAATGGTTTGGGCGTGGGCACATTTCGACGTCTAAAGCTTCACCAGGAACTTTCAGGTAGCCTGCCACAATCTCACAGTGAATCCCTACTGCCATACACATTCCCATAACTACCTCTGCAACCTCAGCTGGGCCCCCTCTTCTCTGCTGGATAACGCTTCTAGGATCCGCTCCCGCTTGACCGGGATTTCCTAAAGGCCCGCTTGGATGTTCCCAAGCAATCTTCTCAGAAACCCAGGTGAAAATAGCACGTAAACGCTGCAGGTCGCTGCGGTATGGGCGGCAAACATGATGCGCCGCAAGGCTCTCAGGCGTTGTGAGCGGAGGTAGGTTTCCAATGAATCTCGTCCCCTTATCAACCAATGCCAGATTTGCTGTGTCAAAATCTGCTGGATTTTCCACTGGGCGTCCATCTGCACCTTCATCTCCATCCACATCGTCATCCAAGGCATCAACGGGACGAAGGACAATCTGATCCATCAATTGTTGTTTCTCTTGTCTCTCTATTCGTTCGTTTCGTGATAGAGTATTTGATCGATTGACATCCCTTCGAACTTGAACCCAATCTTGGCTTTGCAATTGCATTGGTGTTCGCCCTCCAGATATCGGGTTGATTCCGTCTGGTATAGTTTTTTGTGTCGTAATTGGAACAGGGGAACTGGTGCCTGATGCTAAGCTTCTTGCGGAAGCAGTGCTGGTCTTCGCGCTGTTTAAAATCTTCTTGAGAAACCCCGTTTTTTTGGGCTTGGGGCCCGGTTTTGGCGACGCCAGCCCCCCGAGCGCACCGCCTGAAGTTTCCGAAGCCCAAGTTTGTCCTCTTCTCAACATGCCTGGCCCGACACCACCAGAACTCGATCCAGAACCGCTTCCAGAACCAAAAATGGGAGTTTCAGATCTCCCATATCCTGCAAGCACTTGCTTTTGTGCACTCATACCACTCACACCAATTACACTTCTAGCCTTTTCCTTTCTACGTGCCAGGCTTCCAGCGCTAGTTGCTGAAAAACCCCCGGCACTCATGCTACTCATGATGCTTGCACTAGTCAAAGCTGTTGAGCCAGTGGCATTTGTGCTACTGGATTGATTGGATGTCGCACTGGATTTGATTGTTGTTGTTCTAGAGAGTGGTCGTGGGCGAATAAGCTTATTTGGCCCAGGGCTCCGGCGACCCATATCATACATTGATTTTCGGTTATTTATTGATATCGGGTCTCCTGTTTGAGGACGGTAGCTGTCATAAGCTGTATTTTTCGGTGGCGGTGGCGGGGGAAGGTCATCATCGTCATTTCGGTATCGGTCTGATAGGTGGCTAGACTGCTGGAACCTCCCATTTCGGTCATCGACCCTCTCACTATGATTATTAAAATTCGTTGAACGTTGATTATCGAAATACATAGTCATGATATTTTCGTCCTCATCGGGATATCCTTCGCTCCGGTCACCTATGCCTAAAGAGGTTTCTGGGCGTACATAGCTCTTCCTTGCTGAAGGTGATGAGTGGTATTGTTGAACGAACGCTTCTGGCGACCAAGGGTCAACAGGGGTTTTGGTACGGTTGTCATCACGCGCTGTCATGTGCTGCAGGCTTTCCATTACATCTTCCATGGCATTCCTTAACGGGCTTGGTGTGTTTCCTAGTATCGCGGGAGAGTGCGCGCCATTTGGCGCCGGTGTACGTCGTCCATCTAGTGGTAGACTAGGCGAACTGGCACGTTGATACCTGTGCGGTGGAGGTACTGGCGGGGCGCTGATTATGTCCTGGTCATCATGATCTAAATAAGGGTTCGGAGATGCTGAACAGTGATACTGCATCATGGATGCTGCGGGCGAAGGCGCCCTGGCGCTGTAATGCGCCGGGGGTGCTGGAGAGACTGCTCTTGTGTTATATTCTCTTCTCGATACCGACGGCGCTGGCGATGCTCCCCTTGTGTAGGGATTTGGAGAGACTCCTCGAGGGTATAGATTTGGAGAATTAGATCTTGAATTATATCCTTGTTGATATGGTATAGGAGAACGTGATCGTCGGTCGTCGTGTTGGTAAGGCATGGGGGAGTGTGCTCGCTGTTCGTTAAGGTAATAATGTGTAGGCGGTTGCGGTGAAGGTACTCTTGAGTAATGGGTAGGGGCGGGAGAAGCTATTCTCGAATAGTGAGTAGGAGCAGGAGAAGCTGCTCTTGAGTAATGAGTAGGGGCCGGAGAAGCTGCTCTTGAATAGTGAGTAGGGGCTGGTGATATCGCTCTTGTAATACTTCCACCACCTCCAAACCTTGGACTTGAAGCTCCATTCCTTGAGACTGGTCTCGAAGGAGAAATCGTACCCTCGATGACCTGAACATAATTTGAAGGAAATAGCCCCATCTGCTGCCGGTTGCGCTTGAGACGTCCCATCCACCATGACCCATCCCCAGCATTGAGACATTCGATAAGGTCGTCCTCAACGAAGCCAAGATCGCGTTTGGTCTAGAGGAATACAGAAATATCAAAGAGCTTTGTTAGTGTGGAGGTTCATGAAAGCCTCAAGAGGGATCAGCGGTGTCATACCTCTCCACTCCATGAGTAAATAGCCCGACACAAGCAAGGAAATTTTGGGAGCACGGGAAGCGGTTCGCCTGGCATGATTCTTACTGTAGCTCCTCGGCAATACGAGAGAGAGGGGGGGGGGGGGGGGGGGGCGGGGGGCGGGGCGGGCAGAGGGGGGCCGAAAATATCGCAGTAGGCGCAGACAGTTATATGTAGGTAATAAAGTAGTAGGGATGAAGAAGGAAGGAATGAAATAACGCAAAACGTAAACTTGAAACCAAGAAGAATGGGTTGGTCGTGTGAGGGTGTGACCGATCAGAGAGGCTTTGAGTATGATTAAAATGGCACTGTAATGGAAAGAAATCGATTGCTGGCGGGGAGTGGAGGGAGTGTGGTTGAGGTTTAGATGGTAAGTGTAAACAACATGCCAGGTCAGGGTCACACGCGAAGGCCTCAGATGAGAAATGAGCCAGTAGGCAGCGGTATCGTGGTTGTCCTGGCAGCGGCGCATAACAACAAGCTTCCATTTATGGCTTCAGCCGCATCCCTGAGATCCCCTAGCAATGGGGGATTGACGTGCATGGAAAGTGTGCATATGACGATGGGTGGATGCGCCGCCTCGCGAACTGTGGGGTTCAGGGGGAAATGATGGAAGACGCGTGTGTAAGAAACAGCTAGACAAGATACAGTACGGGTTTGACTGTCTAACCACGCTAGGCGGTGCTACTACTACTCTAGGAAATTACACCTACAGTATCCGGTAACATTATTGCAAAAGTGGGCTCTCCGTGACCCGATAGTCCTATTGGCCCTTGAAAGATTTTTTGCTGCGAGCACAGACCAACAAATCCACTCTTTTAGTTCTGACTTTTGCAATAATTCTACCGGATACTGTACTGCGAAAGTGGGTTTTCCGTGACCCGATAGTCCCATTGGCTCTTGAAAGGACTTTTGCTGTGAGCACGGTCCAAGAAACCCACTCCTTTAGCGCTGACTTTCGCATTAATTCTCCCATCAGCAAATACATTTAGTATTTGTACCTACATGTACCTACACGCAACCACACTGGCGCCTCAGGTACCCAAGTCAAGAAACGCAAACATTACATATAGGACTTAGATTTTAGAACAGTCGTTTATAACCTAACGCTAGTGTCATAAGGTTTTCTGAACTCCTTAAGCTCTGATTGGTCGGAGCATCGAACCCTAACCCTATAAGACCAACTACATGTATTAAATAAGCCACATACATGTAGACTAGCAGTGGCCGATCTCGTGAGCGCGAGTTCCTTTTACTCCAATTAGTTGTGCCTTTCGTGGGGCCTTCCACCTCGACCGCGCCACCCCCCAGGTCTCCTCCCCCCGCCAGTTGATGATTCCGCTACAAATACCTTATTTGAGGTATCTCTCAATACCATCCAGTTAATTCAATTTAATGATAATATACCTCCCCGTACCCCGTCTTTTGATACCCTGTTGATGATAGCTCTCTCTATACATTCATGAAATCTCAATACCCCCCCAGAATATTTGAAAGATTGTCTGTACCATTAAATCCGGCCTGTTGACGGATTTGAAATTTTGAGTGGCATTTTGGGTGGACTGGTTGCCATGTAGGGTCAGGGTTTCCGCTCTCGACCAATCAGAGGGCTCCGGCGCACGCAAGAATTAAGGGTAGTGCGATGTACATAAAATCTCATTCGTTTGGGCGATTGCCACTTTTGGTGACTGATTGGTTCAAGTTGAGCTTGTTACATACCACCAAACGTGGTGATTGAACCATCGTGACTGAGTCCTATTGTATACTCATTTCTGCCGAGAAAGAAGAGACGAGAGAAAAAAGTTATCCCTTGGACGCGTGAGACATTTGGAGAATCTCTCTCATGCATTAGCGTGCCCTACCTAGGAAACGATTTACTATAATAAAGCAGCAACTTGCGAAGTTTTTAGCATCTCTGAGTATTCCGAAGACCGATAAATGCAGCAAACTGCTTACCCGGACGTTTTCTCAGCCAAATTCTAAGTCACATGACTGCCAATTCCCGCTAATGCATGAGAGAGATTCTCCAAATGTCTCACGCGTCCAAGGGATACTCGGAAAAGCTAATGTCCTACAGAGAGGGGTCACAGACGGTGACTTCGTGGCAAAACGAAAGCGAGATGAGCCCTAAGCTTCAATTTTTAACAAATCCCCAATTTTACCAAGACCTGGTACATAAGTTCATAACAAGAACAGTCCATCTAGGTCCGTTCACACGGCGCTTCTTATCTCCTCCGCGTTCACTTCCTTTTCGCTTTCCTTAAGTTGATCTCTTTCTAATGTACCTGCATTCGCGGCTCGTTTCTGTGATTGTGCCCTAAGCGAGTCGGCTTCGTCGACTTCTAAAAGTTTACCAATTAATTGCTTACTACTCTTCAAAAATACCCCAGAAAGGTCCACATACCGGTGTACTCAACTGTAGAATCCGCCCATCGTGCCAATTTTGTTTCCACGAATTTACAGAAATCCCATTCTTCCATCTCAAGCCTCTCTTCTCCTACAGTCCAAACATATGTCTCTGTCTCAACATTCTCACCCTCCTCCCCATTACTCTCGAGAACATTGACCTGGACTCTTTTACGGCTATAATCCCCCCCTTCAAATCTGTCAAGACGAAAAATATCACCTTCCGTGAGGCCCTCGACATAGGTCCCTTGGACTTCCTTGCCGTTTTCTGGGATGATGGCGGGATAATCGACGAAGCGGACTTTATAACGGCAGTAAGAGTGAAGAATCGCAGGACGGACGCGAAGTGAGGCCACCTGCCAGGCTTCGGGTGATGTTGTACCATAAACCACGCGGAAAAGAATAGGAACCGCCATCAGAGTACCTTAAAGAGATATCAAACCAAAGTATCAATATCGATATATCGACAGCCAGAATACATATATTGTCGGGACATGCATAAATATCACATACCATAAAAAAACCCAGTGTATCCAGTTGTTTCGGGTGGTGCATTATTTCCGGCCATCTCTTCGTCCACACTGAATAATTCCTTATGCCACTTATCTCGCAGATTATGTTGATTCTAGCTCTGTGGATCGTGGGAACAGATGAAATGATAGGAGTATGTTCGAATGGGATGCAGTGCGGATACAACACTGTAGGTACTCTACATGTATGTCGGTCTCTACCTGTAGGTACATACGTTTTGCCCTACAGGACCAGAAATGCGGGTAAAACTAATACCGTATTGGTACGACATTGTGAGAATATGCCGCTTTATCGAAGAGCTTAGTAATTTCACTCTAAGCTTATGTAGCTACTCTAGATTGGAGTACTCTACATGCGTACATGTACATGTAGATATTATTTGGAATTACTGTTCCTACATTAGAGTACGTATGTACCCGGGGGTACCGGAAAGTGATGCAACGGTCAAATAGTCCATACCCCTCAACAACCAAACTAGCTAACAGAATGTGGAGCAAATCCATGGTAATTTAGAAGCTGGAGACCATAGTTATGTCGAGAGTTGATGTGGTTGACTGTTGCTTCTCCTTTTATTACTGTCTCTTGTCACAAGTTGTCCTTCCCCAGGCTAAAAACCCCAAACCAATGACATGAAAAATTGCAGACTCTGTTCTAGAGACTCATTTATCATGGGTATGACTAAAATATCTATCCTGCCCAAGCATTGTGTTGTGTTAAAAGTTGAAGTTCTGAGTACATTTCGGCGTTGCTAGGTCAAGCGTTGCATCACTTTCCGGCACCCCAGGGTACATGTATTTTGGCCTCGCCGTGAAGCGCTGACTTGCATCAACCTCATTACTCCCCGATTTAAACCCCGACAGGTAGAAACCGACAAGCGATTATATTCCAACATTTTCATTTACGTTGAGGTTCTTCCAGTTATATAAAGCCTACACAACAATCCACTACATGTATTACAGTCAACTCTTGTTATAGTGATACTTCATATAGCTGTACTTCTGTTATTGATAGTACACAATCGGCGGTCCCGAAGTAACTTTTTTTTTTTTTTTTTTACCAGTAGCTCCTTACTTCTTATAATATATTCAACACAGATTTTCGGTCCCGACCGTATCCTTATATTGAGAGGCGACTGTACATGCATGAAAGAGCGTCTTTTGGAGAGTCATAGAAGTACTCTAGGTACATGTATTCTACAGTATCAGAGATAGGGGTAAATCTAATACCGCATCAGTACGGTATTATGGGAATGTACCGCTTTATCTCCGCATTTTAACGAAGTATACGGTGGTCTTACGGCAGTGATACGGCGTTGCCAAAGACTTCGGTAGCCAGTTTATCCATGATATTTCTGTCACTGTACTTTCACAGAAAGTCTTTGCACGACAACTAGGCTGGATACAAGCACGGCCAAGCATACGTAAATATACATTTATCTACAGTAGGTACATACATGTAGGGTAGGTAGGTACATACATGTATTGTAGTTAGAGCATACATTTTACTACATGTAACCATCATTTCTAGCAATTGACATTCCGCCACTCCAAAGCGGCACCCACGAGTGTCAATTCTTTGAGTGGGGTTGCTTGGCAGGCTGTGAAATACGTCGAAGGATACCATAACAGTTATCATCCTGTTATTCCATATCCCCCATGGAGAGGTCAATTTTGAAGTGTCAATTGTCAAAAATGGTAGTAGATACATGTGCGCTCTAATGCGTATTAGTATAAGAGATACTACATGTACTACTAGGATGTACAACATGGGGGGTATATTTACATGTACAGTATCCGGTAGAATTATTGCAAAAGTCAGAACTAAAAGAGTGGATTTGTTGGTCTGTGCTCGCAGCAAAAAATCTTTCAAGGGCCAATAGGACTATCGGGTCACGGAGAGCCCACTTTTGCAATAATGTTACCGGATACTGTATGTGATACAGACCCAGCTCGCTAGGACAGCCGATAGCATGTACGTACCTACAGGCTACACCCCACTACAGAGTCCATCGCAACTACCGTCACAACCGTGAATAACTTCCTTTGAAGCTACTTCATCCCTTATCTTGTTACTTCCGCAAATTCTGCGCTTTATTTTCTTCCCCTTAATTTCCTAAAGACTAAGCACATATCCTCCTTACGTCGTTATGGGTGCTGGTGACAGCAAACTGTCCTTCAAAAAAGGCGTGTTTCGCCTTGCTGAGGAACATGTAAAGCTCAAACACTCCCGAGAATGATCGTTGAATTTATGCACTCACAACTAACATAGCTCCTTAGAATATACCGGCAAATGACCCCTATTGGCTTTCATTTTGGGAGCTACCAGAATCAGCCGAAGACGTATTTACTCTCTTCTCCGCGGCAGATATCCGCCGCACTCGCGATGCCCATCTGGAGAATCTCGAAACTCTCATCCTTGCTTTAGCTTCCAGACTCTTCACTCTAAGAAGCCATCCATCATTCCCCGACCCAGATCATGCCCCAGAACGGGATGCTCTCAATTGCATTCGGATCTTAACCAGGGTTTTGCCCTTCATCTACGAGAGGGATGATCTGGAAGAATGGCAAGAAAGCTTCTTTTGGTCTCCTCGACGGAAAAGATCAAGAGATTCTCCGACGGTTCGGACCGAAGTCTTGTTTGACGAGAGAAATAGAGAGGATGAGACCACCCCCCAGTCTCCAGCAGCTGGAGAGGAGTTTGAATCAGCTCCTCCATTAATGGAGGAGCTGATAGATACGTTAATCGACTTACTATTCCTTTCTGGATTTACCTTGCCCCAGTCGTTTTCTACAAAAGCAAAGGTCTCCTATGCTATTTGGCAAAGTGGTGTTGGCTGCAACACACCAGTAGGAACAACGAAGGAATTTGAGTCGAACAAGATAGAGACTTTGAGGTTATTGCTAGCAGTCGTGTCAAAAGCTGTATTTATGCCTGCAAGTAGGTCACCTTCCTCATTTTTTAGCTAAAGAAATGCTTCGAAGTTTGCTAAGGCTTTCATATAGACATATTACCTATAAAAGGAACAAGAGCCTTGACCTATATGGTTACCTGTAGCGACAAAAAGATCGTTCTGTCAACATTATGCTCACTTTTGAATACTGTAGGCGTTTTTTTGTCTTGCCCGAATGAGCTACTTAGATGTTGATAGTTCGAATTTAGACTTTGAAATACAATCCAGCGAGCTGGAGGGTACCGTACGACCACGTTGTATTCACCGACCCTCGACAGGTGCTTGTGACCTACTGCTTACAACTTCTCCTGGTTTTATTGTTATATCCCGTCCCAGAGGGCCTTTCAAATGAACTACAAGCAAAAAATAATTATCGACATTACTTAGGGAGATTACATAGGACTCAGGACTTTCAATTTTTGGTCGATGGTATGACACGGGTCTTGAATCAGCCGGTAAATTACACCCGAATCTATCGTTTTTGCCTTTACTAATTAAAATAGATTCAAGCTACGACTTCATACCTTCCAGGAAGTCAGAAAACAATCAAATGGGCACCGGAAATGATCATGCTTTTCTGGGAGAGTCTGCAATGCAACAAAGCATGTATTCGTGACAGGTGAAATTTGAGTTTTGTTGCTAACTTAGTAACAGCGATTTCGAAGTTTCATAATTGATACCAATCGGGTCCACGATTTCGTGATATTAATAATTTATTACGCATTAGAACACAGGCTGGATCCTTCCAAATCGGGTGTCGTGCGGATGTGCGTGTTTGTCCTGCAAACCTTATCCACCGAACCCAAATTTGGAATGAGTCTCAATAAACGCTTCGAAGGACAGAATACGCTACCAGCCAGCGTCAGGATCCCATCTTTCAGTGGAACATATGCAGACTACTTGATAATTGTACGTTTTGCAACGGTCGAAAAAGTCCGAGAAACTGGCACTGATTTACATCGAAAAGTCCATTTATAGCTTGATTACAAGCAGCAAAGGAAAACTAGGGGCCGTGTATCCAGCGTTATTAGCGATTGTAGCTAACGTTGCACCACACGTTAAAGGCTTGTCATCAGCTGCCAGCGGGAAACTAGTGCAGCTATTCGTCTCAATGTCGGCTCCAGGGTTCTTGCTGGCAAACGAAACGAATCACACATTATTGCATTCTCTCCTGGAGTCTTTAAATTCTATTATCGAACACCAATACTCAGGTAGGTCTATCATATGAGACTGAATCCTTCCATCATTTGACGTGTTTTACAGAGAATCCAAATTTCATTTATGTTTTACTCCGGTCTCACAAAAGATTCGAGGCTCTTCGGAACTTTACCCTCGAGAGCGGACAGGAGGAGATCGACCGCCAGAATAGGCTTAGAAAGGATAGAAGTGAAAACGAAAGTCAAAGCCCTCCTAAAATGCCATTAAACGAAGAATTGCATGTCCAAGCACAAGGAACAGGATCTGATACACCGACTCCACCAAGTCAATTTGAAATTGGAGATGATGATGATTCTGAGGATGAGGTTAAACACAAAAATCAATCCTCTGCTGCCTCCAGTGGTGCCGTTGCTTCGCCCCCCCAAAAACCACGAAATCCTTCCTTATCCTCATCTGTCGAAGATGCGGTTCCATTGCAGCTGCGCGGAATGTCTGAAAAGGCTAGAGGGAAGCTCCCCGAAGGTTCCTTCCAGCGGCAGGGTAGCACAACTAGCCTAGCTAGTCATATTAGCACCAATAGCCCTGCGACATCCGCCACAGGATTTACCCCTTCTACGGCTTGGGTAGGTTGAATATCTTTATCTACACTGTATTCCGTGCTGAGAGTACTACAGATTGAGACATGGCTTCCGCATTTACCACTACATACAGTCCTCATTTTGATCCAGCAACTACAACCCCAGTTACGATCAGTCTCAGGCAGTGGCGGTGGAGCACAGGAATCTAACGCCACTTTAATGCTTGAGCGTATCAGAACGACAGAACTTCATGGAATCGAGCCATCTCTTGTCAAGACCCATATGTTTGAATGGAGTCCTTTAGCCCTGGGATGGTACGAATCTTTATTATGGGGGTTTATTTTCGTATCCGAGAGGCATGTATCCAAGGGTACTGTTGGGGTTTGGAACGGAACTGCGGTTAAGCTTTTTAGAGTTCAGGAAACCGCCCCAGAAGGCCCCAGTCTTTTGGCACCACGGGGGGGTGTAGATGCCATTGGAACCAACCTAATCGAGCGACTGGGAAATGTAAGTCTAGGACGAGGACAGTCACAGCCGCAGACTAATGTTGGAGACCATGTTGCCATAGAACGGCATCCAACTGTGTAAAGTTGGAATAGGCTTTTTGATCTTCAGTTTCTTTGGCACTTTTTACCTTTTATTCTCTACCTACTCAAAGTTTATGTCGTATCTTGGTTGGTTGGGGTTTACCATAGAATTTAACTTTATATTGTTGGCTGATACCATGGCGAGAATCTAACGTCAACCGGTAAATATATGTAAACACCATCAAATGGTTTTAAAGCGCCTGGGCAAGATTGTCACCTACATAGACGCACTTATTGCAAATGAAGGGAACGTATGCTAAAAGTCTCTACAGCATCTTCACTAGCCACACGCAATTCCGAACAAACTTTGTATAGATGCATAGCCTTCCTGTATAGACGAGGTGACTTGGATTGGTTTTCTAGATTCTACATATCAAGGTAGAGCAGTGGATGGACTGCGGCCTATCTTTTTAAGAAATCTTGCCGAGGCATAAATCCTGAGTGCTGCTGCCAATTCGGCCGGTCGGCCAGAACACTGGCAACCAGGAATTCGAGCGAGTGATTTAAAAAGTATCGTCGCCCTTAAACTCGATATTGAAAATGTGCTATGGGGAGTATCTAAGGTTCTCTTTTAGCTAGGTAACTCAAAAGATTGGGTTCCTCGCCGCTGAGAGGTAGACAATATTCTCCGGACTCATAGTGCTAGTCATAGGTGTTAAAGTAACTCCTGAGATATAAATATCACAAACAAGTTCAAATTACCATGTGATGTTTGGTCCGAAAACTGACCCCCGGACTCTCTATTTCAGTACATATAGGTGCGTACACCCACTGCGTAAGAATGACAAGGAGGGTGGGTAATTCTTAGACTGCCTCGTGATAAAGCGAAACATCAGTCTCACTTGAGTCTAGGGTTCCTGCTATCGAATTAACAGTATGGACTACACATTCATACAGAAATACTCGCGTGCTACGCCTCTTTAAGGTATCGTGAGTAGAAGAGTCAATTGTCCCTACCTTACGCGACCTACGTGATTGGATATGAATTCATTGCACTGATAATTCCTAGTTGGACTTATGTGAAAAGAGATGATATCATTGAACAGTTTGCTCACCATAGAGAATTCGTATGAACAAAGGGTAATGTTTGTGAGCGAGTAGGTCTAGGCGTCATTTTTTATTCAAAAGAATTCAAATAAATTAGGATATCCAAAAGATGAAGGGCAGTAAGTCTATATAAAGTGCCCGTGTATTCAACCATACCAAAACTCCGCCCAGCGCAACCGCTAGGCGTTAATAATGTTATTTCAACTTCAGGACATTTCAAAATCCTTCGCAAGTTCGCCATTCCCAAACATCCAAAATTGAAAGCCGAGATAGGCATCAAGAGCAAACTGGATACCAGCACACAGCCGAAATTGCATCCCGACATGATCAGAAGAATAGAAAAACACAGTCTTCATGATATCACCAATCAACCAAGATACAAGTACCGACAGGCGGAAGCCCTTGCAAGATCTAGCCTTTTGGTTTGCTAGAACCTGTGGTATCGGAAGGCCGGCCTCCACTCCTAGGGCGCAGTACCCAAGAAGTCCCACAAAAAATTCAGAAGACCCGAAAAAGAGCTGAAGGATAGCCGTAATCACGAAGAAGTAGGCCAGGAACTCCCAGTATCTTTTTGAAGTGGTCCAAATCAACAATGGCGCCGGGGAAATTAAGAGTTTTGAATAGGGCGCAGACGTACGGTCTCTGAGGCCTCCACTGCCAGAAATTGAAAGGTCGTTTCGTAGGGTATACCACGCCCGCAAAAGGGACTCTTTCATCTCCAGTAGATCGATGATCAAGAGCAACCTTAAGTAGTACGCCCTGAACGAGGATCATTATGAGGCCTATAGACAATCAGAGTGCAATGGTGTTAAGCAATCATTCCGAGGCTAGGGTCGCAAAAATGATCATACTTTGAAGTAATAAGCTCGTCTCGAATCGAGAACCAATCCAGTAAAAACATCGAAGAATAGAAGCTACTAGCATGATAAGAGGGGTCTGCCGATGAGACACGCAAGGGAAGTTGTTAGCTGAAACTAAATTTCATCGGCGGCAGCTCTAGGAACCAACATCAAGAGAAAAGCCGCGAGAAGATTTTGTAATATGTATGTTCCGTATCTGTGAGTGAATTGTGTTAGTAAATTGATGATGTGAGGGAAAAGAAGGTTTGCTCTGACTTGGTCCGCATAACTCGTTAAAGGACTGGTAACGAGACTGTTCCAAGATAAATGGATTAGCGGGTAGTTAAAAAATAATCTGAATATTAAACTCACAATATTGGGGCGACTTTCTGGACTATAAGAACGAGGAAATTCATGGTGCGTGTGATGGTAGCGCGAGGTAGAGTGTAAATGCTCAAGAACATTGAAGTTGGAGGTTCATACTATGCCAAGCAAACGCGAATGCTGTAGCACATTACTCAAGTGGGTTAGCGCAGGGCGGTGGAGGTGTGGAAGGAGCCGAGGTACTATGTAGGCGTTGTTGGGCACATTTGCTGTAAAGTGATTTGTCATGTATCAGTCAGCGCAGCACGTGATAACGTGGACAATCCCTTTGTAAAGGTGTTCTCAGCGGAACGACCTCATAGCTAGCTCGCTGTTTTCCTTTCTGTTTCATCATCATCCGTCGTTAGTATCGTCAGAGAAGTTTTCAGTTTGATTCCTCCCTGGCAATAAATAAGATTTTATTCATTTTGTCATTCGAATCGTCGTGAAGCCGAAGACGAAATTAGAAGAAAAGAAACAGAGACAGAACACGATAAAAGAACCCGGCCAACAGCGGGTGATATATGGTGCGCCCAGTCAGAAAGGTGACAGGTCAGTTTAGCGGTGGAAAAGGCATGGCACAGAGCTGCAACGACAGACTTCAACGACGGTCAACAACGGTCAGCAAAACAAGCTATAAATTCGAGCTTTTAAGGGAGGATAGTCGACTAGCCTAGAATAGTATAGATCATTCAAAAAGAAACAAAAGTGGATATAGTTTATGTTTCAAATGTTACAAGTGATATGAGTTAAGAAAAGAGTTAAATAAAAATTAATTTGAAATTTTTTTTATTATTCCTGTGCATTTTGAGAACGGCGAATAATATCTTTATACTAGGATTATGCTTGTTGAGGTGGTTGATAGGGAACCGGAAATGATTGGAATTATAACATTATCACACTTTACTTCAAGTTTATGTGTGTAACAGAACCATTTCAACTGTTTGGTGTATGAGTACACACAGGGCCCGGTTACATGCTGAGAGTTATTGTTAGAAGCCAGTTGCACAGTGACATGCAAGTGCTGGCAGTGTGGTCATGGTTAGCTATCAGCTGTCAGAGTAACTACATTCTGAGCGCTAGGAAGAGTATCTATTCATAGGAGTAATAACTGACGAGTTAATGCCTCACTAATGATTAGAAGGCCGGCCAAAGAGAAGCTTTGAGTATACGGTGATCCTTTATATTTTCTGAGCATGGTAAGTCCACTAGCAGATGGTAGGGACTATGCCTGGGAAAGTCTACACTGGCATTAAGCGAAAACTCTATAGCAATGATTAAGCTTACACCTAAGTGGTTGCTCATTCATTCACATCAACAAAAAATGGGTTTCCCCAAGACGAATTCGGACGCCCAGATGTCCAAATTCGTCTTTTGCCCGCAGAAGCTCGTATTTTGGTCAAACGACCCAGTTGTATATCCCCCTCTTTTTGGCCACTCCTCATTCGACCACAAAATATTTTCCATTTAGTGCTCCAATTACGAAACTGGTCGTTCGTGTAATAGAGCCACGGTAGGCTTGTTACAAAAGTACCTGTTCTACCAGTCAAGCCATATGGCCCTAGGGTAACCACAGCTTGTTCTTCATCGATAGGTGAAGACAAGGGCCGATGAGCCCCTACCTCTATTGGTATGGAGGGTAGGGATCCTGGCGAGCAAGAAGTCTTACAAGTCAAGCTAGGCGACTGGACCAAAACTAGAGTAGAATGACGAGCATGCCAAATAAAGAAGGGTAACCCCAAATATAAGTTACCCTACCTTGGCAGTCAATCTTTGATGCGCAATAACTTAGCAACCGATGCCCTGAACATATGCTTTACCACGTCAGAAAGGATCCTGACGATGCTCCGGTACATTTGGGGTGGTTGAATGAACGCATTACGGAGTTGAGGAAACACTGTAAAATAAACACCTTTTAGACCCTCAAAAATAACCCCCGGAGCGTCGAACCGCCGGATTCCTCCTGTTTCAGCCCGGTGCATCCATGAGGGGGAGTAAGAGTACGACTCAAGCTACCAAAGCAAACCTTCGCTTTACAAACACCCAAATCTATTCTAAATATTCTGAATAAGCAATTGCTGTCTGGTCAGCTGTTTGTAACGGCAATATTACCTGTTGGTTAGGATGATCGATTGGATTGTGAAGGGAAGGTATTGCGCAGTTGAAGTAGGATTTGTAATGGGGTTTCTGTTATGTTCTTTTGGTTTCTGTTACACGAGGGATGAGTCATCAATGGACTAGAGCCTGTATATATAAAAGGGTGTTGTCTCGTGCCTTTTCATGTTTTCCTTCCTTTCCTCTTCTCTTCACGCAACTTCTTGTATCTACCCCGCGCAACACCAAAAACTTTCGAACAACAATAACTTTTGGCCTGCATTCCCGATAAACTTTTACACGAACACGATCCTGTATGTCAGTAGACCGCGTAATCTATTGGTATCTTATCGCACATCTGTTCGTACGTGAAGTCATTCACGCTCTAGTTCCCAAGCTGTGAACTCTCTACCTCTCAGCCCTCGCTTAAGCCTCGCGACCGTAGCGAAAGCAACAACCTGGCCTCACCAACCCCACCAAACCCACCAAACTCCGCGGGAAGAAAGAGAACTTTATCAGAAGTCTTTCCCAACCCAACCCGAACTGGAACGTCAGTGATGTCCCAACAAGCCTCCTTGAGCTCCTGGTTTGCAGGAGCCCCCTCCCCCCAGGAACTCCAGCCCCCCCACGCTTCCCCGACACCCAATCCACTCAATCCACACAACAAACACAGTCTACCACAATCGAACAAACCCAACTCAGCGGCGAACCCTTCTCTATCTTCGCTGAATACACCCAATACAACGAACCATATGCACCAAAATATGACTACATCCACCCTAGCATTGTCCCCCAAGAAACCCATGCCAGGATGGACCTTAATTATATCTCATGGGTTATTAGAAATGCCCTCACGGTGGCGCTCGAACCCCTCAACCAAACAACCGAGCAGATCAATAAGGACCTAAAAGCTACTATCGAAGTCCTATCCACCCAAAATGAAACCCTTAAGCACACCGTCGACGTCCTGGCCAAACAAATGTTTGAAATGACAAAGAACCAAGACAAGACCTCCGAAAAACTCCACCGCCTCCAACAACAGCTCACCAACCTCTCCGTTAACAGACCCAGCAACCAAACAGTCAACGAAGGAAGAGCTTCCGCAATTGCCGCCGTCGCCGCTGCCACCATCCCCGCCCCTCCCCCCGCACACATCAATAATGTGAACCATGCCCAACAACCAAAAGGAAAAGGAAGAGAAACACCAATCCCACCAGCACCAAAATCCTACGCATCCATCGCAGCAGGAAACGCCAATCCCGAATCCACCATGATCACGAACAGGAGGAAACCCAAGCCCAAAGCGGATCCACTATTCAAACCAGAAATCACCAAAATTAACAGGGAAATAGTTATCGAAACAAACAAGGAATCACCAGTCACCCCCTCCGACATCAGAACAAGAATCAACGCAAAAATCGAAAACCCAGACTGCCAGCTGATCGCCGCCAGGAAAACCTCGAAGAACAATATTGTGCTAGAGACCAAATTTGCCACCCCTGCCTCGAAAGTCTTCGAATATAAACAGGAAATAGAAGCAGCCCTAAGAGAACTCAAGGTCCCCTTTGTGGACATCAGAGTCAACTCCAAATGGTCCAAATTCATCGTACATGGAATCCCAACAACAATCGGAGACGGCTATGAAGCAGGACAGGTCATGGCCTCAGAAGTCAGAAGCAACTACGGAACCACATTCGAAATGGCACAAATCCCCAGATGGCTCAGCAGACCTGAAGCCAGAGCAGGGAAAACACACTCGTCAATGATTATCGCACTCCCAGGACAATACACAAAGGATAACCTCGGACTGAGATACCTCACCCTATTCGACCGGCAATGCAAAATTGACAACTACCTCCCAGCCAACCCAGAAACCCAATGCTCCAAATGCCTAGAATACGGCCACCGACACGAAAGATGCTCCCACCAAACCGGGAAATGCGGACACTGTGCAGAAGACCACCAAACAAAAGAACACCCATGCTCAGAATGCTCAGAAGGCACTAGATGTATCCATACACCCATCTGATGCTATCACTGCAAGGCCCCCCACAAAGCAACAGACGCCAACTGCCCAGAACGAACCAAAGTCCGAATCACAAACAGACTCGGACCAGACACAAACCCAAGCCCGCTACCAATTCCCGTAGTTATCCCGGCCCAAGACACCCCACAAGAAGATGCAGCCATGGATAACACCCAATGAGTCACATCAAAAGAACCACGGCTATCGCACAGCAACTGAACTGTGCGAAAAACGAGCTCACAACAAAGGCAGTAGTGGAGGAAGCAGAACAGGACCACAACATACTTTTTCTTTTGTTACAGGAACCATGGAACAACAAAGACGGCCACCCACCGGAATCCCCTCTTTTCTATCTATTCACAGCCAGCAACAAGGGCACCAAAGCCGCCACATACATCAGAAAACACGCCAACCTAAAACGAAAACACCATTACACGCACAACAACTTCATCGTCTCCGTCACGGTGGAAATCCAGAACCAAAAAATACAAATCCTCAACATATACTCACCAGGGCGAAGCGGACCCTTCACAGAAATCTCCCGCCAGATAAACACCATCCAAAACTGCCTCGTCATGGGAGACTTCAATAGCCACCACCAACTCTGGTATGGACACAGATCCCATGACTACACCAATACCATCAGAGCGGACAAATCTGGATCCAAGAAGCTCAAAAGATGGATCGACCGACAAAAGCTATCCCTACTCAACGAACTGGGCGAATTCACACACTTCCCCAGAAACAACAACAGACCAACCATCATCGACCTGACCCTGATCAAAGGACCTATCCTGGACCATGACGTCCGCTGGAACATCGACCGCCATGGCGCAGGCTCCGACCACGGGAAAACCATAGTACAATTACGGATAGAAAAACCGCCCCACATACCCAGAAGACTATGGCACCGAACGAACTGGGAAAAACTAG